GCATCAGCGGCGTGAAGTGACAAAGGAACGAAAGAAGAGTTGGTCGTGGAGACAAGACAGTTATTAGGAGGTGTAAAAGGATTTGATTGTGCTTTTATGGGTATGGAGGCGGATGTCACTTCCCTGCTGTCCACACTGTGAAAGGGTGTTTCTTGAAGAACCTGAAGAAGAGGTTGAATTAGTGTTGATATTAGAGACCTGGTTGCGCGACCGAAGAGGCCAGGAGACAACTTCATGAAGCCGGTCACACAAGGCCTTTCTATGGGAAGTTTTTAAAGTGTTAGCTCCGCTTCTTAAGTGACCGTACCTCCGGAGACGGAAATCCGTGAGGTAGGGTGAGTTGTGACATTTTTAGGGTCGACCTTTTCTAACCCTTTCTACCTTGTGAGAAGGCAGAATCACTGCAGATGCTGGTTGTCCGAGAGAAACATCTTTCTTCTGTCACATCCCTCTTCAGTCAGCAGTATGACTTCGCCCTCAGACCTTCAGTAGCTGCTTTTAGTCTCACCGTCATCCAATCGACCTGCCTTGCACGGTAGGACCTACAGAAACATATGTCCCAGCCAGTATAGCTCGGTTGGGTCATCACGATAGACAAGCTCGACCACCACGTCAAGGTAGCAGCTACGGCTGGGATTTTTTAGTGTGTATTTGTCATTGAATTTGAAAAGTCGAGATGCAGTACTGTTACAAGTATAGGTATTTGCACTTAGGTTTGATGTAAAAAAAATTGATTAGCCATTTATCTTCTCAGGTTTGATGAATGTTGTAACAATTTGTATAAAATGACGGTAAATAAACAAAGAAGTTTGAATTGTAATCTCGTGTCATTGTACGCAACAAAGTGATTGTTCATCAATTTAACTGATTAGATTAAATGAAAGTATATTTTCATCGTCGACAAAATAAAGGATGTATTAAAAAAAATTAACTGCCATGGAACAGTTGATTGTATTTTATCTCTCCTATTTATATTAGTTGAGTTTACCTTTCTGTGTTGGGCTCTGGCTACTGATCTTTCCTTGTAAGAAACAAAATATTTTTGAAGTCTTTTGTATGTTTATACTCTGTTGAACACCATGCAGTTGCCAACTTATTTTCTGAGGATTTAGGAATGAGCTAGAAATAAAGTTTGTATTCATTCACCTTTACACTCAACTGTGTTGTGATGTCTGACCCACATTTATAACATTAGAGTTATCGAATTTGAGTTAATAGACACAATTTTATTGTTTTTTATTTAACCTTGACGCTTACTCGTTTGGAGTTAAGATCTTGTTCGTTCATAACTATACGCTTATTTTGTGCTGGTATAGGATCCTTCAAGATATTGCCTCACTATTGGCTTTTTTTCCTTTTATCTTTTTGACCTCCTTTCATGATAATTTTTTTACGAGGCCCCTAGGGTAATGATAATTCTCATTGGGTCAATCGATTTACTTCATACAATAGGACATTCTATAACATAAACAAAGTTAATGAATTCCTATCAGTATGCATTAATTTAAGTATGCTATCAAAAAAATATATTTTCCGGAGCATATTCCTATGAATCTACACCTCTCGAAGACGAAGTGAACTTAGTTAAATAGCAAGCCAAATGATAGATACTGGTCATAAAGTTGGATGCAATTAATCCGTTTAAAACGAATGGCAAACGTTTGGATAGTGTGGTAATAAGACGAAGATTACCAGAACTATGTGGTACATCAGCGCAATGCATTTCGAACAGTCTAATCATATACATACTTTTTAAATTCTTAACTTTAATTTGTCTGGTTGATCGTATTAGTAGTTAACCTTCAGTTTCAGTAAAAGAAGCAAAAAAAAAATTTTTGACTCCTTTCGATTTAATTCTTCGATTAGTTATAACCCCAATCATCTTAGTTTAACTTATATATCTGTCCCCCTCTACATCTACTGTTTTTATGCCGTATTACACAAAAAACTATCTAAAATATATCAGAACTGTTAACCTTCACATTTATGAAAACCTTGTCAAAAGCTTAATTTTCAACTTCACTTAAACTACAAATAATTTAATTTATCTTGTTAGGTAATTTACTTCTTTAAATTTCAAATTATGTTATGAATTGGAATAAGTGCACTTCTAAACTAATAAGTAAAACTGCAGAGAAATTAACAAAACGATGATTTCATAGTTCTGATTGTGATTTATAGAAATTTATGGAGAGAACATTTGGCACTGAGGTTACGCAATACCTTAGATTGATTAGAGTTAGGCACTAACACCGTTGGGTACCGGCACAATGGTTAGGCATTCGCGCTCGAGACCGTAAGTCCTAGGTTCGATTTCCATGAGCAGGGGTCGTGGATGTGCTCTGCTGATGAGTTCCATGCTGAGACGTAACGGCTGTCTAGTGCTTCTAGGTTTTTAATGGTGGGACAGTATTGATCGATTCATGATTTCAGTGAAACTCAACAATCTTCACAACTCTAGTGAAAATAATACAACAGTCTATTGAATAAATTATGTAGTAGTTCACTTTTTGTGTTATTTAAGATACCAGTTAGTGTCGAAGTAAGTAGATATCCTCTTATGACATCGTCTCTCCACTCATCTCATTATTAATGTTTATTTCACAGTTCACGAGTTTCTTCCATTTCATCTAACTACACTTGGCCATGTTTCGGAGTAATGGATCTAATAGTTTCATTAACCACTTTACTGCTGAATCGTACGTAAAGCCATTTATTACAAATTCTTAGCCTAAACTTCGTTTATAGCTCCTCTAGTCCATTATATCAATGAACCCGACATAGTGTTTCATCAGTTATACATTGGATACGTATGGTTTATTTTATTAAATTGATTATAGCTAGATACAATTAGCTTCTCTACTCCTTGATTAAATGACTATTCAAAGTTATGAATGACGCATTCTGAACGTATCCAAGTTGTAATTGAAGCTAAAGTCTATGTTAGCATATAGCATTGTGTAATCCACTTATTTATGTATACTATATTTTAATAATCGAATATTGATAATTGTAGTCTAGTGATGAGATCATTAAAAGCAGTTGTTTGCTCAAATATCCTCTTTATTTTTTAAACAATATAATTGTATTTTCAAGTTGCTTTGAAGCTTGTTACTGTCAACACGAATAAGTCAGTCACATAAGTTCTTTTAGTTTATATATCCACTGAAGTGAATATAGAACAAAAACGATCTCAAAATGAATTTGTGTCATAATGATGATCCTAAGCAGATGTCAGGATGATGCGGCCAGTCTGCAATCAATTTAAAAACAGATGATAATGGGAAACGAACAAATCAGGAAGTATATTTCATATTTCACATCGTCAGACCTAAATATATTTTCAATCTGACCTATTTGAAGAGTTCGCTTACATTTCATTACACCTACTAGTTAGATAAACTAACTCTTTTCGTACTAATGCTCTTTTCTTTATAACACTTGAGGCGGTAACATTATTTGTCTTAGGATTAGCTTAGAATGACTGAGGAAGAATTCTTTAGACAATTTATGATATCATAACTTTTAATGAAACGTTTTCACACGGTTCGCCTAACAAGTTTTGTTCGTTAATTCATCGTCACAATAGTAATGTCGTCTTTCTAAGTAACTAAACTACGTAATAATACTTAATTATAATGCAGTTATTGTAACTAGCCACTCGGTCAGCCGTCAATATCGATTCCCCGCTATGACTTTGAGGTAGCATAGATGATCGATTTATCTGTACAGTATAGGTTTATCAACGTTAAATATTGTAGGCTTATTGTGATGTGCTAACGAGCATATCATTTTCTAGCTAAACTTGCATGAAAGCATTCAGTTTCAATTCTTTGCTGTACTTCAGATATTGTGTAATTATTAGTGAACTGTCACTAATTATTAACCACATAATTTAAAGACATAAGATTCACGAAAACTGAGTAGAAATTATTTTGGAAGGATCGACAGGTATAACTAATTAGATTAATCAGAATGAGTCTATTCTGTAAAATTCAACTCTAATCAGATGCATTTTTGATATGAATATTTGTATAATTTAATGGCCGTGTCTATAAAGGCAAAGTCTATAACACAAACAAGAACAAAAATATACTACATACGTGGAAAGAAAATTTATCAGACAAACATTAAGCAAACTACAGCTGGATGGAATGCCTTCCAATTTTACAGAAAGCGTCAGTCCCCTAGACATACTGATATACTATTGGCGAGTGACTTATATCATGGAACTTACGCTAAGGGATTATTATGTTGATTACCTCTAACGGAGTATACTGAGACGTTATGTCACGCAATTTGATACTTATGACTCAACTTGATAGATCGAATAGTGAATTCTGCTGTTCAGGATGCTTTGAAATTCACAAATCAGGGAAGCGGCCTGCCTGAATATGTGAATTACTTGTTTCCTAACATCAAAATATTTCAACAAGTTACTTCTTTTAGTTTGTTTTAGCACGTCAATTAAGCCTATTCATCAAATGATCTATTCAGGCGTGTACATAGAAAGTTTACGAGCTATCGCTTCACAATTACAATCCAAGACATATCGGTGGCCGGCAGTTTGCTGAGAAAAGAGTGAACGTTAATAAAATGTCGATTCTTCAGCTGCTCACTTCCAACTGACATTTACTCAATTTTTTTGTAAAATAAACTTTTTAAATTATTTCTTGCTGAGAATTCCATATCGTACTCAACATATAATATTGAATAAAGCCATTATTACCAGTAATCTTACCTAAAACTAAAACCGTAATCCACATGGATATACTAAAACTGGTTACAGCAAAAACTTTTGATGTTGTAAATATCGGTTTATCATCAATTAATCTATCGGTATTAAGCAGTGCAGCATTCAAAACAGCAAGTTCGTGTTGCCTTTGGTTGCAGTAAAAAACTTGTAGGATCATATATATATATATATATATATACTAAAAGATTATATAATAGAATAAAGATTGGATGCATCTCTAACACTTGAGATTACATTCAAATTATACTACTTAATACCTACATCTGCAATCAACTGACATCAATTCTATCATAATTTTATAAGAAATATTAAAAGGAAATCGGAAACTCTGATGAATTGCGTACACACAAGAAATGGTAATGTAAGGGGATCATCCCATCGGACCAAACATTAATTAAGAAAAACGGTTTTCAGACTCATACACAAAAAACCCATTTATGTTCAAGTCACATAATATATTGGTTGGTGCTTCAAAAAGAAAGAGAGTCAACATAGACTATTCAAGTTCACTGTATAAACTGATGTGAATGTTGCAATTGATATAACATACGTAACCAATACAATTATCATAGACTTTATCTATTATACTCATAAAATTATATTATACAAAGGTATACACGTGATTGTCTATACAATGGCTATCTTTATTTTAAAAAATTGTAATAATTAGTTCCTAATTTGAGATTGAACTTCTTTACAGTTATGAGTTCCATCACAATAGGGCGGTTCTGACGTCTGCTTACACGTACAAAACCATACCTCAGACGGTCTGAAATCAAAAAGAGGGAAAGACATATGTATGTATGTATATAAATGACATTTTATTACTTGATTAAAAGGAATCGGTATTGAATGTTTATATTCTGATTTCCATATGATCTATTTCAGTACCGACGTGAGATAAACAAAAAGCAAAAGTCAAAAAGCGGGCATATCGATGATAGTGACGTTGAATGTCTATGCCGCCTAATATCAGCGCTGTGTTCTAGGTTCACTAAAGATCCCTACTCCACTGAAAAACAACTTTGAACAAAATCTTGCTGTACTATAATAAATGCAGACCCTCAAATTTTTTTCAACTCATGTTCGGGCGCATACTACTGATAAGATACAATTTCTATGCTGTATAAGAATTTAAAAGTAGTCAAGAAGTTTGATGCTGATCTTTGTATGTCACATTAGAGGTAATGTTATATGATAGACATTTGCTATGATTGTAAACTAACTGATCAAATCATTCATTGACATACAAATTTAAGCATGTAAATCTAAACATAAATAAATATCAAATCTATATTTTTTTTCATTAGCGCATTAACATTTGTATAGTATGACAAGAAAATATCTTGTTGTAAATTACATTTTTCAGGTGTTCAAAACTCTAAATTTTATCAACTAATATTACAACATTATTGTTTGCTTATCCATCAACAACATACTGTAACTGATAATCTTACTGCTGATAATCTGAATATTGTGTTTGTGTGTGTGTGTGTGTGCGTTTCCTGCTAGTTTCATCATACAAAAGAATATTGCACTGATTGAAAGGAATACGCCTATCACAATCTGGTGATCTATTAATCAAATCATTGTTAAACATATGTTCATTTCTAATATTTACTCATAAATATTTACATACATAGATAAATTAGAAGTTTTGTCATTTCCTGTACAAAAGAAGCAAAACAACTAAGACATGACTTGATTTTTGTTAGTTTTATATATAAAGTGTTATTCTAAAACACACAACTACCAGTAGTTATTTTAATGATAGAGAATTTTTCAGTAGTAGAATATTAATTCAATGCTAGATTTTAAGAAAACCATTCATAGAAATACTAAGCATAATAACATGAGATTGAGAGAATGACTATAAAGAACATAAAGGAATAAAAATCATTTCAAAAGATTGATTTTCGATAAGTAATACATCTGAAATTCAATGGATCAGTTACAAGCTATGTGTTGTTTAATCTATGTAAAATTGAACGAATCTCTTTTAACCAGTCCATGCATATAATTGTATGGATCAGTAGTAAAATTGGTCAAAATAAAAACACTGAATTCCTATTGAAAGTTCTGAAATTTAAGTTTCACTTATAATAAGTCAGTAGATTAAGGAAGACAGCTGCTACTGAATAATAGATCATGTATAGCATCACCGTCTCAAACAGACTTAGATAATTTTAGTGAGTGATAAATCACTCTTTTTAGGAGGTTTCCCCTCATGTAAATATTTCAGATAGACATAGTTAACATAGACAAGGATTATGTTGTATTATCTGTAGTTTAACTGTGCTTGACAATATTGATTAAACTTGAAAGAAATGTCAAGTCTTAAATATAACCATCGTAAAATGTTACAAACTCAAAACTTATGTAAAGTGGTTATCTGGACATAGCAGTCAGGCTTGCATATCGTGGTGATTCAACTGAGCTGCTCTCAGTCAACAAGCATTGACAGCGATGCTGTCTTCCCATTTAAGGGAGGAGGAATTAGATAAGACGAGAGCTACGACTGTCACACCTCAGCTTACCCCATGGATTTCCGTAGCTAATGGTAGCACCACTAAATTATGAAATTAACACAACTAGAAATAGTCACAAAAATTTTGTGTGACCGGTCTCAAATAGTGTTTCCTTGAGCTTTGAGGCAATTCTACCTGGCTACCAAGACTATTTACTAATAATTCAATTGCTTCTATAGGCACGCCACAAGAAGTATCTTTCCACGCTGTGGCTAAACGGAAAGTGACAACAACCTACCTCTCTTTAAAAACATTCGAAATCAACTTAGTCAATTCATTTTCGTTTTTACCATTTCTATGCTAAATGCTTTCCAGATTAAAGTATTCAAAGTAAATTTTTAATTGAGGTATTTCACTTGAAAGTTAAATTGATTGCAACTAACGTTATTTTTCTTAAACATGAAAGGTGAGCATTGACAATGAAGTGTATTAGTCATGGAAGTAGTTGAAAAAACAGGATTAACTTACTTTTCATAGACCAAACGAATAGGCTTGAATTGTCGCTTATTGATTTTAAACGCTGGATTTGCGCCTAATATCCGAATATGGTGTCCATCACAAAACGGTTGACGTTTACTATGACCGCAGGAACACCACCAGTACACTTGATTAGGTTCACAAATCATATGAAATGGTCGTTTACCGGCAATTTTCGCCTTACTTTTAGGATCTGTAGGAGGAATTTCTAAACAGAGAAATGTCACAGAAAAATGATTGTATATTCGGTAGTGAAAGTATAAACAAACTCTGCATCTTAAAGCATCAAAACAAATCGAAAACAATTTTTTGCAATGATATTTTTCAATTTATAAATTATGTAGTTTTATATAATTTATAAATTTCCATTAGAATTACGAACAATAATCTGAGCACATAAATGCTAGAAATTTTTCACATAACATATTGCAATCGAATCGAAATATCAGCATTAATAATAAATAAAGTTAACAACTAAGCTTAGTCACAATCACTAATTTTCTGTTACATCATCTTCAGACGTCCTTATGATAAAATTATGGTTTTAAAGAACTATTACAGTCCTATCGATGAAAATCAATATTTATTAAAAAATAAACTGACTTAGATACCACAAGATATTTGCAAGAGTTAATGTTATGTTAACCAGAAGGATAGTTATTCCATAAACATTATATCTGAAGCAAGTATGCTACTTGTTATGTAATCTAAAGGACGCTTTATTCAGTAGTATGATAATAATATTTATCAGATAATAGTTTGCTTATTTAAAGAGACAATCCTAAAATGGCCTAATAGCCGGATTTGTGCTTGATATGTCCCGAAATACCACGGTAAGTCTGATTCTTTGTCATTAAAAATAAAACACATGTCAAGATTAAGAGAACGCTCACTTCAGGAGAAAAGTTATCAAGAATGTGAATATTTTATGAATAGTAATAATTAATACGTATAGCTTTCCAGTCAGTTAAGTATAAAGATAATCAATGCAATAGCTAGAATGCCTAGTTGAGTTGATACTAGAACTTCTTTTTACAAATTAATCAACTCTTATGAAGTCATAAATCGAATAAACAGACAGTGATAATTATAACACTATATAATTAACATTGGTTTAGTGAGATAATACAATTTGAAATATAAATCGAAATGCCACAAATCTATCCAATGTTCCTTTACATTTATGAGTATCGATCAAACGGGAATCTGATAAATAATAGTTACTTACAGTACTAGAAATTTGCATGAAATAATAATAGACCTAGTGAATTTTTTATGCAACTTTGAAGAAAACATCAGTGAGAAGCCGTGACCATTGGAGTTCAACCACGGCGGACGTGAGGTAGTTACCCACTGAAGACAATGGATAGTGGTCGCGCAAAATGGTGAATTGAAGTTGGATACTGGCACTAATGGATGCCGACTCAGTGATCTGGATGTTAGGCTTTCGTGAGCAAGACCGAAGGTGCTGAGTCCGACCTCTACTTCCAGGCTTGTGGGTGCACACTACTGAGGAGAATCATACTACAGTGAAACAACTGTCCACTTGTTTTAGGTTTTCAATGGTGGTGATTTCGAAGAGACTGAACAATATCCAAAACCCTATACTACTAATTACAATATATGTTAAACCTTTGGAACACCCTCTACCAAACTAATGAGTAGCAAATAAACAACAAATATTACGTGTTACTGGCTGGCTGACTTGATGTAATACTAATTATTAGTACGGTAGAATTTAAATGAGTTATTAATGGATAACAGTTAAAATTGTATCATAACAGAGATGCGTTTATGAAGACTTGTTATCAAACTGAATACCTTGAAACCGTGGTGTTTCTGGATGAGGTAATGGTCTACGTTCACAATTTTCATCAAAACGTTCAGTATGTGGACGATAAAGTGCTCCTGGAGGGAGATAACGTCCACCACATTTAGGTAAAAGTATACATGAACGAATTTTGAGGAGTAATGGTGAAATTTCAGAAAAATTGTACATTGAGATGATTAATCTGGAATGAAAATAATTCGAACAATTTACTTTAATGAACAGATGAACAGCCTCACTAAGTCAGACTGATGAAGCCTTTAAAATTAGAAAAAATATTTTTGGTGCACGGAAAATTCATCATAAAAAACAGACAAAATCGATCAGAAATTTTTTCATTCCCATAGTAAGTAAATCAATTAAATATAACACATTGACGAATCTTTTCTATTCAAATACTTTTTCTAGCAAATATCATGTATTAATTCAACAATATTTGCATGTAATTAACTTGAAAATGTCAATTTATCAGTTAACAAATCATAATACCCTGTTACTCAAGTTTCAATGATTGATTCAGAAAAGACAACAGTGAAATTTTTTCCCTTGTTACGTTTACACGGGATTACTAGCAGATAATCGATGCTGAAAGTTTTAAAGTACAAAAATTTGACAGCTCACAAGTAGTTATTATATTAACATTTTACAAGTTACTAAGTAATTTCATCGGAGAAGTAATATCGTTCAAAGGCGACTACATCAAGAACAGTATGAGAGAGGACATAAGTTTTTGTTTCTTCGGTTCTGTAGTTCAAGTCCATCTACGGTGTGACGACTCGAGAAGTGACAACCATCCTAATGTACAAGAAAGTGAGTAAAAAGTCCTGAGGAGTTTCACACTGGGATAAAGCAGCTGTCCAATACTAACTATTTTTCAAAGGTACCTCAGTTGAAATTAATTAGTTTAAACATGATTTTCTTTACTACTACAAAATTTATTTTATTCCACCGAACAGATTACAACCAAATAACAATCGGTGAGCACTGTAAAGGATAGGATAAACATGATATCCGGCACTAGTCACTACTCAACCAGTTACAAATACTTCAGTTCTACAGAGCAGTGGAAACTCGAATAGCTTATTAGTAACGTCTCTATCTGCGAAGCTGGATGATAAGGGACTGAATCCGCTAAGGAGCACCGCCTTCTTCGTAATTACAGATCCACTTTACTGATGAGTATAAAACAGCAAGAAACCTAGGTCCAGGGTTTGCTGTCAATTACCTCCAACCACCTAACATATAGTCTTGTCATACTACAACAAAATAAAAATAACACATTATCAATAACACTTGATTTGCATGAAATTGATTTATTGTAAATATTCTACATTACACATTGTAATACACAGTATCTCATGATAAAATAATATAACTTCTCGATTGTTATCATCAGAGATAATGGATAGGAAAACAGAGGAAAGAGAGTAACATTTTCAAAAAATCACAGATAACGACAAAATAACTGCATACAATTGAGTGAAGCAAGAAAATAAACGAAAGAATACCTATCAATACATTTATTCAGTGAGTAAGATACAAAAAAAGTTGATTAAATAATTAATTACAAATGATGAAGAGGTTTAGGAAGTGCTGGTTGAGGACCTATTCCACCGGCTAGTTGATAAGTTATTACGGCAACTGTTGCTGCTAACCAATCAGTTGCTTCATGTGTATATGATTCAGCATAAATACGTACAGCGTTTTCTGTGCCTGACGGACGAACGAATGCACGTGATATACCAATTTTATTGACTAATTTATCAGCTTGTTGAACAGCTTCATCAATAGCAGCCTTGAAATTGTAAAACAATTCATAGATCATAGATTAAAGAGTAAATGATAAAATTATTACTATTAGAATCATTAACAGTAATTGTAAAAGTGAACAGATTATACATACAAAAACGATTTCGACTGAATGAAGCTTAAAAACCCTCATTAAAAAGCTTTACATTTTAGTAAAATTTAATTGAGAAAGCATGTTTACAGATGAATACTGCATGTTACAAAATAAATGCTAAATGAAGTAAATTCCAGAAATTCAATCTGATAAATAGCTAACTAATCATTAATCAATGGTCGTCATTAAAATCTAAATTGTTTGAGTTTAGAAATAATTTTTCATTGGTAAATTAAAGTTATCATCGTTAATTGACACCAGTTTATAACATTAGTTGACTAATTAAGCTTCAAAATATCAAATAATCGTTAGCTAATGTTATTATCACTAATTTTGGCACTATAGAATTATGGTGATCGTTGTTTTACATTAAAATCATTGGCAAATCATTGTTAGACCGTCATTACTAATACTTACAAATTTCACTGAAGGAACAATAATTTTTGACTGACTATCGAAGTAAAACTAACTAATATATATTTCAAGTTTACACTGATACATTTTTGAACAGATCTGATACAGACGCATATAATCAAAAGAGTGCAGTGAATCGAATAACAATCTACATCTTATATTAGTTCTACACTTGTGTTATATTGACATGTACTGATAATTTTTGTGGTTTTGTGGTGCTAGAAACCCCCTCCCAAAAAATATTTTGATACAGATGAAGACTGATTTATACTCTTTCAAATCGTTATAATACGTTATTTTTCTGTGCTGGACACTTTCTCTCAATAACTTTTCTATATAGTACATATATGAATTATTCTATACTAACCTAGAAAAATAAGATTCAAGTTTTATTCAAATGAGAGATCTGGGGTTGATCGTGGTTATGAAAATATCTCAGAACTTGATTACATAAACAGGTAGGTCTACCTCAGACAAATTTTACACAGGTCCATCAGATTGCATCAGTATTTTATAACTTGAACGGATGATTGCTAAGATTATTTGACATAGATAGAGACGATCAAATGTGAAACTTAAATCACTTGATTAGTGTAACCAGACGAATCGCAATAATCACTAATTGTACTGGTGAAAACTGTAGTATCATACATTTATAAGTTTTATGAATTAATATTAGAGATAAAGTCAATTATTATTCGTCGAAGAACTTATTTTTCTGAATATTTTACATAAACCCCTTCTAATAATGATATCAGTAACATACTATCATTGAAAAAATCAGTGGATTCCTGAACTCAGTTGTGCGTTTACGGCAAAAGGCGCTTGGTTCAAGTTTCGATTAAAATATTTACATCGGAATGCAAGTGTATTCATCTGAGGAGTTGCAAAAAGGATGGAACACGTTTCCTGGACTCTATCGGTCTAGACACAATGCACTAAGTCTAAGTAACCTGTAATAAAACAGTCTAATCGAGAGAACCGCTGCAGGAAACACATAAGATTGATCAAAATTCAATCGAAAAATACGAACAAGGTGATAATTAGAACCCTTCCTTGTAATGGTTTAGTATAAATCTCAAATTAGTAAAAAATTCAACACATTACTTGTAATTTAAATATTATGATGATTAACTAGATAGGTGGGACAGATTATCGGAATATGTACTTCATGAACAGTTAAGTTGAATATAAAGCAAGATTCAGTCAATCAATCAACAACAGCGCAACACTTTTTACGTACGTACATCGTTTCAAGCAAGAAATAAAATTCCAATAGCATTGAACAGAATTTTTTTGGATATTACATATTCAAGATGTATAAGTTACTATAGTAACAACAAAACTATAATTCAATTACTTAAATAATTAATAAATGGATTTAAAATAATTATTAACAAAAACATTGATAAATTTACTTGTAATTCAATTGGACTTGTTATACGTCTTTCATCCCATGTAACTTGTATCAGATCACGTTTAGCTATGGTAACCTTCAATTGCTTCGATGGTAAATCCTCATACATTGAAAACCAATTATTAAATGACCAATTTAACCAAGCTAATGTATATTCTACTAATAGAATATCAGTGATAGCATCACCAATTGAAGTATTTGTTAAATCAATAAATGTACGTAGTGGATTATTCACATTTAAATTTTCTACAAAGTTTAAAACATGTTTAGAAAATAATACAGTTCCATGTCCGTTAGCCTATTTTAATAAGAATGGGATGATGAAAAGAAGAGAGAAAAACAAACACAAAAAAAGAAAGAAAGTTAAGTGACATGAAATTTAAACACAAAATTGTTTTTTTTTCTAAATAGTATATTCAATGAGTAAGTCTAACAGTGGAATTTAATATGAGCATAGACTTCATTTTATCCATTCAGAATGAACATGTGGTAAAAAAAAATACTAGTTTATTGAAATCCTCAATATCAACAATGGGAAATAATAAACTCCTAATTGAAAAATTGGCCTTAAAATGAAACGAAAATTATAAAGTCATTTCGATATCACTAATACTATTACTCACATGGAGATATTAAAATTAGCACGACTTTTCTGCATTTTTGAGAAGCAAAAATAGTTGTATCAGACCGATTCAGTAGACGTACACTGTCAGTTTTGTTGTGTTTATATGTACAACAGACTGAATATAAACATATAGAATTCGAACAAATCATCTAAGAGGTTGTATGATTTGATTACTTAAACTTAAGCTGAGAGCAGATAGCATAAAAAGCGATATCGACGTTCATTCTTCAATAATCTGATTGCAATATTCAGTCAGTCATAATTGCGTCACCATGCCAAATTAATATGACAAGATGAAATTACCGAGATGAATTGAAAAAAAAATTGAAATAAGGTAGCAGCAGTCATAATCAGAAAGACTAATCATTGAGAATATGGTTCAGGAAAACGAAATATAAAGATAATCAGTCAGTTGCAACGTAGGAACTTCCTACGTATGTACATAAGTTCATGTCGCCATACCACATGAGCACAGAGACGCAAATTCAAATCAAATCCCATAGTGATAAAGATAGTAGGGGTATTGATGGTAATGAAGAAGACTATGGTTCGAAGATATTATTTAAGAAGTATGATTCAGCGAGATAAGGTTACAAAGAAAAAGGTAGAGGTGCTGACGAATCCAGAAGATCAGGATTTGAGAGAGCACAATGAACGGATGCACTTGCGCCATTGCAAACAATTTTGAGCCATGTCATTCAAGGTCTCTAACCATTGGTGACTTTCGTCTCGCGCACACCAACCAGTTAGTCTACATCTACCAACATGATACAGTCCACTAGTCAGTGGTTTCATGGATTTGTGCCATGTTTTGGTCTGGCCGCCCCTAGCTTTCTTCCAATCTACTCCTACACCACAAAACATAGCTCGTCGGGGCAGTCGGTGGTTGGCCATACGTAACACATGTCCCAACCACCTCAACTGATGAAGTTTCACTACTTCATCTATTGATTTGCCATTCTTACCTAGAACTCGTTTCCTAACGACAGCATTGCTTACTCGGTTGTCCCATGATACACGAGTAATGCTGCAGAGACATCGATGATCGAAAACTAGTAACCTACGAACATCTTCTACTCTTAACGGCCATGTTTCACAGCCATAAAGTAACACGGAGCGAACTACTGCGCAGTAAACTCGTACTTTGGTCAGCAAACACATATCACGCCTACGCCATAAGTGACGCAGGTTGGCAAAAGCCAATAGAGCCTTCTGTATCCGAGCTGAGATTTCGTCAGTCACCAGGCCATCAGCACTGATGAGACTCTCTAGATAAGTGAAGTGATCAACGCGTTCGACTTCTTCACTCCCTACCACTAGTTCAGGTGACGATGCAACCCAGTCTTGAAGCAACATTTTGCATTTCGTGGGGGAAAACCGCATCCCGAACATGCTCGCATTGTTGCTTAGGGTAGTCAGAAGACTGCATTTTTTCAGCGTCTTCACCGAATAGAACTAGGTCATCGGCGTATTCTAAATCAGTAAGCGACTTTCCTGGTAGAAGGTCAACCCCTGAAAAATCTGACGAGCCTAATGTTAACTGTAAGAGGATGTCTACGACAAAGTTAAACAAGAATGGAGAAAGTGGACAGCCCTGACGGACACCACTTGATGTAGAGAATTCAGATGACAGTTCGCCATATGCTCTCACTCTACCAGTAATGTTCGAGTAGAGAGCTTGTATGAGGTTAATGTACTTCTTTGGTACACCTCTCAATGACAGACACTGCCACGGAACCTGACGATCCACTGAGTCGAATGCCACTTTTAGGTCCAGGAACACGACTATTGTCGGACGTCTAAATCTGTGTCTGTGTTCCAGGACCTGTCGTAGTGTGAAGATGTGGTCTATACAACCACGTCCAGGTCGAAAACCAGACTGGTTTTCTCGAGTCTGCTCTTCACGAGCTTTCGTTAAACGTCGAAGTATAATCGAGGCTAACAATTTAGAAACTATATTAGTTAGACTGATTCCCCTGTGACTGTCACAAGAGGACTTTTGTCCTTTCTTGTAGATTGGGACAATTAACGACTGAGACCAGTCGGATGGGATTACGTCCAATTCCCAAATTCTACCTAAGATTTCGGTCAGTCTAACTGTTAAAACTGGACTACCATCCTTAAACACCTCAGAGGCAAGCCTATCAGGACTTGCTGATCTACCTCGCCTTAGATTTCCTATAGCTTTCTCAACTTCATGTATACTGGGAGGACTTAAGTCGATTTGCCATTCAGGATGACTGGGGATCGTGGGTAACAAAAGTGTGGCTGAAGGCAGGTTGAACTGATCCCTAAAGTGTTCTGCCCGTCTATCCAGTCTACTGGATTGAGAATAAATAATAGTCCTGTCATTTTCCGCGATAGTCTCACTCACACTCGGGTTCCTAATACCGGTTTCTTTAATAAGGCGGAAAAGTTGTCTAGTGTTGCCTATCGTCGCTGCCTTTTCCATCGCTTTTGCTTTCGCCACCCACCACTGTTCACGGTCGTTACGTAGGCTTTTTATAAGTCTGCGCCTAAGCTGACTACGCTCTTCATCATGTTCAGAGTCAGGTGGGATGCGTTTTCGTGCATCCATCAGTTCGGTGGATGAGACTGAAATCCACGGCTCCATCCTAGGCTTGTGGTTAGGGTTAGGAGATATCACAGCAGCAGATATCACAGCTGTTTCCATAGCATTCTTAAAAGCAGTCCAACCTCACTCCGGATGGGAATCACTTGCATGGTCACTCAACTGTTTTTCTAGTTGCTCCTGAAATATTTTCTTAGCTTGATTATCATCAAGTAAAGCCCTAAGAGGCTACCTTACGGTGTCTTTCCTACGTCCAGTAAGCCTCAAACAAATACGCGCTCGCACTAGGGCATGATCTGAATCTAAACATGTGCCCCACAACGAGCGACAGTCCTCTATCGAATCCCTCCATCGGTGGATGATGGCGATATGATCTAGTTGCGTCCAACGTTGAGACGACTTTGGAGGTCGCCAGGTCAACAGATGCTTTTCCTTATGCCTAAAGTTAGTGTTTGCTAAGAATAGGCGGTTGTCTGAGCATACTTGCAACAGACGGTCACCATTGTCTGTTCTCTGAGCAGCGACACCATAACATCCACCTAGGTGTCTTTCATTTTCACTTAGTCTACCTACTTGAGCATTAAAGTCACCAGCCATTATTACTATATCAGAGCGCCTAGCTTTTTGGAGGAGGTCCGAAAGCTTTCTGTAAAACTCATCTTTAACCTCGTCTGAACTGCAGTCAGTGGGGGCATAAGCAGATACGATGAAGAGGCAACGACGAGTGTCCCTATCTTTCCAAGTCCTTACTGTCCCGTTTAGTCGGACAGCGCACAAGCGACTATCTACTGGGATCCAGTCAAGGAGAGATTGTTCTGCCCTACGACTCAATACTATACCTACACCAGCGAGACCCCGGGAAGCAGCATCAGGGCTTCCAGATACAGGAAGAGTAAATCGAGCTGCTTCTTTATCTTGACATGGTGAGGTAAAGTGAATACTGCTACTTGGATCCTGTATGCGCGTTTCTGAGACGCAGCACACATCGATGGCACGAGATTCTAAAGTCCTAGCTAATGATCCCTGTTGCCCTATTTGACACAATGTCCGTACATTAAATGCTCCAACATGTAGTTTAGAACGGGGTTTCAAGAGACCAGGAACGGCCTTGTGAACTCGCATCGTTTGCATTAGCTGAGCAATGTGATAAATGAATGTGAAAAGAGTTAGTCATGGAGATAAGACAGGTATTAGGGGGTGTAGGAAGGATTTGATTTTGAACAATTTGGTCTCGTGTGCGGTTATCCCTTCCCGGCTGCCCATACCATGGAAGGTTGTTTCTTGAGGGACCTGAAAATGAAGATAGATTAGTGTTGGTCTTGGAGACCTGGGAGCGTGACCGCACAGTCCATGGGACAACTGGTTGAGGCCGGTCACGCACGGCCTTTTAATGAAAGGTTTTTTGAGGATTAGCTCCGCTCTTAAAGACTCTTAGTGGGCACCCTTACTCAAGGAGACGGAAATCCGTGAGGTAGGGTGAGGTGTGACATTTTTAGGGCCGACTTTTTCTAACCCTTCCTTCCTTGTGAGAAGGCAGCATCGCTGCAGATGCTGGTTTTCCGAGGGAAACACCATACTGCTGTCACACCCCTCAGCAGTCAGCAGTACGACTTCGCCCTCAGACCTTGAGTAGCTAGTTTTAGTCTCATAGTTCTCCGATCGACCTGCCTGGCATGGTAGAACCTGCAGGAACATATGTTCCAGCCAGTATAGCTCGGTTGGGTCATCACGATAGGCAAGCCCGACCACTACGTCAAGGTAGCAGCTTCGGTCGGGAAATGTAAAGATATGTACGAAAAAATATCGGAACTCGAGGTAAAGAGTGAGTGAACCTGAGAGTTTATAACCAATTTTCAATCCAGTCATCCAACATTTTCAGTCGTCGATCATGGTTATTGATCAAGCCTCATTCACGCAGTCTATGTCTACCAACATAGTTCAGACAGACAGTCAATGGCTTCATGGACTGATTCCATGTTTTAATTTCATCGCCCTTAGCTTTCTTCCCACCTACTTCCACACTACATAACATTTCACGTCAATATAGGAAATGGTTAGGTATATGCAGCACAGATCTCAGCCACCTCAATTAATAAAGATCTATGACAAATCCGATTTTCTGTCTTTGCTTAGTACCCTACGCCTAACCTAAACAATACCTGCTCGGTCATTACACGATAAGTAAGCAACATTTCGAGAACACTTATTCATTTTTTTAATTGAAACAGGAGAGATACGACCATTAAATGTGGAATACGAAGGACGAATATTTTAGCAACAATGATTGTATGTCCTCTCATATAACTGGGAAATAAACAGTATCAATTACCAGTGTTGAAATAAAACTTACTGAGGAAATTTAGTATTTTGTATTTCCAAAACACAACGGTACTTAAAAACCAGTTTGAAGATGTTATCTCTATGCTTCAGACAGAAACTAGTCAAGATGTCTGTTTACAATAGAAACTTTTCAACGCAACGGTACTAAAGAGAACATATGCACTGATGAAAAGATTAGAAGTGCTGAATAACAAAAAATGATTGTGAATCATTTTCCGAATAATAACACATATTTATGCTTCAGCTTGGCTTCAATAGTCACCACCCCGAAATTCAATATTACTAACTGCAGTTGGATAAACTTTGCTTACACAATGTACTAATAATTTCGGACAAGAGAATTATACCCTACTTCGATTTAATTGTTATTAATTGGTGTTAGTAAAACTGTATCCATTGGAGGACGAAATCTGGATAATAAAACTAAGTGATAAGAGATTAAAGCCCCTAAGTTTGGTGTTGCCGGCAGTTAAACATTAGCTAATTACACAACTAAAATTGAAGGAACTCAGGTTTCTCCCGAGAATCATAACTACATTGTTAGGAAATTTATCCCGATTCAGATTTTTAGAAAGGTACGCGTTTCTTGAGGAAATAGTTGTAGGTACATCTTCTTCATGATAATCAGGAGGATTGAAACTTGGATGAAAGGATTACTATGCCTACAGCATTGATATATTAGACTTCAGTTATTGTTACACCACACAGAAATTAAAGCAATAAACAATAATCAAGTTTATTACCTCAAAATAAATTCCAAAATCAAAGCCTTGCGCTGCATGATGTAAGTGTTTTACTCCAGTCGGAACACAAACCACTGATACATGTAGATTTTCGGTTAAATAACGTGTAGACGCAGAATTTGCATAGGCTGTCTGTATAACCCCAATAGTTAAATTATGATCGGATGATATGGACTTGAGAACTTTAACAAGAAAATGAGCAAACAGACACGATATACGATCACCGTCCAGAATTTCAACTGGTTGAGATACACCTCCAGTTACATGCAATTTTTTTATACCATTATTTAACTTATCATCATCACCCGAAGATGGTGAACAGTGTGTAAAAACTGGCCGAAAATAAATTAATCTATCAGCATCTCCATCAATAGTTGCCCATCGATCCGGATACATCATAGACTGTTCATTCGGCGGAGTTAACTTCGGTGCATGTAATGTAATCTGTTGAACGCATAAGAAGAAGCAACATATATATAATTACGAAAAACCAGAAGGCAGAGAATTCGAAAAGCGAACATTAGTTGCTCCTTCTAGGTTCAATAAATTAAATAACAGAAAAATGTTCTTCAGATACTACATTTTTCAGTAAAAATTCGAAAATAGATATGGAAAAATTAGACGTGTAGACCGTAGTTGTTACTATGACGTAGTGGTCGGGCTTGCCTATCGTGATGACCTCCTAACCGAGCTATATTGGCTGGAACATATGTTCCTGTAGGTTCTACCATGCCGGGCAGGTCGATCGGAGAATGGCAAGACTAAAAGTAGCTACTCAAGGTCTGAGGGCGAAGTCATACTGCTGACTACAGAGGGGTGTGACCAGACAGACATACAACGCAGAACTTCGTACATAAGTACATCAGTTCAGGTTGCCATACCACATCAGCGCAGAGACGCAACTGTCACTTCGAATTCAGGAGTTATGGTGATAGTAGAAGTATTAGCAGTAATGGAGAACATTAGGGAGCGAAGATATGATTCGAGAAGTATAATTCAGTAAGATAAATTTAGATGCAACTGCGCCATCGCAAACGATTTTGAGCCATATCGTTCAAGGTCTCTGACCATTGGTGACTTCGTCTCGCGCACACCAACCAGTTAGTCTACATCTACCAACATGACTCAGTCCTCTTGTCAGTGATTTCATGGATTTGTGCCATGTTTTGGTCTGGCCGCCCCTAGCTTTCTTCCAATCTACTCCTACACCACAAAACATAGCTCGTCGGGGCAGTCGGTGGTTGGCCATACGTAACACATGTCCCAACCACCTCAACTGATGAAGTTTCACTACTTCATTTATTGATTTGCCATCCCTACCTAGAACTCGTTTCCTAACGAAAGCATTGCTTACTCGGTTGTCCCATGATACACGAGCAATGCTCCGGAGACATCGAACTGCTGCGCAGTACACTCGTCCTTCCTATGCCGGAAAGGGACATCCTCCCTCATACCCATAAAAGCACAATCAAATCCTATTACACCTCCTAATAACTGTCTTGTCTCCACGACCAACTCTTCTTTCGTTCCTTTGTCACTTCACGCCGCTGGTGCAAACGATTCGAGTTCACGAAACGTTGTTCCTGGTTTCCTGAAATCCCGCTCTAAAATGCATGTTGAAGCTTTGAATGTTCGAACCTTGTGTCAAATAGGGCAACAGGTTCCCTTAACTAGAACTTTAGAATTTCATGCCACTAATGTATGCTGCGTCTTCAAAACGCGCATACAGGATGTGAGTAGAATCATTAAGTTTACTCCATATTTTCTAGATAAAGAACCAACTCGTTTTACGCGTGTATCCGTGTATCATGAAGCCCTTCTGCTTCTCCTCGTAGCCTTGCTGGCGTAGGTATAACATTGAGTCGTAGGGCAAAACTAGCTCTCTCAGACTGTATCTCAGTAGAAAGTCGCTTGTGTGCTGTTCGACTAAACAGGACAATATGGACTCGGAAAGATAACGGCACTTGCTGTTGCCTCTTCGTCGTATCCTCCTACGCTTCCACGGACTGCGGTCCGGACGAGTTAAAAGCTAGTGGCGACAAGACCAAAACATGGCACAAATTCATAAAGTTACTGAAAAGTGGACAGAGTCATATGTTGGTAGATGTCAACTACCTGGTTGGGGTCCGCGAGATGACAGTAACCGATGGTTAGAGACCTTGAAAGACGTAGCTAAAAATTGTTTGCAATGGCGCAGGTGCCTTCATTCATTGTGTTCTCGCAAATTCTAATCTCCTGAATTCCTCATTGCATCTATCGTTCGCTTTCTAAATTTATTTCACTGAATTATAATTTTTGAATAATATCTTCGAACCCTAATCTTCTCCATTACCGCTAATACTTCTATTATCTTTATCACTATGCGATTTGAACGGACAGTTGCATCTCTGCGTAAATGTGGTATGGCAACATGAACTAATGTAAGTGCGTACAAGGTTCTACGTTGTAATCGACTGAGCTGAACACTGATTGGCACGTATATACGGACCAAGATTTACATACGTCAGCAAGGTTAGTCTTCAGGGATTCTATCAAATGTCATATAATATGCTGATAATAAGAATACGTTCATTAATAACGTTCAGATTGTATATTTATGTATATTTATATCATAATCCTCAGTACATTTTGTCACTAAACAAGGTAACAAAATATATAAACTGTACAAATAAAAAACATCTACTCATTTTTAATTTGAATGATATTCATTAGACACTCAGCATTTTATAAGGTGATCGTTCAAATAAAAACAAGCACTTAATAAATAAAAGACGTGTCCAGTGGAGTTCAACCTTATCGGGTGTAGGCAGTAACTACAAATGGGTGAGGTCGGGCAAAATCCCTAGATTGATCAGAGTTAGACATTAATACCGTTAGATGCCAACCTATCGGTCCAGAGGTTAGGCATTCGCGCGCAAGACCTAAAATCCCAAGTTCAAATCTTGCACTGCTGATGAGTCCCGTACCAGGACGAAACGGCCGTCCAGTGCTTCCAGCTTTCTAATTGTGGTCGAACAATGATTCATTCATGATTTCAAGGTAATAAATAAATGATAAGACATAAAATGAGTTCAGGTAACGACTGGTTTTTTTTCTACAGAATACGATCGGGATATGTTGACTTTAGATAATCAGATGTATATACGCTTGTGTAGTCATTGCACATGTTGGTTTAGGAAAAATTGGTGCAAAATGCGTTTACAAACTGTTTGAAAGAAATCACATAGAAGCTTTGATTCACATTTTCAAGTTTTTTTTTAGTCGGTCCAACATCTTAACTTAGTGTTTAAGCATCCAAGTAATGTAGGTGTGACCAACCGCCTGGTAATTTTTATTTTAAAAGTATAGTTAGTTAATATAAACCAAACAATAATCTAAAGTAACACACGAAGAAACTTTGGGGGAAAGGAATTCGCTACAAAGAATAAAATCAAATATTTAGTGTTATAAAAGATTGTAGTTTCATACACAATCACTGTATAATTGGACGTAGTGAAGGACAAAACATTAGTGTTATTAAATGAGACCTTGATACAATAAAACTTCGCCTGAACACTCCTGGAGTTAATGCCAGACGCAAGCTCACGTAAGGGAAGAGGGTAAGACTCAGGGTAAATGACCATGTCTAGTCGAAAATCGAATCACTAACGAAAAGCAGACCAAAAAATATGATTGTAACCAATTAAACAATGCCGTGTGAGTTAGATCTTCATTTAGAAGAATTATTAAGCCTCATGATTACTTAGTGACATCTACTTAAGCCTTTTACTCCTAATGGAGCATAGGCTGTCAACCAGCATTCTCTAACCTACTCTGTCCCGGGCCTTCTTTTCCATTTCCACTCAATTGTTGTTCATTCTTTTCATGTCTGCTTCTAATTCTCGGCATAATGTTTTTCTTCGGTTTTACTCTCTTCCATTGGCCTTGGGGATTCCAAGCGAGGGCTTTCCTTGTGACTCGGTTGGTGCACACCAGCGATAACAATGATGTTAAAGATCAATTATATGGGAGGCTGCATTCAATCGTTGAGAAATGCCTAACAAAGGACTTGATCTGATGGACAACACCGGATATGAAGACATCATGGGACGACATGGACTGGGAGAAAGGAATAAAAATGGTGAGAGGCTTGCAAACCTATGTGCCTTCAAAAAACTGGTCGTAGGCGGCACCATATTCCCACACAAACGTATACACAGGGCGACATGGCTTTCACCGGATCATACTACACAGAACCGAATTAACCATATCTGCATCAATAAAAAGTTCAGAAGGACGATGGAGGACGTGAGAACCAAGAGAAAGTTACCTTCAGATCATCACTTGGTAGTGGCGAAGATGAAACTGAAATTCAAGAAGCACTGGACAACTGGTCGAACAACATCACAAAAGTTTAGTGTGACCTTTCTCCGGGAAACTCGCTTTTCACGATCTACTCGATGAAGAAGAATCTAAAATGGAGAACAATCGAAAGGGAATCAATGAAACAATAACTTCACCATGTAATGAGATTCTGAACCACAAGAAGCACCATTAAAAGGAATGGATCTATGTTAATACCCTGGATAAAATTCAAGAAAGGCAGAATGAGAAGGCAGCAATCGATATCAGCCAAACGAGAGCAGAAAAAGCTGCAAGGGAAGGAAACATAAGACAACTATCTGATACAACGAAGAGGTTAACTGGAAAATATCGTAAACTAGAACTACCAGTGCACAGCAAGGAAGGCAAAGTAGTCGCCGATATTGAAGAACAACGAAACAGAAGGTTAGAGCACTTTGAAGAACTCTTGAATCGACCAGCTCCACTGAACCGACCTGAGATAGAAGCAGCACTTATACACCTTTCAACTGACGTTAACCTATCAGCAACGGAAAAAATCACATGGCTACCATACAAATCAAGAGCGGCAAAGCAGACAACAACGACCAGACAACATTCCAGCTGAGGCACTGAAAGCGGACATAACAGTAATTGCAAAGATGTTCCACGCTCTGTTCAGCGAGATTTGGAAGGGAGAACAATCACCAACAAACTGGAAAGATGGACACCTCATCGAGATACCAAGGAAAGGAGATCTCAGCTAGTGTGAGAACTACAGGGATATCACTCTTCTCTGAATACCAGGAAAAGTCTTCAAAAGAGTGTGGTTAAACCAAATGAAAGATTCGGTGGACGCCCGTAAGGATAGATCATGTACCAACCAAATCGCGAGTAAGTAGGAGAATGCTGGTTGGCAGCCTATGCTCCATTAGGAGTAACAGACTTACATAGAAGTTAGTAAGTCCATCCACAATAATCAAAATGAATCTTTATCAATTTCTAGGCTACGTAATGCTAACAATTCTATATTTCATTTATCTAACCCGTAATTAAATATGTAGTTCATTACATAGTAGGTAAATCTGCACGCGGTTAGTAATTTTTGTTAAATATTACTATCAAAATATAAAAGATACCATATAAATAGCTTACCTTAACAAAATCAGCCCCACAATCCTGATTCAGCAACTCCTTATTCTCAGTATCTGTATTATATAAGTGTAAGATTAATTTACGCAGACACTTGACAGATGAAAAGTATGAACGAAAACGTTCCAAAACTTTAGAACCAACACCATGTGCACAGTCTACATTTAGATGTATTGACTCAGTACAACTTTTTAAATTTTCTAACGCGGTAGTGAAACGTTCAGCAAAATGATGAACGTAAATAGTTTCTAATTCGATGAGTTGATTGAGATGTAGGCTACCGATTGAATTCTGTAATTTTATAAAGAACAGAAAGACAATACAAAGCAACAATAACACAGCAATAACACTAGAAATCATTTAAATTAAACGAAATCATAACACCGTGATTCTTACTTCTGAGCTTTACTGAACTACTCTGTATTGCGTAATCTGATTTCTGTCTGGGGATTTGTTTTTTTTTGTTCCTATACTCTCCTAGAATATTCAGATATTTGACTGCCTCGTCGAGCTATATTTTGCGGTGTAGGAGTAGGCTGGACGAAAGCTAGGGGCGGCCAGACCAAAACATGGCACAAATCCATGGGGTCACTTACGAGTGGACTTAGCCATATCGATAGTTGTCGACTACCTGGTTGGGGTCCGCGAGATGATAATCATCAATGGTTAGAGACCCTGAATGACATGGCTCAAAACCGTTTGCAATGGCGCCGGTGCATTTATTCTTTGTGTCCTCTCAAATTCTAATCTTCTCGATTCTTCAACACCTATAGTTTCGACTCTCTAAACTTTTCTCACTGAATCATACTTCTTGAATAATATCTTCTAATCCTAACCTCTCCGATTACTTCTAATACCTTTACTACCTCTTCTACTATTGGATTTGAATTGACGATTACTTCTCTGTGCTGATGTGGTATGGCAACATGAACTGATGTACTTATGTACAAAGTTCTACGTTGCATCTGACTGACTGACAGCACAGAGATATAATTGTCAATTCAAATCCAATAGTAGAAGAGGTAGTATAGGTATTAGCAGTAGGCGGAGAGGTTAGGATTAGAAGATATTATTCAAGAAGTATGATTCAGTGAGAAAAGTTTAGAAAGTCAAAACTAGAGGGGTTAAAGAATCGAGAAGATTAGAATTTGAGAGGACACAAAGAATAAATGCACCGGCGCCATTGCAAACGGTTTTGAGCCATGTCATTCAGGGTCTCTAACCATTGATGATTATCATCTCGCGGACCCCAACCAGGTAGTCGACAACTATCGATATGGCTAAGTCCACTCATCAATGACTGTGCTAACGTGGTATGGCAACATGAACTGATGTACGTACGTACGAAGTTCTACGCTGCGATTGATTTATTGATTGATATTCAGATATTTAACTTATAAATTAACAAACGTTTGAATAATTTTAATTCTTCAGTATTATGATCGCTTGATATTCGTCTATTTCCAAATTTTAACTCAGGTTTTTCTTGATATTTCTGAGGTAAAATATGCACACTTGTTTCATTTTAATGAGTAATAGTATAATTTTAGGTTGTAAGAAGTTGAGGAGAATCTATGAAATAAATAAATTCATGTTATTTTGCAACGATATTTGTTCTTTCGTTATTCAAGTCTATGAATGAGAGAAATTCTGTGAAACTTATATAGTAGAATAGTAAAACGCTTTAGGCAAAAAAAGATTTCTTTAAAATTACTTGACAAATTCATGAACTTACAATATATTGAACAAAGTAGTGAAGCTGTGGAGTAGTCACCAGTCCAATTTCATGGCAAATACCATCCATGACATGAACACCTTGTTTAACTTCGTTTGCTAAAGCTGGAGAACTTTCACGACTGTCATAACCCAAAACAACATGAGGTAATTGGTTATCTGAAAGATAAGATGAAATGTTAATAAAATTATGTAAAAAAAATGGAATACTTACCTAGAACTTTATTCAGAAAAATAGGCATATTAATTCAGATACAAAAAATTACGTAATAATTATATCAAAAATAATAAATGTAGCATGAATAATTAATCAACTTATACCTGCATACGAACTCACTGTGCAATGATATGAGGATAGAATTCCAGTATGAGAGTTTCATAGTATATACGATTAGTCAATTACCTTTCATACAATGGTTGTTAGTATAAAAACCTTACTTTTTCTACCTAAGTATCTGTAAATTTTAATGCTTATTTTTTAATCTGAGCCGTAAATGTTTACTTATGATGGAATAGATACTGAATAAGTTCATGTGGGAGCATCAAATGTCACCAACAGGTCTACTGACTTAGAGAGAAACACAGCAACAGTGTTGGCATAAATTTACTTTTATTTGTTTGAGTGTAATATAGACGAAATAGTCACTACTGAAATATGAAAAGTGGACTAATAATACTGATGATAAACCCTCTTAAATGGTTAATTTTAATAACATATTAAAGTAATCAAAGATATGAAGTAAAACTAAGTAGTCTTTTAACTAATAAAATTTGTAACTAGAGTTTTATCCTAACTTTCATTAATTTTGTCTGGTAGGTAGCAGTTGGTTAGGAGAAGACCACGTAACAAAAACTTAAGGGTGAAGAGATAAACCACTACTATTAGTACATGAATTCATGAACTGTGTGGTTCAAGAGCAGAGTTAAGGACTGCAGTAATTGGTTTGTAGGACAATTACAATCTATAATTGGAAACCTTATGTTACAGCTCACAACAACTATGCTTTGAAGAAAAGAATGGAGTCGGGCATGCTCGCTGAGTTGCAACAATCAGTAAGTCAATCAGTCAAATAAACGTAAAACTTCGTACGTACGTACATACGTTCAGGTTGCCAGACCATATTAGCACGGAGACGCAACTGCGACAATCATTAGTAGCAGGTTTCTCCTACCTAATAAGTATCAGTCAAAAGCATAAATAATGTGTATTTGATCTTTAATGTACTTTACACAATACATTTGTGAACAAAAGGGGATTATATAAAGTAGGTTGTAATCAGAAATTGGATTATGAACAGTAAATTACTTCTTCAACAATAAAGCTAACTCATAAAACAGATCATACCTTGAGGATCGCGACAATGTTCCGATAACCATTTAGAGACAGATTCATCACGACAACTCATGAAATTAACTACGACTGGTTCCCACTCAGCATCCAACATACCACCATGGGGATCAACTAGCTTCATTCCATTGTCACACGGTGGGTTGTGAGAGGCAGTTATCATTACACCCACTGCCCTACATTGCTAAATAGGTTAGTTAAAACTTGCATCGGTACCAAGTTTAATGATCTAATGCATGCCAGTATACCTAATCGAATCGCTACACCGCCTAATTTATCGGCTGGCAGACGAAACCCGGCAGTACCGTAAGACAACGTAGACGGATCGACGATCTTGAAATCTTTAAGGAAGGTTTCCAATTTTTGGAAGCGTTCGTTTAGTGCCATGTATCCTATAAAAAGGAATAAACAACATAAGATCAAGGTTTGGAAGAAAACACTATGACCCTACTAAAACACGTCTACATGGAGAGCTATAATTTACGTGATGTAAGAAAATATAAAAATACTTTGGCTCATTTACAGGGTTGATATTGATTTGTGATAGGGAATAGGAACGGAAAACTAAATAAAGAATATTTTGCACACTGGTTTAACAAAATTAGCATTAACACGACTGAAACAGATAGGAATTAGACGCATTAAGTCTTCATTATCATATGTAGGGAATGCAATGCAGTGATGAATATGCACTAACTAAAGTACTCTGATGTGGCCTTCTGTCTAAAAACTATTACATAAAAAGATAGTGCTACCAGACATTACACACATAATACACTTGTAACGTAGACGGCTAAGGATTCTATGAACACAAAGGAAAACTAAATAAAGTTGATAGCGACTACAACGAACGAGTTGATAAGTTGTGTGGCGTAATTTCTGAGTTTAAGGATCATTTGTCTAAAAAAGGACTGTAGCTAGGAGTCGGAAACTACTTTCGGTCAAACTCAACTTTACCTAGATCCATTTGTGTCACTGAATAAAAATGACAAGATCTCACAAAAAGGTTTGAATAATAGGTCTAAATAGATCATACACAAATCAGTCGTAAATAGGAATATCCAAATGAAGGTTACATATCAGATGAGAGTATTTTTTCCGGAATTTGACTATCTTAGAGATTCTAATATATCTAGAGAAAGTGTTTTGGTAAGAAAAAACTTCCAAGAACGAACGAATACATGGCTCAGTAAATCCATTTTACTCATTGACCGCGTTATTTTTATATAGACCAGATATTTACATTTCGTCAGGTTCCAGAACACAGACACATTTCAGAGTCCTACAATAGATGTATCCTTCGACCTTCAGGTTCCACTCGAGAGTCTATACAGCCCTTATCATTTACCAGTTTTAGTAGGAAACTAATCACGATTTTATCTTTTTGGTTGAAGTGGAATCATGAAAATAATTGTGGTACTAATGCCAATCACAGTGAGGTTACCCCAAAAACTTTAATAAGCTTATGACTCATGTAGAACACTCGAAATTGGAATCTACTACTACTGATAATTGATACTCCATTTAGTATGCGCAAGTCAGCTCAAACTTTACTACACCGTAAACCTTGAGATTGTTCGCTTTCCTAAAATTTGCACTGCACTCACTCTTCTTACAAGACATGGCTGACAGCTACCTCGACCACGGTCTACACTGCGGAGACAGATGCGATTGTCTGTATACTGAACTCAGTAGACATTCTACAAAACATAACTAAGTCACAAAGCCTAAAAATACGTCAAAATAGCATCCGTTTAGATAGTATAAAATAGTTCCACACAACTTGGTTAAACTGTCATCTCAAATTGCTCGCTTCACTAATTTTCACATATATATTACATACAGTGAGGAAACATAGTCAGCGTTAATATTCATAAAGCAGTTAAAACAGTTAAATTATCCCAAATATTTTATTTTTAGCGAAATTACCAAACAAATTTAAAAAAGAAGGCCCCCGATATCAAGCAAACTTAATAAAGTACGTCAGTGTCGACCTTGCTTACTGTTTAGGCGCTATCTCAGTGAAGGACATGTTGGTTTATTTAAAACTTTGTTGTAATAGTTTTTTCTTTTTATATAGCGACGGATATGTAGTGTGGAAGAGTGGTTCCGTATATGAACAAATGGGACTTGCCTGTCACCTAATGAGTAGTGACATCAACTGATGAAGTTTTCAATTGTAGACACTTCGAGATTCTAATATCCAATGTTTTCAGACTAGCTAGCAAAAACCTATTTCAAGCTGTAAGTCGTCGTTTCTAGGAGCAGCGATGAAAGAGTTGACACACACTAACGACTAAAATTTATTATTTCATGAGGAACTCCGACATTTATTAAAATACCTTAACAGAGAATATCAACATATCAATTTAAGAAAACTTTGGGGTTAGAAAATATCACTAAATTTTTCTCCAATAAGAGGTGAACAAGCGTTTTGTGTTACGAATACCTGCTTGAAATTCCTGCCGTGTTGTTATCGTTAACTGTATAGTTCTCTTAAATTTGCATCCAGGTGTTAACTGTATAGTTCTCTTAAATTTGCATACAGGCGTTAACTGTATAGTTCTCTTAAATTTTCATCCAAGCTCTAAACAACTGCTAAAATTTGTTTTCGATTTTATCAATGCCTGAACATTATAATCCCACACATTATTGATACTATAGCCGTAAATAAAGCCCAAAATAAATAGTTCTGTTAGTTTTCGACATGGATGTTGAACTTATTAGCTTTACTGTATACACCATATCTGAAGGCTCTCTGTCATGCATCCGCTCCACGTCACTATTTGGTAATCCATGTTACCCACCCCGTCGTTATTTAAGACCGCATGCTTCTACACATACCAGGCATCTTCCAAACCAAGCTTTGATCTCCATAATTTCTGTTTTTTGATTGATTAACATCGAAACACTCGATTGGGAAGTGTGGAGGTGGTCAAGACTGAAGTATTTTGTGAAAAATTTTCGTCAAGATTTACATTTTTCAGAATTTCAATTTATTTGTACAATCGATGTTACTGTTTGCGAAATTTCTGTTTCAATGTAACCTTATTCTACAATGGTTACTTCATTCTCACATATCAACCAAAATCATTAACAGGAGCGAAATCAAGTGCAGGAACTAATAAATGAGTAATTTCACCATACTTAAAAGACATCGAAACTATTGACACGAATACTGAGGCCGTTTGAAATAGGTGTAGCACACAAACAAACTGATTCATTTCAATAAATTTTATGTAGAGCAAAGGACAAAATGACAAGGGAAGTAAAAGCAAATATCATCTACGAAATCAACTGCTCAGACTATGTCAAACACTGTATAAGACGAAGTGGACGTCCTCTTCCGCTACGTCTGGGCGGACATCAATTGGCATTCAAAAGTCATGACAATTCTTCTCTTATATCAATACGTACAGACCACTAGGGAAAATGTTGAAATGCTGGATAGAAGGAGCACAAAGAACACTGGACAGTATTTAGAAGGTCGGCGGTCAGGTCAATCAGCAATCGACAAATGCAACGACATTGACCCAATCGATCAACCAGTTAGAGAAATCATAGGCAAACGTAGGATTAAGAAACAGACCCTAACCCTAAACAGAGATGCAAACAAGGACAGGTTTAATGTCAAAAACAGTCAATTGAGATGGAGGTTAAAAGAACATACTACGAGGTCGAAAGTGGAGAAATTTGAATACTTCACGTCTATCTGAAGTTCATGCTGATGATGAAAATCAGAAGAACAATAAAAGCTCCACAACCAGAACATCCAGCTCAGACAACGAAACTCCGCCAAAGTAATCCGCCTGAGCTGCAAATTTTCTCCACCAGCTCAAATGGATCTTGCCTACAAATTCGATACATCCACATGATAAACTGTCACTTAAGAAATAAATATTCATTATCACAACTTGAATATAACTATAAAAGATATGCGCAAGACTGAATGTTGGCTTATTATGTGAATCAGTTGCTAAAAATAATGTCTAAGGGCCATATCAGTCAGTCAGTCAAAAACAAAATGAAACTTCCTACGTACGTTTCTCAGTTCAAGAAATCAAACCAAAGAGATTAAATCGTCATTTAAAATCCCATAGTAGTAGCGGTAGTAGAAATTTTAACAGTATTCGGAGGGATTGGTATTCATAAATACCATTCAAAAAGTAGAATCTAGTGAAATGAACTTAAAAGGATATAATTATATAGAATGCAAAGGCTCAGGATTTGAGAGAACACGAGGAATGAATGCGCTTGTGCGATTGAAAAAGATTTTGAGCCACGACTCTTAACGCATATAAAAACAGGACACTAATATCTAGCGGACTCGAACCAGGTAGTTTAAACTTACTAACACGACTCAGTTCACTGGTCAGTGACTTCATGGATTTGTGCCATGTTTTGGTTTGGCCGCTCTCTTTCAACCTACTCCTACACTACAAAATATATCTCGACGAGGAAGTCGGTGGATGGGCATTCATAACACATGTCCCAACAACTTCGGCTGATGAATTTTTACTACTTTATCGATTGATCTGCCATCCTTACCTAATACCCGTTTCCTAACAACAGCATGGCTTACTCGGTAGTCCCAAAATAAACGAGTAATGCTTCGGAGACAACTATGATCGGAAACCAGTAACATACGAACACCTTCAATTCTTACCGGTCATGTTTCGCAGCAATAAAGTAGGACACAGCGAACTGCTGCACAGTAAACTCGTCCTTTAATTAGCAGACGGATATCTCGCCTACACCACAAGTGACGCGAGTTGGCAAAAGCCAATCGAGCCTTCTGTATCCGTGCTGAGATTTTGTCAGTCAACAGGTCATCAGCACTGATGAGACTCCCAAGATAAATGAGGCGGTCAACACGCCCAAGTACTTCACTGCCTATCACCAGTTCACATGCCGATGCAAGCCAATCCTGATGCAACAATTCGCATTTCAACGGGGAGAACCGCATCCCGAACATGCTTGCATCGTTGCTCAGGGTGGTGAGAAGACTATACATCTTGTCAGTGTCCTCACCAAATAGAAATATGTCATCGGCATATTCTAAGTCGAGAAGTGAATCTCCAGGTAGAAGTTCGATTCCTGAAAAACAAGACGAAGAAAGTGCTATTTCTAAAAGCATGTCGATGACAAAGTTTAACAAGAATGGAGAGTGGATATCCCTGACGGACACCACTTGAAGCAATGAATTCTGATGACAGTTCGCCATAAGCTCTCACTCGAATAGTAGTGTTCAAGTAGAGAGCTTGAATAAGGTTAATGTACTTATTTGACAATGACAAACACTGTCATAGAACGTCACGTTCGACAGAGTCAAGTCCCGCTTTAAGAACCAGAAAGACAACTATTTTCGGACGCCGAAATGTGTGTCTGTGTTCTAGGACCTAACGTAGTGTGGATATCTGGTCTATATATCCACGTCGCGGTCGATAAACAGCCAGGTCTTTTCGAGTCTGATCTTCACAAGCTCTAGTTAGTCGTCGAAGTATTATCGAGGCTAGCGATTTAGAAACTATATTAGTTAAATTGATTCCTTTATGTTTGTCACAAGAGGACTTTTGTCCTTTCATATAGACTGGGACAATCAGGGATTAAGACCAGTTGGATGGGACTACTTCCAGTTGCCAAATTCTACCTAAGATTTCAGTCGATGTAACTGCTAAAACGGGACAACCATCCTTAAAAATCTCAGAGGTCAGTGTTACGGGAGAAATGAAGACAATTGGCTGACTAAAACCTTTATATAAATATCATTAATTTTATTATTTTCGGACATTTTGGTTTCTGTTTGTCTTGGTTTGCTAATTGGGAGTTTGTGCTCCAGGAACCTATAAAATTGAAGAACGACATTTTGGTCAACTATTTGTGAATTGCGAATAAACTTTGGTACCTAACTTTGGAGTTTGGTTCTGTTGTTAATTTGGGTTCGTGAACTGCAAATAGATCGATATACTGTACTTCAATGACGGCAAGGAGCAAAACTTGGACGTAACAGTCAGTCTTTCAGGACCCGCTGTCCTCCTTCGCTTCAGATACCCTATAGCATTCTCAACTTCATAAAGGGTAGGACGACTTACGTCGATTTGCCATTCGGGTTGACTGGAGATCGTGGGCAACCGAAGTGTGGCTGAAGGCCAATTGAACTGATCCCTGAAGTGTTCTGCACATCGATCTGATCCCCTTGGTTGAGAATGATTGATACGACCATCGTTTTCTGAGGTAGTTGTGCTTACAGATGGATTCTTAATACCAGTTTCCTTGATAAGGTGGAACAGTTGTCTACATTTGCTTATCGACGCTATAAATACGTAGAACCCTTAAAAGTTTACTTGCAGTGTCTTTCCTGGGCCCAGTAAACCGCAAACAAATACGTGCCGGCTTAGAGCATGATTTGAATCTAAACATGTGCCTCAGAACGAGCAACAGTCTTAATAAAAGCATCCCCATCAGTCGCTGATAGAGTTGTGATCTAATTCTAAGCAGAATTTAAAATATTTGAATTATTTCTTCTTGTTAGAGTTTTTTAGCTAGTTAGTATGTTTTGGAATGGGGTCGCCAACCCCAAATCTTCTTTTTAACCTGGGCTTGGGACCGGCAGTAGCCTCGGAGGGTCTATATACTGAGTTTGTGTGCAGGTAGCTGGAAATAATGGGAGCTATAAGCTAGGAGTTATCATAAGCGAAAGAAAGCAAGGAAAAGTTTGATGCATCCCAAAAACTCGGTATATATTGCCATGGTTATCAATGTGCTTTCTAGTATTTTTAGTTATATATTATGAGTTCTGCCTATGTGATTGTCAGTGTGAAGACAATTGAATTAAAGGGGAATCCATGTCTGTGATACGGATAGTAACTAAATACATATACATATATAGCTTGGAGATATTTGACAGTCGTGCTTTAGGTTGCAGGACTTTATATACTCTGATATAAGTGTCGTCTCTCATATAAATTCGTATTAGGTGATAGCTATCTGGCTCTTAAACCAAGAATATAGAGGCAACCTTTTCTGTTCAAACGTCGTGATTTTATTTTTGTCAGCTGTTTCACTCCTAACGGGGACATTTTTTGAACTACTTCAGTTTAGTTCCGGGGAGTGATACTCAGTTTTTAGCACTACACTTTCAATAGTCCTGACAAAACTGCCCATGCTTGTTGAGTGTTTTAGACCTGCTTCGTGACCTTCATCATCTTCTTGCGAGGACCTACCACAGTCTACATGATCACTTTCCATTTTCGCAACAGTCTTTGTCAGACTAACAATCGCCATTATTTCTGCCATAACTAGGTGGTCTGATAATCCTTTTCGTTCAGTATCCATGGTAGAATCTTGTCAGCTAATTGTTTACTCTTTTAAGGACTTCGTAGCCATGCGCTTTTTCTGTTCACCTAAACACGTAGGACAGTGTGCTGAAATTCCTTTGATGGTTTAGCAAAATGAACAGCGTTTTGGGCCGACCCATTTACACAAGACTCCAACTGCCACTTTCTTTGATCAGTGAACACATGGAGAGCAATCAATTTGAAAAGTTTTAATATATGTAGGCTTTTTTCTCCTCAGATAGTTAGCTAACGTGTTACTCAGTCAGACCCACATTTCGACAAAACCATACTATCCAAAGCTAATAGCTTTTTCATTGCTGGAACTAGGTTTCTCTTCTCAACGGAAGAAATCTTCCGTTTAACGGATCACAAACCATACAGTTTGAATAACACAGGTCAGTGAACTATCTTTTAAGACCTGTCATATAATCACTGTTAGGTAAATCAACTAGAACCACTGACTGGGAATAGATGTGCTTAGACTAACTTGGTTACATATCAGCAAACATTCTTACGGACTAATAAAAGGGCCAATACCTTATGGCCTTCACTTCATACCAAATGTTCATTTGAAAATGACGAACAAAAATTTTAACGCACAATATGATTTCCTCAGATTATCACTCTATCTTTCACCGCTTATCGTTCCTGTCTCCTTTCCTTTGCTTGCTCTTATGTCCTGTCACCTAATCTTCACAAGCAGTTAATTATTGACATATTTTTGCGATTTTCCTATGCTTATTAACATAAAAATTTTCCTATTATTATTAATCTCATTACTGCAACAGACTGATCTCCAGCTCGGCCATTCGACAGCTTCTGGTATGCAGAAACCCTACTGCCCTGAGACAAACACACTAACACGAACCACGGGATAAACAAATACATAAATAACTGGTGACTCAATGTAATCAGTTCAGTTGAAGGAGCTAGACTACCATCCATTAGACAATACCGAATACTTGGAACCGTACCGACATAAGAATAATCGAGAGCAAAGGAATTATTCGGTTGGCAAGTTAAAAGTATATTGGATATTGTAGTAGTGAGGGTGATTTAAGCAATAACCTTGAGAGGTCACAGTTGGTAGTCCTCCCTGTCAGTGCCAGACACCACTAATCTTAATGATAACCTTGAAGAAGTGCGATGATAACTTGTTAAGCTAGCATTTCATTTGCATTACATAATATATCTTAACACCATGTGAGTTGTTTTCTTGAATCTGAAGTCTTCATTCTTCCTGATGCAGATACTTATTCTTTGCCATGTAATCTTCATGATTGTACCGTGATTTTTTACTTGCTCAAGCGTTTTACACCCATACAGTTTTCCAAAACTGACGTACTTGTCCGGTGCGGTACGTGGTTATAATATATCGTTCATAATGTTTGGAACAAAGTATCAGCTCATAGTAATTTCTAGGAGGTCGACTAAGACAACGTAGTTCTCCAAATACACTCAGCTGTCACGGAATTCACGTTATCATTTCTGAGGATATTCATCGTGCAAATGGTTGTCACTATGCTAATAAAATATCTGTAGGTGTTGTTGCTTTGCCTCATTTTTAATGCAATAGTATTTTTTTGATTTGGAGATAGATATGTTTCTTATCTAAGCAGCCATATGAAAATTCTGGGAGAATACCCTAAGAGACATCGCTGGACTTTGTGTTATTTTATAATGAAAGTAATTGTATTGTTACTCTGCTTTAGTCTCTAAAAATTACCTTTTTGTCTATTGAAAATGAATGAGAACAAATAATCATCCAAACTTACTGAGACTGTTAGCCAGGAGAAAACAAATATCTAAACAAGCTTGTTTAAAGACGGGTTAGTTGTATACTTGAAGTAGACAGCTAGAATAATGGTCAATACATTTTAAAATGTCTATAATCGATTGTTAGTTATCCATCCAAACAACCAGATATATCTGTGGATCAAATCACAAGTCAATGCATTTTAATAAAGTGTCATTTGCAACTTTGTAACACTATTGATGAACTCATTCAGGACCATGAGCCTTGGTTATCGTAAACATGGATGATATCCCACCGAATACCTCATTAACGAGTAACCAAAAGTGTTGGTTATCAGTATGCTACAACAGCTGGTGTTATTGTAAATGTTTTAACCTAGCACGTACAAAATCTTCAAGTTTCTACACATTTTACAACTAGATTTTGGTGTAGGAAAAAAACTTATTTTTTGAGTGTAGTCACTAGAAAAGATGACTGTAAATTCAAGTTGTCTAATTGTTATAGTACTTTAATTTAACTCACTATTAATCAGCCAAATTTCGGTAACTGTTTTGTAACTTTCAAATTCCACGTTATAAATTTAGCTATCCCATCTTCCTGAATCAGACTAAACAAAAGTACTAAATGTATATGTATATATATGTTATCGGTATAAACTATTGTTCATTTTTCTTATTGTTCCTCTTTACAGATGCACTTATAGTCGTTTATGCCACTATAAAATTACGCATAAATAATTTGCTTTAATTCGTAAAGTCTTACTCTCCCAAAAATTCAAAATGTTCCCGTGTGCATCTCATGCTAGTGATGAACCTAAACTGAATAGTGGGTCTTCTGATGGTAAGTTTTGTAAATAGTTTCTACACACAAATCTAGATAAGACATCTTGGCTTCAAAGTTCAACATACTCAGAACAGAAACTCACTGTCCATGTTAATGGTAGAAAATTTTTTTTATAGCATTATTACTAATCTGTTATATATAGAAGCAGAAAATACTCCCAAGGAAAAAGGATCGAAGGCAGCTAAACGCCCATATTCTTCTAAAGACTATAAATTGGAAAAGAAACCAAAGGTTACATCAGCCACTGTATTTTTGGAAGATGTCCCTGGATTAGATATTAATAATGCTTATAGAATTGATAGATCTTGTAACAAAGAAATTTATAAACATGGATGTATTTATGAAAAACATGTGTCACAATTTAAACAGAAGAATAAAACAAAAATACTGGGGTTTAAAGATTTATATTTATATGATCTCCTTGGCTGTGAAATAAAACGTAAACGCGGACTCATAAAAAAGTCACGGTATTTTAGTAAGTCAAGCAGAGCTATCATTCGGGCTCCTAGCACTGTCATTAAACCATCTGATGCAGGTGGCATGTCGACAGATTTAATTCCTTTCCCTGAAGAACTTAATACTTCTTGCGTATCAGCAATGGAAACGCGAAATGATGATATTCTAAATCTTTGTGAAGAACTTAACCGTCGGGTTTACGATCGACCGGGTGACTTAATTTCATGGTTGAATCTAATTGATATGCAAGACAAAGGAGCTTCATTTCTACATATTACAAACATTGGTTGTGAACAGAAGCAGTCTTGTTTCGATTTTAAACTCTCTAAAAGTGACAGACTTATTATATTGAAGAAGCAGTTATCAATGGCTGACCGAGCTCTTACTGCTAATCCTGGCAACCTAACATTGAAGTTATTCATAATTAAAACGAACGAACTGGTGGCCGAACTTGAAGCTCACGGCGCATTGGAATCTGGATCCAATAAAGAAGTTTGTCAAGCAGATCAAATTAATCGGGATTGGGCTCAGCTCGTATTCACTTATCCTCAGCTGGTACCCATGTGGCGTGGGTATACGGCGCATCTTATGGGTCGACATTCATCATTGACTGTAAATCAGGGAGTTGGAAATGGAACATTTTCACGCATTGATGGTGTTTATAAGAGGGGCCTGTCAACACTATCAGGTATAATATCTGGAAGAATATTATCACATAAACCACAGCCAGATACTGTGGAAAGAACAATCGGTAATACTTTTTGCTTAAAAGTTTTACATTTGAATGGTGCCCTCACTTAATCAATTAATTAATTGGTAAAACTGAGTAATCAAGTGTGATTCCTTATGTTCATAAATGATATTACCAGTTGAATACCCCGAATAGAGATGAGTGTAGAGGGGGGTGCAAGTTTGCTTCCTTTAGGTTAGAAGCCAAATCATTAGACTCCTAAACTACAGCTAGATAAAATCTAATTACTAGTGTTTCAATTGTAGTTAAAATAAGTATCTGCATTTATAGCATTATCAAAATAATGAATGTAATGCCCTTCACGCCTTAAACGGCACCATTAGATCCGATCCATAATGATAATCATAACCAGTTTCCTATGAGATATTGTATGAGTTGATAATTTTATTAAATCAATACGATTAAGAATATAAATACTCCTGGTGTACCAATTCATTCTCATCCGTTAAAAAACTAACGTTTGATAAATGAGTTGTTTTCCCTCATTTCATGATTATTTTGTACAAAAAAATAAAAATATCTAAAAACAATGTCGCTAACAATTTTAGTAATTCACGACTCACTATTATATAAAGATTATTCAAGTTCACTTTGTAAATTTTGTTTTATATTCCATTACTAGATAAATAATCGTGTCTATTAGCTTTGAGACTAATCAAGACAGAAATAGCAATATATACCATTACTAATGGATAATATTGACAACGGAGTTCAACTTTAAGATAATTTTCAACACATTTATGCAGTACCATTAGAACAATCAGCTGTGTTAGCGAAAAACCACAGTTAGCTGATATATATACATCACTTATTGTTACTGTGATCCCGACCGTAGCTGGTACCTTGACGTGGTGGTCGGGCTTGCCTGTCGTGTTGACCAAACCGAGCTAATATTAACTGTAGGTTCTATCATGCCAGGCAGGTCGATTGGAGAATGGTAAGACTAAACGTAGCTACTCAAGGTCTGAGGGCGAAGTTATACTGCTGACTACAGAGGGGTGTGACCGAAATAAGGTGTAATATCACCAAAAAACGCTAACAAGAAAAAATAATTCAAATATTTTAAATTCTGCTCTGTGAGTCAGGTCTTCATTTAGAAAAGTTATAACGTCTCATGATGAAACCGAGTTCCTTCGGACGTCACACGTCCTATGCCGGGAAGTGACATCCGCCTCCATACCCATAAAAGCACAATCAAATCCTTTTACACCTCCTAATAACAGTCTTGTCTACACGACCAACTCTTCTTTCGTTCCTTTGTCACTTCACGCCGCCGATGCAAACAATTCGAGTTCACGAAACGTTGTTCCTGGTTTCCTGAAATCCCGCTCTAAAATGCATGTTGAAGCTTTGAATGTTCGAACCTTGTGTCAAATAGGGCAACAGGTTCCCTTAACTAGAACTTTAGAATTTCATGCCACCAATGTATGCTGCGTCTTCAAAACGCGCATACAGGATGTGAGTAGAATCATTAAGTTTACTCCATATTTTCTAGATAAAGAACCAACTCGTTTTACGCGTGTATCCGTGTATCTAGAAGCCCTTCTGCTTCTCCTCGTAGCCTTGCTGGCGTAGGTATAACATTGAGTCGTAGGGCAAAACTAGCTCTCTCAGACTGTATCTCAGTAGAAAGTCGCTTGTGTGCTGTTCGACTAAACAGGACAATAGGGACTTGGAAAGATAGGGGCACTTGCTGTTTCCTCTTCGTCGTATCCTCCTACGCTTCCGCGGACGAGATGAGTTTTTCAGAAAGCTTTTGGACTTCCTCCGAAAAGTTAGGCACTCTGATATAGTAATAATGACTGGTGACTTCAATGCTCAAGTAGGTAAACTAAACGAAAAGGAAAGACACCTGAGTGGATCTTATGGTGTCGCGACTAATCGAACAGATAATGGCGACCGCCATGCTCAGTTAACCACCCATTTCTAGCAAATGCTAACTTTAAGCACAAGGAAAGACATCTTTTGACATGGTGACTCCCAAAGTCATCCCAACGACAGACCGAATTAGATCACAACGCTATCAGAGACTGATGGGGATGCTTTTATTAAGACTGTTGCTCGTTCTGAGGCACATGTTTAGATTCAAATCATGCTCTAAGCCGGCACGTATTTGTTTGCGGTTTACTGGGCCCAGGAAAGACACTGCAAGTAAACTTTTAAGGGTTCTACGTATTTATAGCGTCGATAAGCAAATGTAGACAACTGTTCCACCTTATCAAGGAAACTGGTATTAAGAATCCATCTGTAAGCACAACTACCTCAGAAAACGATGGTCGTATCAATCATTCTCAACCAAGGGGATCAGATCGATGTGCAGAACACTTCAGGGATCAGTTCAATTGGCCTTCAGCCACACTTCGGTTGCCCACGATCTCCAGTCAACCCGAATGGCAAATCGACGTAAGTCGTCCTACCCTTTATGAAGTTGAGAATGCTATAGGGTATCTGAAGCGAAGGAGGACAGCGGGTCCTGAAAGACTGACTGTTACGTCCAAGTTTTGCTCCTTGCCGTCATTGAAGTACAGTATATCGATCTATTTGCAGTTCACGAACCCAAATTAACAACAGAACCAAACTCCAAAGTTAGGTACCAAAGTTTATTCGCAATTCACAAATAGTTGACCAAAATGTCGTTCTTCAATTTTATAGGTTCCTGGAGCACAAACTCCCAATTAGCAAACCAAGACAAACAGAAACCAAAATGTCCGAAAATAATAAAATTAATGATATTTATATAAAGGTTTTAGTCAGCCAATTGTCTTCATTTCTCCCGTAACACTGACCTCTGAGATTTTTAAGGATGGTTGTCCCGTTTTAGCAGTTACATCGACTGAAATCTTAGGTAGAATTTGGCAACTGGAAGTAGTCCCATCCAACTGGTCTTAATCCCTGATTGTCCCAGTCTATATGAAAGGACAAAAGTCCTCTTGTGACAAACATAAAGGAATCAGTTTAACTAATATAGTTTCTAAATCGCTAGCCTCGATAATACTTCGACGACTAACTAGAGCTTGTGAAGATCAGACTCGAAAAGACCTGGCTGTTTATCGACCGCGACGTGGATATATAGACCAGATATCCACACTACGTTAGGTCCTAGAACACAGACACACATTTCGGCGTCCGAAAATAGTTGTCTTTCTGGTTCTTAAAGCGGGACTTGACTCTGTCGAACGTGACGTTCTATGACAGTGTTTGTCATTGTCAAATAAGTACATTAACCTTATTCAAGCTCTCTACTTGAACACTACTATTCGAGTGAGAGCTTATGGCGAACTGTCATCAGAATTCATTGCTTCAAGTGGTGTCCGTCAGGGATATCCACTCTCCATTCTTGTTAAACTTTGTCATCGACATGCTTTTAGAAATAGCACTTTCTTCGTCTTGTTTTTCAGGAATCGAACTTCTACCTGGAGATTCACTTCTCGACTTAGAATATGCCGATGACATATTTCTATTTGGTGAGGACACTGACAAGATGTATAGTCTTCTCACCACCCTGAGCAACGATGCAAGCATGTTCGGGATGCGGTTCTCCCCGTTGAAATGCGAATTGTTGCATCAGGATTGGCTTGCATCGGCATGTGAACTGGTGATAGGCAGTGAAGTACTTGGGCGTGTTGACCGCCTCATTTATCTTGGGAGTCTCATCAGTGCTGATGACCTGTTGACTGACAAAATCTCAGCACGGATACAGAAGGCTCGATTGGCTTTTGCCAACTCGCGTCACTTGTGGTGTAGGCGAGATATCCGTCTGCTAATTAAAGGACGAGTTTACTGTGCAGCAGTTCGCTGTGTCCTACTTTATTGCTGCGAAACATGACCGGTAAGAATTGAAGGTGTTCGTATGTTACTGGTTTCCGATCATAGTTGTCTCCGAAGCATTACTCGTTTATTTTGGGACTACCGAGTAAGCCATGCTGTTGTTAGGAAACGGGTATTAGGTAAGGATGGCAGATCAATCGATAAAGTAGTAAAAATTCATCAGCCGAAGTTGTTGGGACATGTGTTATGAATGCCCATCCACCGACTTCCTCGTCGAGATATATTTTGTAGTGTAGGAGTAGGTTGAAAGAGAGCGGCCAAACCAAAACATGGCACAAATCCATGAAGTCACTGACCAGTGAACTGAGTCGTGTTTGTAAGTGTAAAGTACGCGGTTGGCGTCCGTGAAATGATAGAAATGCATGGTAGGCAATTGGTGAATGTTGCTCGACATAGTGGTTCGGTTGAAGTGTGACATTAATTTAACTAGATACCGGCCTAGTGGTCTATAGTTTTAACGTTCGCACTCAGGATGAAAGGTTCTTGCTTCAACTTTCGCGTCCTGGGAGCATGGGGAATGAATTCAGTGTTCGACAGCTCCCGTAGATATCTAGTTTCTCCGGTAACAAATTGTTATTGTGATTGGTTGACAATCATAATAACACAAATCTCCAAAAGTTTGTATGATATTAAAAAATAAGTTGTATTTCCGAAATTGTAACGCACCGGTCAAATATATCAAGAATATTTACAATAGAATAAAGTTAATGAAATTATCATTTTACATTTTACTTAGAACTATGAGTACTTAATATTGTTACTATTCATATATATTCCATGCTGAGAATAATATATTTAGAAATATTCTTTATTCCATTCATCGACATATACTAGATTACTTGGCTGATTATTGTCACTGGTTAGCTCAAGCAGGGCATTCAGAACGAGCTTTAGCAGTATGGCAAGCTGTTATTGAATTCAACTGTTTTCGACCTTCAGAAATTGAACAAAGTTCATTCGATCAACGAATTCTAGAAATGGAATTATTCTGGTCAAGTGGTGTGCCTAGATTTGGTCAACCGGGTTCACAACATTGGAATGGATGGTTTAAAGCTCGAAACAAACGACTGGACAAATCACGACTAAAGGAATCAAAATTATCTAAAAGTCATAAGAGAAGTCATACTATTTCACCAATCATCTCAGAAATAACTCCAGACATGTCAGTTGAAGAACTAAACTCAAAGTGGACTAGTGTAGCTGGAAAATTAACCGGTTTGTTGTATTGAGTAATATGTCTTATTTTTACAACTTTCTCAAGTTATTCCTAACATTGTGTAATAAGTGATCTTAATTGCTGGAATCTTACACTTGCTTTATAGTTAATAAGTTATTCAATTTTTTTTACCGACTTTTGAATAATTCTAGTTGATTTATATTATTTACAAACTTCAAGAATCCGTAACTTTACAGTCATTTAGATTCACACTCAGTACTATCATATATCACTGTTCGTGTGCTACTTCGTAAATAAAATAAATAATTGATTGTCATTAAAGAAATCTTTAGATATAATTTATTTGTAGATATTTGTCGTTATAAAAGGGACATCATTGTAAAAAAATGTAAAAATAGATGAGAATTGGACAACTGATCCATTTTAGCTCAGTCAGTCAGTTGCAACGTAGAACTTCGTACGTATGTACATAAGTTCATGTTGCCATACCACATTAGCACAGAGATGCAAGTGTCAAATCAGACCCCATAGTGATAAAGATAGTAGAGGTGTTAATGGTAATGAAGAAGACTAGGGTTCGAAGATATTATTCGAGAAGGTAGAGGTGTTGACGAATCCAGAAGATTAGGATTTGAGAGAGCTCAACGAATAGATGCACTTGCGCCATTGCAAACGATTTTGAGCCATGTCGTTCAAGGTCTCTAACCACCGGTGACTTTCGTCTCGCAGACCCCAACCAGTTAGTCTACATCCACCAACATGACTCAGTCCACTAGTCAGTGACTTCATGGATCCAGCTCAGAGTCAGTCACAATAGAGTTGATGTGTTTACTCTTTGTTTTTCTCCAAAACTTGAGTTTAAAGATATCCTATAATTTTTTAATTGTGTATTTTTGAATGATATAGCCCTAATGTTATTTTACGACCACTGATACCATAATTACTACTACTCTTAGGTTTGTCTTGATAAAAATAAAATATATACTGTCTAATTCACCGTGTAATCAATATTTTCATGCTTGGATCGATATCTGTTGGTTCACACTTTTGAATTTGATTCTGTTCCCTATGTAGCACGAAAATCCTTAAATTTTGTTAATGGGTAATTGCTAAACTCTGTACATTGTTGGTTGCATAACTTGCTGTAATAAGTGTTAGGAATTTCCCACCAGTTACAGATTTATGTACTTGGCTTCGAGTCAAGCTGTTTGTATATGGGTTAGTCGTACTACTTGTCTACCTAAATCGAATTAGTGGGAGTTGAGTCCAAACCTGTCATATATCAGTTGATATTTAGCTCCCTCAATCACTTATAATTGGATTAATTATCTATATCAGTTGTTCAACTCACTCGCTAGGTACTTGAGTATGGACTGCACTCAGGATATGAGTGCTGATTGAACTACTTGGTCGCCCAAACCAGGGTCAAGTCATGTTGGTAAGTGTAAACTACCTGGTTGGGGTCCTCGAGATGATAGTAATAGATGATTAGAAGGGACCTTGAATGACATGGCTCAAAATATTTGCAGTAGCGCAGGTGCATCCATTCTTTGTGTTCTCTCAAATCCTAATCCTCTGGACTCTTCATCAGCTTTGTATTTCTATTTTCAAGTTCATTTCACTAGATTATACTTCTCGAGAAATATCTTCGGACCCAAATCTCTTCGATTACTGCCAATACTTCTACTCCCTATAGGATTTGAATTGACAATTGTATCTTTGTACGAATGTGGTATGGCAACTTGAACTGATGTACGTACGTACGAAGTCCTACGTTGTAACTAACTGATCAAACCTGAGTGGAGCGGGTTTCGAACCTGGAAATCACAGACCGCAAGCCGACCGTCTTAACTGCTGATCACTTAGCCACCCCTAACTGTTGAAACTGCAAAAAAAATCGTCTAAGTGAAAACTGTCTCCTGTGAAATTAGTTATTACATGATCTGTGATGACACATTTCACTTCTGACTTTACTGTAAGTAGTTACTTCTCGTCAGACTTTTGTCTATTTATTCATATATACTTATTATCGACCTTAAATAAAAATGGATTTATCATTGATGCTCTAAGACCGATATATTTCAAATAAATAAGTAACCTACTTCACTAGTATATTTGTGTCTAGAGTAGCTGGTTTCCTTCTAGTTGGTCGTATTCGTTATGATCCGGAAATTCGACCGATTGGTATTCCTACATCTGTGGTTATATCGATTTCGTAGTCAAAAACTGTGATTCGTAAGTCACTAAAGTGTATCGTTTTGTCACTTGTGACTGTTAAATGCTACTTGTAAGTTTCCATTGGATATTCTTCCGCCGCTTTCAACGTAATGACAAGTCCAGAAATTCATACAGCTTTTAAAATCGCATGATTGTTTATTTTTCTTTCTAGCCATTGCCAGCACTTGTGAAGACGCATTAATTAATTGTTCCGGTGAAAGTGTTCCTGATGAATCTTACGAAAATACCGGTCCAGATGTTGTTCCATCCATTCTATCGTCAGAAGTTGCAACTGATCAGTGGGTTCGTCGTGGGAGTATCCCTTCACTTGCTGGTCATGGTTCAATCGGAAAGAGTCGAGTCATCTTATATCGTCGTGGAAAAGCTTGGGTTGGTTTAGAACGTGCTCGTGAAGCAGTTGGTTGGCTACCTTCAGACGTATTAAACACGCAAGATCAAAAAGACATAGAAGATGAAGATCCCGAGAGATTAGTTCTATTTGATGATATCAAACCATGCCTAATAGATTTATGGAAATTTGAGGAAAAATCTACAGCTGATACTTCCCAAAGTCGAGCTCGTAGAGCATTATTTCAGCAGCGCCTGTTCTTATTGTGCTTAGAGTTTCTTGGAGCATACGATCATGATATAGCTAAATCTCATCATTTTCCTATAGGTAAGATTTCGGACGACAATCTAATTACATTACATTTCATCCTTGTCTTATATTAGTATGTAATTAGCTAAAACTTCTTAGTTTAGTAATTCAACTACATAACATTTAGTGGCATAATGTCCTACTGTCTCATGTTTGCGAAGAAAAATCATTTCAACAGCTTGATTTGAGTAGGTCAAACATTCTCATCGAGTCATAGAACAGAGTTTAAAAAAGCCGAACAACTAGACATTCTTTTAAAGCTTTACAGTCACATTTAATTATTACCTTGAGAAAATTCTGGAAAAGAGAAATTTCAAATCTAGAAATTATTGTAAATAGTATCCAATATTGGTACTGATTTTATCATACAAAAAGTAGTATACATATCGTAATTATTTAACGATAATTAATTGTACGTTGAATGATGTAACTAGGATAAATGAATGAGATATAATTACGAAATGAAATTCAAAGAGAAAATATGTTATATTGACAAAACTCAAACAAAATTTGGCAATAATTATTGAACAAAGTGATCAGTGTTTGTTTTCATCACATTCACTGAACAAATTTCTTTAGAATTAAACAAGTGATTGCTTACTTGGTGTCTGAATTCTAATCCTTATCTGTACTTATTATAGTATATCAATTCTTTCATGAGAATTTTGTGTTAGGAAAATTCAACAAGTAATAAATATATCATAATTAACTGTGTACATTTTTCTCTTTATTCAATTCTCTATTATTAGATATTCGTCTTGTACATGATTTAGCATCTGTTGGTAGCATTCAGCGTCAAGGTTTAACACCATTTCCATCACAATCATGGATGTCCAGTAATTTAGAAACTACATATAATCAGACTAATAATGACAATAATAATAATAATAATAATCAAGAACAATTGAATACACCATCTCAGTTAGCTAATGAACATCAAGATGTTTGGGCACAAGCTCATCGTTGTTTTATTGATGCTGCACTTACTCAAATGAATGAAATCCCATCATGGTGGCCTACTGAACTTAAAGAAAGTTGGTGTACAACACTAAGTAAACTACGTTTTACAGTGGCGTCTGAGCGTCTTTCCAATGCGATTCAAACACATCTAGTTAATGTCAAGGTAGGTGATAAATTGATGATAGTTTTTTTGCTTTACTAATATAATGCTAATAAGTCTTATAAATAAACTCTAGGTCTGATTTCCTAGCTGCTCCCGATTACCCCTGACTAAATTTGCACGACAACTTAAACACAAGAGCAAAGGCGAAGAGAACGCATCAAGGTTTCTTTGCAGAAAATCGAGGGTATTTATGAAGTTACATATGACCGTCGTGCTTTTGGAAATTTTCGAAACGTTGCTAGATATAGTAGTGATATAGGTAAATCGTAAAACGCGTTTCTTCATTCTCTAGATGCTTCTGTAAAGGTTCTAACCAACGCTAACTCGATTAAATGTTTCCAAGTGTTTCCTGGGCCTCGATAGACTTTTCTGAGGAATACTTCAAAGTTTCTCAACAAATACTACATATGAACACTATTCTTTGGAATTCAGTGTTCTCCATTTCAACACATCTATCAGCCTTTTTAGCATGTAAAAACATTATTTGGGTGGTACTTTAAAATTCTCCAACATATTCTAAATGTTGTTCCAAGTGGGTTTATTGTTTTCTTTTTATCGTCTATAAATTAATGGAAGGGAGTGTATCCTATGTATATATATATATATATATATATATATATATATATATCTGCTATCAATATTCCAAGCACGTTTTATTTGGCGAATGCCAGCTAACACGAAATATAGGTTCAGAGTTTCCTATCAGCTACCCCTAACTACCCAAAACTTTTGTTGTCTCGCAGAATCACATCATAGAGTACACTACTACGTTTCGATGCTTCAGATAAACTATCACAGATTCCATAATTTGGTGCTATGTTTTGATTTGAAAATGATGGAGCTTCCTTTACCATATCTTAGTCGGTATAGCACGTTAAAGTTAAAAATGACTGCAGTTTCATAATATATCAGTCTAACATCTTCATTTTATAAAACTACTTAATTCGTTTTCTTAACGTTTCAACCTATTGCCGTATATATATATATATATATATATATATATATATATATATATTCTGTTTCTCATTAGACTGCTATATCTATTTGGCGCAGTTGTGGTAGAGCAATCATATCCGAGGGCAAAAATCAAAAAGATTTAAACTTGTGGAGAGCTTATGCAAAAGGGTTTTGGCAAATAAGTCAAGATTTACTCGTGACCGCCACCTTTCAAGATGCGGAAATTCCAATTCAAGAGTCAAGACGTATATTCGACTCCGCTTTAAGCATGTATCCAATACCGGAAGATTTTGGGCCATCAGTTGATGATATGGATAAGTTGATTGAATTTTATCAAATTGTATATACTCCGAGACTGAAACTTTTGCAAGTATGTTTAATTTTTTTTTAACAGTAAAATGATTGATGTATTCAATTTTTATATATTTTTTCCTGTACTGTGCAAAGTATGCTACATTATGTTAAAATCATTATTCTGTTGTCGAAGGATATTGTAATGGGTTTCATCAACTAGGTTCTTATATGTTAATCATTCGCGAGCTAGTGATGCTATGTAGTCGTTCAAATGTGCTTATATTTAATAAGCTTCCAAGCAATGACTTGAATAAAACTTAATCATGCAAAAGCTTCTAAAGTACTGCTACTTAATTTATTAGTGTGTCATAGAAATGAGAGTACAGGACAACAAGGTTCTGAAAAATTTATATCTATAGACTCGTTAATTTTGTACAGTGGTTACCTGCATACATTATAAAATATTTCTTCAAATTTCGAATCGCATAATTTACTGTTACATTATATTTTAAATTCTATCAATCGTTTAAGGATTGTTGGCTTAGTCATTTGTTGAGTTTGAGCTTGTGATTGCTATATTATTCGATTGACTGTAATAGTTAAATGCATTATGTAGTTATAGCTGAGTGGTTTGGCGTTCTAGGTTCGAATCCGGTGTTTTGTTTGATCAGATAGGCATTTTCGCTGATCGGTTACCAAAACCTAATTAAATGCCAACTTGCATTACGAACGACATTCAATAGTCTTAATTTACTATTTACTTTTGAAAGCATACCATTCCAGAGTTGAAGTACCCGATGTTATAATTTTACTAGGTTTTCGTTTCAAGAACCATAGTGTGCAGCTCTTCATGCCTAAATATAATCTCTAGTGCGTAATGTTTAGAAACTTATCTACAAATATTAATGGTTTATTTTTACCTAACGATAATTTCATGAACACTTTCACTTCTTCAAGTTAAAATGTTTATAGTGTTCGTATTATGTACCGGTACATTTATTATTAATCCTAACATTTTCCTGTGTTAAATTAGTAGTCAATCTAGTCATTTACTTTAAAATTTTCAATTCACCATTCTGTTTGTTTGCTTTGTTACTTTATTATTCTTTTAAAAATCCTGCTGTCGCTGCTTTTATGCATTTACTTAACACTTTGGAAAAAATAATCAGGATTATATTGATTTAGAAATGGATGTGTGCCCTGGATCAGGTAGCTGCCAAAAAGGATTCAAAGAAGAAAGTCGTGTATTATATTTACTTACATACCTTGCTCTCGGTGGTGTTTATCATTCGTATGAACAATCTGCTAGTGAAATATTACCATCAGTTATTGTGAAAACTAATTTTCGTTTTGGTAAACGTATTGAAGCTCTATGGACAACATTAGTTGGATTGCCAGAAGATCTAACGACTCAAATGAATAATTATCAAGTGTTTTTAGATGGTCTACTTGGTACTGTCCCTATCCTATGTTATTTAAATTTAATGTTTGATCTTTTAACAACAGATGAAAAGGTAAACAGACAGGGATATTTCATGAACTTTTTTCAAAAAATTTAATATTTGGGTAATCTCTTGATTAAAACAACGCGACATAACTGTTCTCGCTCTCATTTTCAAACTAATTAGTTTCATACATCATTACTGATACCAACCTACTTATATGTTTCCGTCTATAATCGTCTGAAGATTAGAGTACATATTTGAAAGAACTTTAGTTTACGTAAACGCTATAAAAAACTAATTCTAGAAGTAGTCTTGTAGCCTTATTTATTGACTCATCTCTATACATTGCTTTAGCCTAATCTAAGCATTATTGTTTCAGATGTTTCTCTGTATTTACTCCAAAGGTTATCTGCCGTTAAATCTAGTAACAACCTATGTATCTCGTCTACCTTTAAAAGTTATGCTTCATATCCATATTCTAGTAGATAGCACATTGTTGCGAAGCATATTCATAGATTCGATAAGTAAATTGACATGTTGCCTATTTCTCATAAGAACAGGACACTTTTTGTGTCCATAACGAGACAATATTATTTATCAATTGATAAAATGTAATATAACTTCACTAAACAAGAACACTGTTCGCATCCACTTTTATCACCGCTTTTCAAATGCTCATTATTTTCATTCAGTACTATTTTCCATACATAGTATATGTTGCCATATATTATTTTGCTTAGATATTTGAAAACATTTAGTTTTAATCATATGAACTTGACTGATTTAATTCTTTTTTTAAACCTAATTCTCTGCTTATTTTTGAGAAGAGTTGTATAAAAGCCTCAGATAATTAACTACTTGGCAAGCATTTTAGATACGATAAATGCTGTTAGGAAACATTTCTTTTGTGTACAGTAAATGTTAATGATAATTAGTAAGATATTTACTGTATAAGGATGATTTATTTAAGCAAGCATTCATTAATGTGAATTCGCAAGCATGTTCGGGATGCGGTTTTCCCCTTCGAAACGCAAAATGTTGCTTCAAGATTGGGTTGCATCGGCACCTGAACTAGTGATAGGGAGTGAAGTAGTCGAACGTGTAGACCGCTTCACTTATCTTGGGAGTCTCATCAGTGCCGATGGCCCGGTGACTGACGAAATCTCAGCACGGATACAGAAGGCTCGATTCGCTTTTGCCAACCTGCGTCGCCTGTGGTCTAGGCGAGATTTCCGTTTGCTGACTAAAGAACGAGTGTACTGTGCAGTAGTTCGCTCCGTCTTACTTTATGGCTGTGAAACATGGCCGTTAAGAGTAGAAGATATTCGTAGGTTACTGGTTTTCGATCATAGGTGTCTTCGAAGCATTGCTCGTATATCGTGGGACACCCGAGTGAGCAACGCTGTTATTAGGAATCGGGTGCTAGGTAAGAATGGCAGATCAGTAGATGAAGTAATGAAACTTCATCAGTTGAGGTGGTTGAGACATATGCTGCGTATGCCTAACCACCGACTGCCTCGTCGAGCTTTGTTTTGTAGTGTAGGAGTAGGTTGGAAGAAAGTTAGGGGCGGCCAAACCAAAACATGGCACAAATCCATGAAGTCATTGACGAATGGACTTAGCTATGTCGGTAATTGTCGACTACCTAGTTGGGGTCCGCGAGATGATAATAATCGATGGCTAGAGACCTTGGATGACATGGCTCAAAATCGTTCGCAATGGCGCCAGTGCATTTATTCTTTGTGTTCTCTCAAATGCTAATCTTCTGGATTCTTCAACACCTCTAGTTTTGACTTTCTAAACTTTTCCCACTGAATCATACTTTTTGAATAATATCTTCTAATCCTAACCCCTCCGATTACTTCTAATACCTTTACTACCTCTTCTACTATTGGATTTGAATTGACAATTACATCTCTGTGCTGAAGTGGTATGGCAACATGAACTGATGTACTTACGTACGCAGTTCTACGTTGCATCTGACTGACTAAGTGGTTTTCTCACTGACTTAGTAACTACAAAACAAGGCTCTCCCATTCTTTTATTCTACGTATTAAATTCTTCTGTAGTCTGTATCTTATCTTTTTCACTATCATAAAAATTTATACTCTTTTGACATCCACATTGATAATGTCATCTTATTGTGCTAATATACTGTAATAACTTGGTCTAATTCACTTATGTGCCGGGGTCTACATTGATTACGATTGGCTGAGCCTTCTCATGATGTTATTAAATGCTTATTAATGGATATGATGCATCCAAATCAGAAGTTTATCTTACAAGACACTGTCTTCTGCTTCAATTCTTACTAACCAAACTACTTTGCACACAATAACAGCTGTTTCACACAGACTAAAAGATCTCTTACCGTGAAGTGCTAACTGAGGGTCGTAAGTGAAAAACGATCATTGCCACTGTCCATACATCCATACTCAGGCCTGACACCTGCGTGGCTTTCTCGAGCCACAAGCTCTACATAATCGTCGAAGTATTATCGAGGCTAACGATTTAGAAACTATATTAGTTAAACTGATTCCTTTATGTTTGTCACAAGAGGACTTTTGTCCTTTCATATAGACTGGGACAATCAGGGATTAAGACCAGTTGGATGGGATTACTTTAAGTTCCCAAATTCTACCTAAGATCTCAGTCGATGTAACTGCTAAAACTGGACCACCATTCCTAAAAATCTGGGAAGTTGGCCTATCAGGACCCGCTGCCCTCCCTCGCTTCAGACTTCCTGTAGCTTACAGTCGGATTCCTAATACCAGTTTCCTTGATAAGGGAGACAGTCGTCAAAATTATGTGGACACATGTTATCACATATTCTATCATTCTAATGAATGTTGTTGTTGTTGTGTATTAGAGTAAAGCCTGATGAAGATCTAATTGAAAGCAATATATTTCGTTTATACTTTATGGCCTAATAATAAGAGCCCCGTATAACAGCTAAGACATAATAAACATAAATGTACAAATAGGTTTAGCATTTAGGTTAATTAGGCTCATATCAGCAACTCAAATAAACAAGCGGATGATTGTGATAAACAGTAAACTTCAAAACACTTTAGAAGATATAGAATACATCGAAATTGGTTCCTATGATTCCTAAATTCGACAAGTGAGTACTGAAGTTAAATACTTAATTACTTACGCCTGTTACCCTCAATGGAGCATAGACCGCCGACCAGCATTCTCCAATCTACTCTGTCCTGGGCTTCCCTTTCCAGTTTTGTCCAAATTTTGTTCATTCTCCTTATATCTGTCTCCACTTCTCGGCGTAATGTATTCCTTGACCTTCCTCTTTTCCTTTGACCTTGACGGTTCCAAGTGACTGTTTGTCTCGTGACACAGTTGGGTACTTTCCGTAATGTGTGTCCTATCCACTTACAGCGCCTCTTCCTGATCTCCCCCTCCACTGGAATCTGGTTTGCTCTCTCCCACAGTAGGTTGTTGCTGATGGTGTCTGGCCAACAGATCCGAAGTATTTTGCGTAGACAACTGCTAGTAAATAATTGTATCTTGTGGATGATGGCTTTCGTAGTTTTCCTAGTTTCCGTCCCATACAGTAGAACTGTCTTCACGTTTGTATTAAAAATTCTGATATTGGTATTCTTTGATGGTTGTTTGGAGTTCCAGATGTTGTCAAATTGTAGAAATGCAACCCTTGCTTTGCCGATCCGAGCCCTCACATCTGCACCAGATCCACGTCGCTCATCAATTTTGCTGTCCAATTATGTAAAGGTGTTAACGTCCTCCAAGACGTGTCCATCAAGAGTGATTTGGTTGGCGCATGTTATGTTGTAGCGGAGAATCTTGCTTTTTCCTTTACGTATATCGAGACCTGCTGCTGCGACACTGGTCGTCTTCTCTTGCATTCGTAGTTGCGTGCGGGATAGAAGAGCCAGATTATCTGCAAGGCCAGATCGTCCGGTTGCATCCTGGCTGTTCACTGTATGCCGTGTCTCCCTCCGGATGTTGATGTCTTCAGATTCCGGTTGATAACCAGGAGAAAGAGAAACGGTGAGAGTAAGCAACCTCGTTTGACACCGGTCTTCATCTCAAACGAGTCTGTCGGACGTCCTCCGTGCACGATTTGCAGTTTGATCCATCGTAAGAATTGCGTATAATGTTGTCTATCTTCTCAGGCATGCCATAGTGTTGTCTTGTCAACGATATCAGACTCTTTCTTGTAGTCAATGAGTTTGATGTAGAGTGGTGTGTTCCATTCAATTGATTGTTTGTTCCATAATGATCCGTAATGTTGCAATTTGGTCGGTACACGATCACTCCTTACACAATGCAAACTGTTGATTTCGCAGCTGGGCGTCTACGAAGTCCCTCATTCTTTGTAACAATACCAGGTATTGAGAGAAGAGTGATGATGATGTAGTCCTCACACTTGCTAATATCACCTTTCTTTGGTATTTCGATCAGGTATCCTCCTTCCCAACCTGTTGGTAATTGTTCTTCATCTAAAATCTTGTTGAACAGAATGTGGAATGTTTTTACAGTTTCTGTTATGTCTGCTTTCACTAACTCTGTTGGAATGTTGTCTGGTCCGGCTGCTTTGCTACTCTTCATTTGTCTGATGGCCATACTGATCCCTTGGATTGTTGATGGGCCATAGTATTGGATGACGTTTACTGTAACTCCCTCTTTCTCTGTTTCGAAGGGTTAGAGTTAGGGACCTGATCCTTGATGCATGAGATTCCCATCTTATAGATGCTTTTTGTGCTTGTTTGGGAAGCGTCAGTATAACTCCTATGTGTGTGAGGCATTTTCTTCTTCATTGCCGGAGTATAACAGCAGCTCTCCTGAATCCAGTCTTAGTTGCCCAACCTGCGTCCTATGTGTTTCGCTGACTCCAAACACCTCCAGGTTGTATCTTTTCATTTCCGCAGCAACTTGGAATGGTCTTTCTATCTCCCACATTGTTTGAACATTCCATGTACCTAAAAGAATGGTTTCTCTAGTTATCAGAAGGGGCATCGGCTCCGTGACTTCTGAAGGAAGTCGGCCTTCATGATGAGCCATCATAACTCCGAGGGCAGATTTTGAATGGTTTGAATTATTTTTCCTGCTTAGCTTTGTTTTAGCAAGTCGGTTTTCACCGAGATAGGGTCGTCAACCCCAAGCCCATCCCTCCTCCTTTTTCCGGGCTTGGGACTGGCAGTAGTCCCATAGGGGTCCCGGGCGGAGTTATCACTAGAGACTTCAGTATATTTCTGAAATTTAGATGGGAATTCGTATTTAAAGGGTTCTAGACATGTCTGAAGTGAAGTAGTTGTTACCAATGTCACTGAATAATCTTATCACTATAAAGTCAATTGATTAAAACTTCAATTATAACACTAGATACCGACCCTGTTGGTTATGCATTTTTTGAAAGACCTGAAAGTTCTTGCGTTGTAGGTATGCATTGATAACAGACACAAATTAGGACAAAACGTGTTCCCTAGTCTTCTATGGCATCCTGGCTAAAATATATCTCTGAACAGTTTGATCAATTGGTCATTAATGCAAATGAATTTATGTACTTTTGTTTTCCAGGCCTTAGACTCATCACTTGCTAGTCTGCTGCCTATTCTTGGACGAATTGATCGATTATGTAGTAAATTCATGTCAGTTAATGTAGATGAATCTTATCCTCTTAGTTCAAAATCAAACAGTCGTTGTTCCGAAAGCACAAATTCATCTAACGATGATAATGATCTAGTTCCAACACCATTACAAAATCGAGTTTGTACCAATAAATTTATTAATTTGACAACTGGTGGTTTATCTGCATTTTGTGCTCTACGTCAACGTAATCGACGTCCAATTTTAAAATATTTCTTTCAATTAATAGTAAAACACAATAAATGTCATTCAAATGATTTACTTATGGATTTAATGTTTCCGTCACAGTTAAGTTATCTTCTTCCATCCAGAATCTCTTTGGATCAAAGGTATTAATATTAATCATTATTGTTTCCTTTATCGTGTCTTTTCGTCTAACACATTTTTTTTGAAAACGTAACTAGTTCACACGTAAGTAGTTTCTATTGTGTGTCGATTTCAGTGTAGAGAACCGTTAAAAATTAATGAGCACTTGACAAGATGCTTTAGTTCAACTTGACACTCGTCTTGAAAACCCATCTTCCACTCCTTCTAAATTTTTAGCAATTAAACTATTCGTGCTCACTATGATAGAAATATTATATTTTGACTTAACCAAAATATCATGCTGTGACAGAAGTTATCATTCAGCAATATAAAAACATCTAGAACTATGCTTTCAAGTTAATCAGATGAAGCCGGTTGATGAAATAGGTGAATATATCTACGTCATTGTATATTTTATGTATTTTATGTGTTAACCTGCTAACGTGGGTTTAAAAAAAAATCTTTTTTTTCCAGTTGACTCACTATGTGTTTTTTGTTGTGTTTTATTTTCATTTTATAACTAGAAAATTACCCTTATCTCTAATGAATGCGTCTTCATGTCATGGTTTATTACCACCATTATTCTTAGCTTCTTTAATTCATCAATTAAATCATTTGAGACAAAATGTAGCAAAGTTAGCTGCTCAATCTATCGTGCAACAAACATTGAATAGTATATCACGTTCAAATATTCGACAAAGTCAACAACAAAATACTAATTTTTTTGAAGGATTAATTGGTGCAGAAGTTAATGGCTTTATCGGTCATCAATTAGAATTATGTTCTGCATGTTTACCAAGTGTTTTAGATCTGTTCATATTAAGTTTAGAATTAGAACGATGGACAAGCTTGATTGCTGGTGTTACTTGTGATTTCGGTCAAGGTAGATACTAAACGTTTGGAATAATAATACATTTATTCAGTTGTTGTTTTATTTTTCTTCTCAGACTGCATTGAATACACCAAGTAGTAATGCCATTAATGCTATGCTGTTTTAGTAATATGCTTGATTAACCTAATCACTTAGTTTAAGCGTCTAAACTAACATTGAACAGTTTTAATAGACAACTGTTGAATTTTATAAACAAGCCAATTATTTCTCTTGGTAAAATAATTTGAATTCATTTTAAATTAGCACTTGTTTATATCACAGATTGTCTATTGAATCATGAACGCACTTAGGTTCGTAGTAGCAATACTGTGAAAACAGATTTAGTTGATGAAACTAATAGATTGGTGATAATCTTACTCATAATTTTCTGTCAAAACTATCTACCAAATCAAACAAGAATAATACTCTCCGAGTTAATGCACTCATCTTAATTGAACAAACAAGCATACTGGAACAAAAGATAGATGTAGTGTATACGTACGATACATTTTTGAATATGCATAAAACTACATAAAGAATTGAATAATCTAAATATTGTTGTGGTGCTGTGGTGCGAGCTACTTATAAGTAGTATATAACGTGAGTGTCAACGTAAAGTCTGGTAGCATAATATGGGGGGAAGATCAAGAAAGGAAGAGTTAGAAAACAATGGAATTTGTATGAAACGCATGAATAGTGACAATGGATTGATGTTTGGCAACAGGAACAGTCCAGTTCCGTAGGATGAACTGATCTTTTGCAAATGAACGATTTACGATGTGGTTTTCCGATTTTACTGAGTAACTCTGTAATTTTCCGTTAAATACAATTCGGTTGCCCCCACCTGTGTTCTCATTCACTACATTGTGATAAACCTTATCGTCCTTGGGAAAAAAATGACATGCTGTACTTGTTGTACTTACTAACTTACTATCTTTTATATTTAACTAAATTTTCACGAGTAAAAAATGAAAAATATGATTGTCTAATTATTATTTTCTTTTCCTTCTAATAATAGGAAGGAATTCTGTAAGTGATCAACGTGTACGTAATGCATTTGAGAGAGCTGTACAAATTAGTCCATTTCTTACATCATTTGTATCTCCTGAGGGGAATTTGATTCATGTAGCGTTAGGCGCTAGTACGTCATCATTCTGGTCGGCGCATTTACGTTTAGTTATATGGAGAGCTTATATGGCATTTGGTTGGATGGCTGGTCCGCCTCACACCTCTAATACATCTACTACAATTATTACAAATAATTTAGATCCTCGTCAACGTCGTCAAGCTGTAAAAGCAGTTTTTTATCGAGCTGTTGAAGATGTCCCATGGGCTAAAGTAATTCTATTCGAGATATTTATCTTGTTCATTATTTATATTTTATCATTTATAATTTATTTTTCTCTTATTTCACTATATGAAAACCAACCATTAAAACAATAAAAAGGTCAGTAGGTGGTGTGTTTTTTAGTTTTTCGAAAAAAACTATTATTACCTGGCAATTTGAAGAAAACGTGTTTCTGGGCTATTCTTCCCGACTTACTAAGACGAATCTCGAAGGCTTATTTTCTCAATGATCGCATTAAGGATTTAGAGAAATTAAAGTCACATTATAAAAGACTTCTTGAACTCTGTTAAGACACTAGGCAAACCGTGTTGACTGTACCCATTAACTCATAAAGATCACATTATATAGTCGTAAAAATCCCTTTTATGTTGTTGTATTGGTTCTTTTAATTTAAAATTCTTGTTTTTGCGTAAAATAGGCTCTGATAGTACCATACATTGCGATTGGCAATTAAAAGTTATCTATGCTTGAAGCACCTGAATATTTTTAGTGGCTGCGTTAAATTCGAAGTAGGGTTCACCAGGACTTGACTCCGGTTTGAACGAATCATCGAGTATGCGATGAAATAAGTCGTCCATTTCCGTATATCATACTTAGACAAACCCCATTTGTGCGACGGTGGTAATAAGAAGCCGAATATGATTTTGCGGGTGAATTTATTCCATGCATTCATTTCTTGTTTCGCTATTTTTAACCTTTTTGAATCCAGCCTTCGCGGTCAATCCATATATGCTTGGTCGGTGATTACGCCTTTTATCACCACCGTATGGTCTGCGCTCAAGAGCCGGTTTTGTCGGGAATCTACTGATAAGTCAAATTCTGTAAGAAATCAGTACCGATTATAAGCACCGATAAATCCGCCACGACAAACTCCCAGCAAAATGAAGTATTCCGACCGAAATTCAAAGTTAAATTTCACTTCCCATATGTTTTATGTCAGATTTATATACTCCGGAAGTCAGTTGTCATTCCCTCCAAGTAATCCGCATTATGAGCTGGAATTCACAGAAGAGATTTATTCCTGTCAGATTTTCTCGATTGCATTTTTGCTTGTATTAAATAAATGTATGTTTGTTTTCTTTTACATCGATTTACACTATACTGACCAGTAAATTAGTATCAATTTACGTTCATCGATTGAAGCAAAATGCAGTCAGTTTTGATTGTAAATGTTTTTGTTTTAAATTTTAGGTTCTGTATACAGATCTAGTTCGTTATTGTCCAGAAGATGTTGAAGAAGTTGTGGACTTATTATCAGAACGTGAATTAAGATTGAGAACACCGCTAGAAGAAGTTGATCTGTTGTTAACTGCCAGACCTCATGAATAAATTAATCTTTTGTATATTATAATTATTTCAAATAAAAAAATCAGATGTTTTTATAGTTTCTGTTTCTACATTCATTGGATTGTATACTAATGAATTATTTAACATTCACAGAGTTATTTGTCTTTTCATATCATTTTTAACATCTGAATGCTTCTGGTCATTTTAAAACGAATGGAATTACGTACGACCGTTCTAACAATAGAAACAAGTCTCTTTGATTAGGCGTTCATCATCGGTCATGCTTTAATTCTTTCCATCATTACATATCAGTTGGTACACTAGCTTCTGATCATGAAATAATTGTATTTTTTGGGTGATACCGAATGAGTGGAATTTTGTATTCTTCATAGCAAATAAATTAACCTAAAAAGCTGTTAGTTATTTAGCATTGATATGTAAATTTTTCCATCTAGGTGCATGGCGTGTTCTGTTACTGTTTTGTGATAACTCCACAGGTTAAACAGTGAAAACAGGTTTTCAACTGCAGAAAGCATGAAAAATTGCGTTACACGGGCGAACTATCCACGTTGCCTGTTTTGAGTTTGTATTCTGAGCCTCTTATGTTGAGTTATTAAATTTTGATCACTGTTGGTCTGATGATTTTGAACATTCCAGGTTTGATGACTGATCCTTCCCATTGAGAACAGAGGTATTTAGCATTTGTTATAGGGCGGGTGGAGGATGGCTTTGAACACCAATGGAGACCAATTACGTCCCCGCCACTATTCGTAATCCCGTCCTGAACCAAAGACAGAGGATTAGATATAACCCAGAAAAGGGCGTATATTTGTTGGCTATCTCGTGGTTTTGAAAGAATACTGAGATCATACCAAAGGATATAGGCGAAGCTACCACGAGCAGAGTAACCAAGATGGCAGTCAAACAAGCGGAGTACTTGTACAGAGCACGGATAAACAAGGAGTTCAGTTCACTGGTACATTTGTTTATAATAAATGTTTCCAATCAATCAATCGTAGCAGTGGTAGTAGCCTGCCGCTAGGAAGGGTTTACACTTTCGATACGTAGCGGTCTCGTTCGTGGGACTGATCGGCAAAACTTGTGACTGTAGGATGTAGGGACTGATGAGCAGGAAGCGATCCATGAAGCTCGAATTGTCGCTGACGGTGTCTTACGCAGAACGGTACCAGGATTATTGTGCCCATGTTTGCTGCTCAAATTTGTGTCCCACATGAGAGTGATTTCTAACCAGAAGCTGAAGATGGTGTTCGTAGGGATTTGAACCAGCAAACGTAGGACGATTCAACGTTGAGCCCAGAAAGCAGAAGAGCTCATAATAATTAGGTTCGGGATCGTACGTATGCCAGAGGTAGCCGGAACTAGAATCTCGACCAAGCACATTGAAAAGGACAGCTGTTTTAATGTTTGAGTGGAGTCAACGGTACCGATCGGAGGCGTAAGCCTAGGATGAAAACATCAAAGAAAAAGGAACGTGTGGTAAATGGTAGAATCCATCACAGTAGGACGCATCACAGTCAACACAATGTAGTTTGCAAAGACAGTTTGATGTCTGTATCAAACGCTTTCTCGTAGTCGTTAAATTTATGTAGAGTGGCGTGTTCCATTCAACAATACCCTGTATTAAGAGACGAGTGATAATGATGTAGTTCTAACACTTGTTGAGATCACCTTTCTCTGGTATCTTGATGAAGAATTCTACATTCACGTGGATGTTGTATTAACTAACGGCTACAGAACAAATTTCAATTCAACTCAATTTTTACTAACTTGATAGGGTATTTTCTGAACTGACCACAGGTACTTGTAGTAATATTAATTAAAACTGATTGAAAAGCCATACAAAATTTGATGCTGATTTTTTAAGGAAAGATATTTTACCATGTTTAGGAAATTAAGGCATAACCTTACGACAATATGTTAAGTTTAGGATCCAAACTGTGGTTTGAACTGAGGAATAACTGTCTAGGTAGCTTAGGTATGCGCCTTGCCCAGTTGAAACCAAAATAAAAGATTCGGGTATGTAGTGGAACACTTCTACGAAGAAAACACGATTGGTGAAAAATAAGCATTTTTTGTTGTAGTCGTTTTGTTTAACTGTACCAAAAAACCACTTTCTTGTGCACAACGTTCTTTTCTCGTCGCTGCCATTTTTCATAACGTGCTGCTCTCTAAATACTGCCTACTTTCTCCTTCAATAAATATTCGAACGCGGATTTATTTCTGATTTACATGACGGAACAGTATGGAACTTTTAGTGGTGATCATAGTCAATCTCGACTTGGTCACCACTAAAATTGGTGAGCAGACGTTTCTTCTAAAGAAGTCAATTACGGTGAGTCTATTATTCATCTATCACCATTTTTACAAGGTTGCAGTACTAATAATAGTGTCTTTAATATAAATTATACTTGCAACAACGTTTCGAAATGGTGGATAGCTATATTAATAGACTCTGAGGTGCAGGTCATTACATTTTCACCTCTCTCCCCCGTCACTTCAGGTTGTTAGTTTATTTTACGTGCACGTTTTTCGCACTAACGCAAGGTAATTGGTGGCCGCAAGTGCCCAAGTTTCTGTCATATCGTTTTGTAGCAGAAAGTCACAAGCTACGATGCTTCGACCACGCGCTGCGAATGGCTCTGTCATTCCTACCTACACTACACGACAGCTAACGAACAACATGTATAATCGACGACAGCATCTATGGACGTTCATTCCTGCTGATGTCCTCATAGCTGTACTCGGTATCCATTCCCTACAGCTCTATGAATTGTTATTCGATTCACGTAGGCTGCAGTTAATCGATACTTCGTCGAATATCAAATCCATGGGTTTCAAGACGCAGACAGATATATACCGAATCACTAATATATATTTTGCATCATTATTTATCTCATGTTATATTTGATGAATTCCCCAAAGTAACGAAACCGAGGAGATTCAACCGGTGATTAATTATGTGGTAAGTTACGTCGTCACCTTCAGACCACCAGTCATGGCAAAACCTCGCCGACTGGCACTGGACAGATTAGTTTTCGCTAAGCATGAGTGTGACAGCTCACTTGCTATATCTATTACTTCGTCTTTTTCACAGTCCTTAAGACTCCTCTCTCCACTCGATTCGCAGAAAGATGGCATTTTTGGAGACGACGACACGGCGATTACAGAGCAACAACGGCAGGTATTCAACGTTCCACCGCTGAATTGGTATACGGCACGACATTGCATTTACCTGGGGAATTTTTCACGCCACGGAGCAGTGATTTTATGTATATCAGATAACTTCCAACGATTATCTGCGTAGATGCGAACACTACCTCCGGTTTCGACTCGAATATAACATCAACAGTTCGCTCTCCCTCGAGAGTTATTTACCTGTCTGCATGTTTTCTTACGAGTAGATTCGGTACTCAGCAGCCTAACGAAGGATCTTTTCAAGTGATCTCGCATCACGATAAGACATTCAAGGTTGATGGACACAGTCAGCATTGATCGTCTCAGACCAGCACACGTCAATGAGTGCCCTACCCGATAAATCGAGATTTAATGCTAGATCGTCCAACTCACTAGCGAGATCCCTATGTTTCCTTCTGAGCCGACGTCAGATATACCAGAGACCTCATTCTCACGTCACAGTCAACAGCACGCATCATCTGCGCTATCTACGGATGAGACTCCGGTCTCACGTCCAGATGCAGCCCTTGACTTCAGATAAGATTGCTGGCTCACGAGGTAAGCTCGGGACTACCGTCTCTTGATCCGGTCGCCGCCTACGCCTACCTGTGGGTTTCTCGAATAACCACCCAGGCAACAACGGATACGTATTAGGGCACTATCCTCATACTACACGTATGTAATAAACTTCTCTTTATTTTCACTTCGTTTCCTGAGCCGACGTCTACGACTGTCCCCCCGTTGGTACCGTCGTCTCCAGTCGATCTCAGCGAAAACTGTCCTGGTCACTCACGTTCTTGTCAATGCGTTCAATGGATGTTTTGGTTTCGAACGCTATGGTACATACATGGTTTCAAACTTGGTCGTTCTGGTCGTTTCTGGCTCTCTCGCTCAATATAGTCCTGTTATACGTCTAAGCTTTTTATGGTCCGAACACCTGCGAACGCAATCTTCAGACTTTGGATACGAGCCACGTGGGTGTGGCATCCCAACTCGAGCAATAAAACTGTCACTTTACTACTGGTACAGTTCACCGTAGAAGACTATCGGTGACAACACGATCTTCATTGGTCGCTTTCTGTTCGTCAACCATTCCTCGCTACAATCAAACGTAAGACGACCATCACCCCCCGAATGCAGCTGCAATGTATCGAAAGTGTAAACGCTTTCTAGGGGGGAGCTGCTGTAGTGGAACACTTCTAAGAAGAAAACGCGATTGGTGAAAAATAAGCATTTGTTATTGTACTCGTTTTGTTTAACTGTCCTAAAATACCCTTCTTGCGCTCAACGTTCTTTTCGCGTCGCTGCCATTTTTTACAACTTGCTGCTCGATGTAATGCCTACTTTCTCCTTCAAATATATTAGGGCACCACCGAAGGTAAATGACGGTTCTAATATTCATCATAAATATAAATTTACTTCATTACCTAAACAAATATTATCACTCAGTTATTCCACTAACAAATGTTCAATTAGTCAAATCAACAGCAACAAATAAATTTTATTCTATCCTTTCTGGATAGATCAGATTCCTTCAAAGGATAATATTCAGTCGATTTATAACATAGAATGCTTGTTATTCTGGAAGGATGCTTCAACTCACAATCAAAATGCCTAATTCCAGTCAAGGCAAGCGACACAATTAAAAGAGGAACAAATCAATATGGCTGTCTCTAAACTAAGTATCAGCTTAAACAACATGAATGCAGTTCATGAAGAAACATAGAAACTCAGTAAAGGCCAAAGTAATAGAAACTCTGATAAAATACGAAACCTATCATCTCAAATGGAATCGGACAGACTGACAAAATATACAACTGAAGGGATCAATAAGGACAAATTACAAATTTATACATGGAGGAATTATCACAAACAAACCTTCAAAAGTGGATTTTACATTAAGTGCTTCCTCATATTGTTATATAGGTGTAAATCACCGACACAGGTGATCTACATCGATAAATGTAGGCTTGATTGAGTGCGATTGGAATAATGCGACCAGCTATTAATGGCGAAGTCAACCCTCATCGTTAAAGTCCCAAAGTAAATACTCCCTTGAAGTAACAGTGTATACTAGTGTTACCAATAATCAGAAGTAGTGGGCGGAATGGTTGTTGGATGCGCCTGTCCATGATATGCCGTCGAATAGCGTGCGCTAGTTCCCTTTGAACTTTATAAGGTTCAACAAATTACTTGAGATTGATCGACTGAACAGTCGAATGACTCTGTAAGGGCCAAGTTACATTTCATCAGTCATAAATACGTCAAAGTTTTAAGCATATGTGTAAAACAATATTTCAATTGATATGCAACCTTTAAAATTGAAGTAAACGCACGAACAGTAGCGTAAATTGTCAGAATAACTACGGGTTCTGTAGTCCTTATAAACTAAATAACATCAAAACAATTCAGTACCAAGATAACTCACTTAGCGCTTAGTGTCAAATCGTCAAATCATTAATATTCAGGTTAACATACAAAGAACCCTTTATCTCGATTTCCAGACAAATCAAAACCAATATATGAAATATGTGGGCCAAATTAATTGAACTGATCCGCTTTTTGTGTGCCTAACGGACACCACATTATTAGTAGTATTTGTTTCTAACATCAATTCAAAGTAAACCCATACCGACTAAATCGTGTAAATAACTGGTTGCATTTTGGGCTCTGTTTTTAAGTTCTTTGTAGAATTATACATGGCTTATTGAATATGAAGATTTTTAATTCCGATATTAGTTTCCGATAATAACAACCTTTGATAATAATTTATTAAATTATCACTCTCCTAACTGACACTGAAACTCTGCTATTAGTTGCGGTACGTTAGACCTTTTGCGTTACGTCAAGGATGTCAAGTGAGAAATACGAGGTGGACTTGGTAGACTTTTCGAACTCTGACGTTAAACCTTCGAATTCATCAAGTAATTTCACTCAAAAACCTACCACTGCCGTGGAAAACGGCTGTAGGCCAGATAACCATGAAAGCGAATCGACAAACCTAGAACCACCCATCAGTGAACAATTATTATTAAATTTAAACGTCTGTCAGGTGAGTCATTATCCAGCTCCTTATTGTATATCATGGTTTGAAAGTAAATATGCACTTTACTAGAATCTTCTTATTTTCTGCATGGTGGAAGATTAAGCTAATTTTGTTATATTGAGAAGTCAGCTCAGTTTTAGTTTGGAAGCTGAGTGCACTGTGTTGGTCCCAGCATTTTTTAATCTCAGTTGGTCCAGTTATATCTTTAATTTGTCAACATATAGAGCTTCCATCACATGTTGAAGTAAAGAGTTCCCTTTGACAACTCGATGAAAAATTCGGTAATCAGCTGTCAAGTAATTTGTTCTTCTTATATATGGTCCTCATATTCTAAAAATGCGCACTAGGTTGAAGGTGGTCATGTTATATATTTCCGCTCACCTCCTACTTCTCTGTACAACCTTGTCTAGTTTAGCTATAAATTTTAAGAAAGATAGGACGTGATCAATCCATAACGACATTGACTGTCTAAGTGATGTCATTGGGTTCAGATTGTCTGATCAGCATCCATTCGGTAGCGACGGTTAGTAGCTATGGCCTTCAGTTGACAGCTCAATTAGTCACAGTTACGCAGACGCATTCATTTATAATCCTAACCTGTGTTTTAAACTCTAACATTCCTAAAGTCCGTCTGGAACCTCTCTCGGGCTATTGCGGACCTCGAACCCGGATAAAAGTTTAGGTTTGAGCATGAGGTATGCGATCCCATTCCGTAAAAAATTAGGGTTCTGCTCAATGACAGCTTAGCTAAGAATATATTTCAGGAGCAACTAGAAAAACGGTTTGGTGGTCATGTTAGTGGTTACCACCGCAAGGCAGTTTTGAATCTCATTCGAAAAGCGGTGGAAACAACAGTGATATCTTCTAATTATGGAGAAGCAGTAGATTTCAGTAGTATCTACTGAACTGACAAAGGCTCCAAAGCTCACCCCATCTGGCTCTAAACACGAAGAAATGAATAAGCTTAGAAGCAGGCTGAATAGAAGTCAACTTAATGATCGCGATCTGTGTTGGGTAGAAAAAGCAAGAGCGATGAAAAAAGCAGCGGTGATAGGCAACTGTAGACAACTGCTCCGCCCTATGAATGAAACTGGTATTAGGAATCCGACAGTGAGTAAAACTTTCGAAAGAGGATTGGCTTACTATTCATCCTCAATCCAGGAGATTGGATCGATGGGCAGAGCACTTCAGTGATAAGTTCAACTGGCCTTCAGTCACACTTCGGTTGCCCACGATCTCCAGTCAACCTAAATGGCAAATCGACGTAAGTCGTCCTACACCTTATGAAGTTGAGAAAGCTATAGGGTATCTGAAGCAAAGGAGAGCAGCACGACCCGAAGGAAAGACTCCTTAGATTTTTAAGGATGGTGGTCCGTTTTTATCAGCTAGATTGACTGAAATCTTTGGTAGGATCTAGGAACTGAGAGTAATCCCATCTGACTGGTCTCCATCCCTGATTGTCCCAGTCTATATGAAAGGACAAAAGTCTTCTTGTGACAATCACAGGGGAATAAGCCTAACTAAAATAGTTTCTAAATTGTTAGCCTCGATTATCCTTAGACGCCTAACTAGAGCTCGTGAAGATCAGAAAAGAGAAGACCAGGCAGGTGTCAGACCTGGATATGGATATATGGACCGAATATTCACACTTCGACAGGTCCTACAACACATACACATTTCGGCCGCCGGGAATTGTTATCTTCCTAGTCTTTAAAGCAGCATTTGGCTCTGTCGATCGTGAGGTTTTATGGTAGTGTTTGTCATTGAATCCAGTACTAAAGAAGCACACTAACCTTACAAAAGCTCTCTATTCGAACACATCTGGCCGAGTCGGAGCTTATGGCGAACTGTCATCTGAACTGATTACGTCGAGCTGTGTTCATCAAGGCTGTCCACTCTCCATTCTTATTGAATTTATCATAGACATGCTTTTAGAAATAACACTTTCCTCCTCTAATTTTTCAGAAATTGAACTTCTACCTGGAGATTTACTTCTCGACTTAGAATCTGTCGATGACAGTTTTGTTTGGTGAAGACGCTGAAAAAATGTAGTCTTCTTAGGAGCTATGTTTTGTAGAGGATATTTATAGGCTATTAGTATTCGATCATAGGTGCATTCGAAGCATTGCTTGTATATCCTGGGAGTAAGCAACGCTATTGTTTTGTGGTGTAGGAGTAGGTTGGAAGAAAGCTAGGGGCGGCCAAACCAAAACATGTCAAAAATCCTTGAAGTCACTGACATTTGAAGTGTGCTGTATTGTTAGGTCTAGATTACCTAGTTGGGGTCTGCTAGATGATATTGACCTATGGTTAGACACTTTGAAAAACATGGCGCAGGTGCATCCATTCTTTGTATTCTCTGAAATTCTGATCTCCTGAGTTCGTCATCACCTCTATCTTTCTTTTTTTAAATTTGTTTCGCTGAATTATACTTGTTGAATTATATCTTTGGACTGTGGTCTTTCCGATTACAGCTCATTCTTTTACTACCTCTAGCACTATGTGGTTGGAATTGATAATTACAGCTGTGTGTGTAAGTGTTATGGCAGCTTGAACTGATGTTGGTACGTAGGAATTTCTTCGTTGTTGCTGACTGACTAACCTTTTTCTTCCTGTGCTTCTAACTCGATAAAATCGCTCCTCCATTTTGTCTTTCTTTATCTATCATGATAAACCTAACTAATTTTATTTATCGCTAGCAGGTTTGCTTCATGTTAGACTTTACAGTGGTTGTGAATTTTCTCCATTATTAAAATCTCCTTGTTCATTTACTTATACATTCTTTCCGCCTTTCTGCAGTTTTTAACATACTACTGGTAGTAGACCACATAGTGTGAAACTTATATTACAACTTCAACTCAGATACTCTAGCGTTTTTATTATGTAACAGACTAGCACGTTTGCTGTGTTTGAGAGCTGTAGTCTGGCTTCTATAGATATGTAACCTTATAAAGTGTTACCATTTTAGCCTATTACACCGAATAATGCGCGCTATTTTCTTGTACTATTATTTGGAGCCTACACGGCTTGTATTAGCTTCTAACAAAACCAATTAACCTGTTCTTCTCGAGCCTTATTAACTCATATTTTGATTTCGCTAATTTTTTTCTGATAACCTTGGCTGTGTTTTCCTCAAGTTTGTGTGTGCGTTGTTCTATTCGCTTATCAAATGTCTAGCTTATGACTATACATTGTCATGTCTCATCTAATCGAGTTAACCCATTTGCCTTCTCCGCTTTACTTCATTTAGTTTTTACGCTTCTCCTTATTACATCTATCTGCAAACGCAAGCGTATGAACTAGCTTCATGCAAAAAACCGTATTGCGCTTCTTGTACTACCGTTACACAAACGAGATTAGCCTAAGGGTCATACACGAAATTAAGGATGAAAGATTTATCTCATAGCATATTCAACTTTCGGTACAAAAGTGGAATTAGATCGCGGGCCACTAAAGCCTATTTAAAAATTCTGGAAAATCAGCAATCCCTTATCATTGTCAGCACTAATTATGAAGCAGTATCTCGAATGATGTGCTCCCGTTACTTATCTAACCACAGAGCTTAAAGTACTTGGTTCTGTTTACTGATTAGCTTCCGTCCTTGTTTACACTAACCGTAATGAAATAAAAATGACTGTTGTTCTAGTTTATATTCACAAAGCTCAGTATGCGTTTTGCGAATTACAATATTCTAAGTGCTTACAGGATATCTCTAGTTGCTGAAGACAGAAAGTACTGTTATGGTGTTCCATATTATCCATCGTGTTATGATAATTAGAAGTGTTTAGGATATACAATTTAGCTAAATGTATACGATCTCCTGCTTTTAGAGCGCAACAAAATGGTTTAGAATGGCTATTTTTGGAGTTATAGGCTTGTTACTGCGGCTATGTACGCGTGACGTTTTAATCGTTAATCAGATTCGAAAACCTCAGACACATCTATATTCACCATGGAAAAATAATAAGTGTCGATGCTCATTTATGGAGTTACTAGTTTTAATGACTAAACGCGCCCTTAATTAACTGATTTAGTTCACTTTTAAGCTAACTAGTATGTTTTGATTTTCACTTCCTTAGGCTCGGCTTGTTAAAAATCATGGTTTCTTCCCAATGAGACTTTACTGTCGGGTTCTCATCGGGGATGCCATATTCGAGACTCACACTGAATCGGGAGCTGGCAAACATCCTATCTGGAATAAAACTTTCCAATGGTAAGTTTATATTTGATATACTAGACTGTAATTATTGTGCCACTAAAATAGGGCTACTATCCAGAAATTTCCACTCTTATGAAACTAAATTCTATTGCCCACTTTTGGAAGATTTCGAACAGCCACTCATATATTATTGGTACTGTCTTTAAAAGGTATAAAAGTATCATTTTTATTAATCGATACAAATAAATTGATACAAAGCAATTCACAATTCACGAGCTATACTTTTCTGCCTACGCTTGTTTGGCTTGTTTTACTGTAAAAGGTTTGGTTGCAAAACTATATTTGTCAATCATAATGTAAAATATAATTTTATACTTTTCGAGTTAAAGTTTTCATCAATCTTAAGATAAACATGCTAAAATTAGAATTCTAAAAGCTTGTAGTCAGTGAAGATGTACTGTACTAACTTTCCACTAACTTTTTTTAAATCAAAAAACTTATTCTCTATCATAGTTATGTTTGTTTTTAATTGAATTTCAGTGAGCTTTTATTCATGGTTTAGTCCGTACATTTTGTTTTCCTTAATTTAGTTGGTTACATGATGGTGTCGACAGATTAAAAGTAGAAGTGGTTTCAGAAAATATCATATTCTCCAATTCACAAGTAGCACATGCTGTGATAATTTTCCCTCGATGTTTACTTAATGGTATTGCTGTAGATCAATGGTTTGACCTTAGCGGAAATCAAGGAGAAAGTTCGGCAGGTTCTATTAATCTGATTTTCCAATGTCAAGTAAGCAAACTAAGCATATTACTAGCTAGAGTTCTTTATTTACATTAAGCGACATGCTTTTAATTTATTTAGTTGTTGAGGAGAAAGTCAATTTTTAAAAAAAAATAACTGGTGAAATATTTGGTGGTTTTCGGTGAAAACCCATTCAATCACCACTCCTATTCCCTTGAACAACATCAGTTCTCTTTTTTGACAATCATAACTTGATTAATATGCCTCTTTTGTCTTTAGTTCGTATGTACTTGCGTAAACAAGCGTATGAAAAAACAAAATGTTCGTGCGTTTAATTTAGTATCGATATTTTTTTCACTGATTTTGATTTCTCTAAACTGTATTTTCCACCCCCCACCCATTGATACTGTTACTACCTTTTCTACTCTCGGATTGTGACTGACAAGTTTGTCTAGCTGTGTTATTGAGGAATAGCACCTTGATCTGATTTTAACTGTGTACCCAGTTCTACGTTGCATCTCCGACCGTAGCTGCTACCTTGACGTGGTGGTCGAGCTTGCCTATCGTGATGACCCAACGGAGCTATACTGGCTGGAACATATGATCCTGAAGGTTCTACCATGCCAACCAGGTCGATTGGAGAACGATGAGACTAAAAGCAGCTACCCAAGGTCTGAGGGCGAAGTCGTACTGCTGACTGCAGAGGGGTGTGACAGCAGTAAGGTGTTTGCCTCGGACAACCAGCATCTGCAGCGATGCTGCCTTCTCACAAGGAAGGAAGGGTTAGAAAAGGTTGACCCTAAAAATGTCACACCTCACCCTACCTCACGGATTTCCGTCTCCTTGGGTAAGGGTGTCCAGTAAGAGCCTTTAAGAACGGAGCTAATCCTCAAAAAACCTTTCATCAAAAGGCCGTGCGTGACCGGCCTGATGCAGTTGTCCGTTGGACTCTGCGGTCACGCTCCCAGGTCTCCAAGACCAACACTAATCTATCTTCATTTTCAGGTCCCTCAAGAAACAACCTTCCACGGTATGGGCAGCCGGGAAGTGATAACCGCCTCATACCCGTAAGAGCACACGAGACCAAATTGTTCATAATCAAATCCTTCCTACACCCCTTAATACCTGTCTTCTCTCCACGACTAACTCTTCTCACATTCATTTGTCACAGTGCACAGCTAATGCAAACGATGCGAGTTCACGAAACGCCGTTCCTGGTCTCTTGAAACTCTGTTCTAAACTACGTGTTGGAGCATTTAATGTACGGACATTGTGTCAAATAGGGCAACAGGGATCATTAGCTAGGACTTTCGAATCTCGTGCCATGCTGTGTCTCGAAAACGCGCATACAGGATCCTAGTAAAATTATTAATCTGAATTTCACCTTGTCAAAATAAAGAATCAGCTAGATTTACTCTTCGTGTATCTGGAAGCCCTGATGCTGCTTCCAGGGGTCTTGTTGACGTAGGCATAGCATTAAGTCGTAGAGCTGAACAATCTCTCCTAGACTGGATCCCTGTAAATAGTCGCTTGTGCGCTGTCCGACTAAACGGGACAGTAAGGACTCGGAAAGATAGGGACAATCGCAGTTGCCTATTCATCGTATCTGCCTATGCCCCCACTGACTGCAGTTCAAACGAGGTTAAAGATGAATTTTACAGAAAGCTTTCGAACCTCCTCCAAAAAGCTAGGCGCTCTGATGTAGTAATAATGGCTGGCGACTTTAATGCTCAAGTAGGTAGACTAAGTGAAAATGAAAGATACTTTGGTGGATGTTATAGTTTCGCTGCTCAGATAACAGACAATGGTGACCGTCTGTTGCAAGCATGCTCAGACAACCGCCTATTGTTAGCAAACACTAACTTTAGGCATAAGGAGAAGCATCTGTTGACCTGTCGACCTCCAAAGTCGTCTCAACGTTGGACTCAACTAGATCACATCGCCATCATCCACCGATGGACGGGTTCGATAGAGGACTGTCGCTCGTTGTGGGGCACATGCTTAGATTCGGATCATGCCCTAGTGCGAGCGCGTATTTGTTTGAGGCTTACAGGGCGTAGGAAAGATACCGTAAGAAAGCCTCTTAGGGTTTTACTTAATGATAATAAGGCGAAGAATATATTTCAGGAACAACTAGAAAGACAGTTAGGCGACCATTTAAGCGATTCCCATCCGGAAGCAGGATGGAATGATAATAAAAAGCTGTGGAAACAGCAGTGATATCTGCTAGTAATGTATACCGTAAGGTTAGAATGAAGCCGTGGATCTCAGTAGCATTCACCGATCTAATGGATGCCCGAAAACTCATCCCACCTGGCTCTGAGTGCGATGAGGAGCGGAGTCAGCTTAGACGTAGGCTGACAAAAGGCTTACGCAATGTTCGAGAACAGTGGTGGGTGGAGAAAGCGAGAGAGATGGAAAAGGCAGCGGCAATAGGCAACAGTAGGCAACTATTTAGACTCATCATGGAAACTGGTATTCGGAACCCAAATGTGAGTGAGACTATTTCGGAAAAGGAAGGTCTTATTATCAATTCTCAATCCAGGAGACTGGACCGATGGGCAGAACACTTTAAGGATCAGTTAAAACTGGCCTCGAGCCACTCTTCGATTACTCACGATCTCCAGTCATCCTGAATGGCAAATCGACGTAAGTCCCCCTAGTCTTTATGAAGGTGAGAAAGCGTTGGTAAACCTGAAATGAGGGCGAGCTGCAGATCCTGATAGACTGACCCCTGAGATATTTAAGGATGGTGGTCCAGTTTTAGCAGCTGGGTTGACTGAGATCTTAGGTAGAATCTGGGAACTGGACGTAACCCAATCCGACTGGTCTCAGTCACTGATTGTCCCGATCTATAAGAAAGGACAAAAGTCTTCTTGTGACAATCACAGGGGAATAAGTCTAACTAATATAGTATCTAAAATATTAGCCCCAGTAACACTTCGACGCTTAACGAAAGCTCGTGAAGAGCAAACTCGAGAAAACCAGTCTGGTTTTCGACCTGGACATGGTTGTATAGACCACATCTCCACACGACGACAAGTCCTGGAACACAGACACACATTTAGACGTCCTACAATAGTTGTTTTCTTGGACCTTAAGGCAACATTTGACTCTGTGGATCGTGAGGTTCTGTGGCAGTGTCTGTCATTGAAAGGTGTACCAAATAAGTACATTAACCTCATACAAGCTCTCTCCTCGAACTCCACTGGTCGAGTGAGAGCCTATGGCGAACTGTCACCGGAATACTTTACTTCAAGTGGAGTCCGTCAGGGCTGTACACTTTCTCCATTCTTGTTTAATATTATCATAGACATGCTCCTAGAAATAACCTTATCCTCGTCTGGATTTTCAGGAGTAGACCTTCTACCAGGTGGCTCGCTTATTGACTTAGAATATGCCGATGACATAGTCCTACTTGGTGAAGATGCTGACAAAATGCAGAGTCTTCTGACCACCCTATGCAACAATGCATGTTCGGTTTTCCCCTCGAAACGCAAAATGTTGCTTCAAGACTGGGTTGCATCGGCACCTGAACTAGTGATAGGGAGTGAAGTAGTCGAACGTGTAGACCATTTCACTTATCTTGGGAGTCTCATCAGTGCTGATAGCATGGTGACTGACGAAATCTCAGCACGGATACAGAAGGCTCGATTGGCTTTTGCCAACCTGCGTCACTCATGGCGCAGGCGAGATATCCCTTTGTTGACTAAAGTACGAGTTTACTGCGCAGTAGTTCGCTCCGTGTTACTTTATGGCTGTGAAACATGGCCAGTGAGAGTAGAAGATATTCGTAGGTTGCTGGTTTTCGATCATAGGTGTCTTCGAAGCATTGCTCGTGTATCGTGGGACACCCGAGTGAGCAACGCTGTTATTAGGAATCGGGTGCTAGGTAGGAATGGCAGATCAGTAGATGAAGTGGTGAAACTTCATCAGTTGAGGTGGTTGGGACATGTGTTACGTATGCCTACCCACCGACTACCTCGTCGAGCTTTGTTTTGTAGTGTAGGAGTAGATTGGAAGAAAGCTAGGGGCGGCTAAATCAAAACATGGCAGAAATCCATGATGTCATTGACTAGTGGACTGAGCCATGTCGTTAGTTATCGGCTACCTGAGATGATAATAATCGATGGTTAGAGACCTTGAATGACATGGCTCAAAATCGTTCGCAATGTCGCCGGTGCATTTATTCTTTGTGTTCTATCAAATCCTAATCTTCTTGATTCTTCAACAACTCTAATTTTGACTTTCTAAACTTTTCTCACTGAATCATACTTCTTGAATAATATCTTCTAATCCTAACCTCTCCGATTACTTCTAATAACTTTACTACCTCTTCTACTATTGGATTTGAATTGACAATTGCATCTCTGTGCTGATGTGGTACGGCAACATGAACTGATTAACTTACGTACGAAGTTCTACGTTGCAGCTGACTGACTGACTGACTACCTTGCATCCAACTGATTGGACATGCCAAAAATATTTCAAACTGTAGATGACTTATTTTTGAACAAAACGAATTTCAGAATCCTCGGTATACAAAGACCTAAGTTTCTTAATGCAAATACCATAACAAGGAATGGACCTCTGTCGGTACTCTAGCTAAAATTTAAGAAAGGAGGAACAAGAAGGCAGCAATCAACATCAATGAAACTAGAGCAGAGAAAGGCAAGGCACAAACTGAACACACCGAAGCAAACTAGCAAGTGAAATGGAGCACGAGAACCGACCAGCGTAAATATGTGGAAGATCTTGCAATAAGAGTGGAAAAGGCTGCAAGAGAACGAAACTTAAAACAATTGTACGATACAAGAAAAAAGTTCGCTGGAAACTATCGTAAACCAAAACGACTAGTGAAAAGCAAGGAAGTAAAAGTAATCAGCAACACTGAAGAACAGCAAATTAGCTGTGTAGAGCACTTTAAACAACTCTTGGATCAACCAGATCCACTGAACCCATCCAACATCGAAGCATCGTCCACCGAAATCCCCATCGATGAGATCAGTATGGCCATCAGACAAGTGAAGAGTAGCAAAGCAGCCGGACCAGACAACATTCGAACAGAGGTAATGAAAGCAGACATAACAGAAACTGTAAAAACATTCCACATTCTGTTCAACAAGATTTTGGATGAAGAACAAGTACCAACAGGTTGGGAAGGAGGATACCTGATCGAAATACCAGAGAAAGGTGATATTAGCAAGTGTGAGGACTACATCATCATCACTCTTCTCTCAATACCTAGTATTGTTACAAAGAATGAGGGACTTCGTAGACGCCCAACTTCGAAATCAACAGTCTGCATTGTGTAAGGAGTGATCGTGTACGGACCAAATTGCAACATTACGGATCATTATGGAACAAACAATCAGTTGAATGAAACACACCACTCTACATCAAACTCATTGACTACAAGAAAGAGTCTGATATCGTTGACAAGACAACACTATGGCATGCCTGAGAAGATAGACAACATTATACGCAATTCTTACGATGGATCAAACTGCAAATCGTGCACGGAGGACGTCCGACAGACTCGTTTGAGATGAAGACCGGTGTCAAACGAGGTTGCTTAATCTCATCGTTTCTCTTTCTCCTGGTGATCGACCGGAATCTGAAGACATCAACATCCGGAGGGAGACACGGCATACAGTGAACAGCCAGGATGCAACCGGACGATCTGGCCTTGCAGATAATCTGGCTCTTCTATCCCGCACGCAACTACGAATGCAAGAGAAGACGACCAGTGTCGCAGCAGCAGGTCTCGATATACGTAAAGAAAAAAGCGAGATTCTCCGCTACAACATAACATGCACCAACCAAATCACTCTTGATGGACACATCTTGGAAGACGTTAACACCTTTACATAATTGGGCAGCAAAATTGATGAGCGACGTGGATCTGGTGCAGATGTGAGGGCTCGGATCGGCAAGGCGAGTGTTGCATTTCTACAATTTGACAACATCTGTAACTCCAAACAACTATCAAAGAATACGAATATCAGAATTTTTAATACAAACGTGAAGACAGTTCTACTGTATGGGGTGGAAACTAGGAAAACTACAAAAGCCATCATCCACAAGATACAATTATTTATTAGCAGTTGTCTACGCAAAATACTTCTGATCTGTTGGCCAGACACCATCAGCAACAACCTACTGTGGGAGAGAGCAAACCAGATTCCAGTGGAGGGGGAGATCAGGAAGAGGCGCTGTAAGTGGATAGGACACACATTACGGAAAGTACCCAACTGTGTCACGAGACAAACAGTCACTTGGAACCGTCAAGGTCAAAGGAAAAGAGGAAGGTCAAGGAATACATTACGCCGAGAAGTGGAGACAGATATAAGGAGAATGAACAAAATTTGGACAAAACTGGAAAGGGAAGCCCAGGACAGAGTAGATTGGAGAATGCTGGTCGGCGGTCTATGCTCCATTGGGTGTAACAGGCGTAAGTAATTAAGTATTTAACTTCAGTACTCACTTGTCGAATTCAGGATTCATAGGAATTAATTTCGAAGTATTCTATATCTTCTAAAGTGTTTTGAAGTTTACTGTTTATCACAATCATCCGCTTGTTTATTTCAGTTGCTGATATGAGCCTAATTAACCTAAATGCTAAACCTATTTGTACATTTATGTTTATTATATCTTAGCCGTTTTAGGGGGTCCTCTGATTATTAGGCCATAAAATATAAACGAAAAATATTGCTTTTAATTAGATCTTCATCAGGCTTTACTCTAATACACAACAACAACATTCATTAGAATGATAGAATATGTGATAACAAGTGTTCACATAATTAGATAGTGAGGCATTTATTTGAAAACAAAATGTGGGAAATAAAAAAAAATAGAGCACGCAAGCAAGGAGTGTGAGAAATAATGAAAATAAGTAAGTAAGAAGGCTAATTCGATCAAGAATTGGATTGTTAGCTCGAACCACTGTAGCTTTCGCTATATGTAAGAGGCCTGGTCGAACCTCATAAGGAAAACCAATAGGTTACGATCAGTTGATTCATTTCTATCTACTCTATAACTACTATCGATTAAGTGTGATCGAACTGAGCCGCGTATGGTTTTGAATAGCTCTTTCGTAACCACTTTCGCTAACCGGTTGGTTTAGTTGCCTGGTTGTACGCCCGACGTAACTTTCTCCACAGAAGCAGCTGAATTAGCAGATACACATGGATGTGGTGAAACCAAGTAACTTATCATTTAATTTAGGAGTCATCCAAGGATAGCTCAAAAACAACAAACAAATGTCTTCAGCATTAAACGTCCTCTTTGTTGCTTTAGTCGGTTTATCTCAGAGTACATCACCAACTATATCTACGTTAAATTGTAGCTTCAGGAAGAGAGGTGTATTATTCACCGTCGATATCTCTATTTTCCTGTTCATTGTATGCAGGTATTTCTTCAGAAAACCTTGTGGATAACCGATCTCAATCAACATATTATGAATGAGCTCCAGCTCTTTGTTTATGGTTCCATTTGAGCTTATATTTCTAGCTCTCTTCTTTCAAGACATCTAACTAGGTTTCTGATGTAATGAATGGGTGCAAAGCTCACGAAATGTGTACTGGCCTGACGAAGAACTCTTTTGATACACATTTCTACTGATAAAACAATTATCTTTTCTGTTTTACAAAACATCAAGAAAATACAATTTATCATTGAGTTTCGCCTGACACGTAAATCTAATTGCTGAATGTATATTGTTAAATTGCTCCGGGAGTTCTTTAACAGTGTTCTGATCCACGACAATGAAAGTAACGTCAATGTATCGACAATAGATTGTTAGTTTGTTAACTATATTGATTTCTGGCTATACTTATAAACAGATGAACGACCGATGTGTTATGTGACTTATCTTTCTACTGATGCATAAAATGCATTTTCTAAGGTCGGTTTGTACGCGTGTGTTTGTGTATGAATGTAGTATATCTATTGAATACTTATTAATAATCTTTCTTTCTAACAAATGTATTGATTCATCTAAATTACTGTTCTGATCTTAAGATTTTTTATTGACAGTTGTCAAACAACACAAAAATATCATTTACTTTAATTGATTTGCACAATATGCTGTAATGGAGTTGGGATTCATTAGTCCCAATATCATGAAATTCATGATTACTGTGTAGATGATTGTCATTTTACATTGTAATTTTCCCGGTTTTTAAGTTATAAAAATTCAGTAGTTTAAAATTTCAAATGATGTAGCTTAAAATTGGTTGCAATATGCGGAAACATTCTTTTGCCTCCATTCAAACCTTCAGCATTTTAGTCATATTCTGCCGTAACGTCGTATAAGCAAACTGTTTAAATGCGTTTGATCCGATTAGAAGTCTTGCATATGCTAAAAATGTCTGCTTTAGGGAAATGGATATATTGTGTATTACTGAGTCGCATAACTTCTTGAAAACCAGTCTCAACAATCTGGTTAATCATTTCGAAGTTGCTTAATGCCCAATAATCATTTCTCTTGTTTAAGTTTGATTTTATAAGCGGTACACTCGTATGCTTATCTGTAGGCTACCGATAAAGAAATATGATCAAGTCATTAACCAAGACATTATTTTAAGAACTCCATGTATCAGCTGATTAATTTAGCCCGACATATAAACAATGGAAGAACTCAAACCTTACTAACTAATAGTTTATGGACTTTTTTACGCTAACATTATTGTATTATCAATTTTCATATAAGTAGAGCTTGTTATATTCTTCTGACTTTATTATAACCGTGACTTCATTTGATTTCGTCTTCCCTAATTTTTAGAGGGTACCAGTAAACCTCCCAGTTCTAAATTCCAGTCCATTATGTAAGTCCAGTTTGTCTGTCTGCTTTTCTTATTCTCATAATATGAAAGAGTAGTTCAGTGGTTTATAAAATTTCACTTACAATCATTTGCTCAAAACCCATTACTCTTCCTACGATTCGGACAATTGTGTACAATCATTAGGCTGTTTTGCAGAATAAATGTGGTTCTAATTTATCATTATGCTTGTGGAACCCTTTAGAGTTGAGGATGTTCAGTAGTTCTCTGTGTTCAGTCATCATTGCCTCCAAAGCATTGTTCACATCCATATTATCAAGGCTAATGTTTGATAGCGTTTGTTCGTACACACAATCCAATTCGTGTCACCATACTAAGACACCGATTTTTGTGCTTCGGTTACGTTTTACAAATATCTGTGTCTTTTGGTTCCTTTGTTTAGAATTTAACAACCCATTTATATTCCTTTTATTATTCTCTCTTATTACAACCCACTTATTCCGAATGCTAGTATTCTCGGACACCAGTTCACTCGAGACGTCCTCCCAAATCAAAACACGCTTGAACAGGAAGGAGATTATATTCCAATAACAAGGTTAGATGGGAACAAGAAGCTCAAAAGGAAAAAAACGGTAGTATATTTATAGTTTGTACATGAGAAGATTCTTGAATGTTCCGCTAGTATCAACTAGCCAATCAACGTGAAACAACGCAGTCTTGTGTGGAACATGCTTTAATCCAATCTATGTCCCGCTAATAATTCCTTTCTTTACAAAATTATCACTCAATTTGTGCAGTGTGTATTTTTCTTGCCTAACGGAACCTAAACTCTCGTTATTAAAAAGTCGCTATATAAAGTAATTAGTAAAAAACTAGAAACTGACATAACACATCTTATCATTTTGTATTCACATAATTTTGACCATAAAAGTGGAAATAAACAATACCGTATCAAAAGTAACTACAATAGCGAAGTGGAAAAAAGATGGGAAGTTATTTCATGGTAATCTAGCCAATATGAACCAAACGATAATGATATCTAGTTAGATACTCCGAACATGTTTGGGGAAAAATAGAAAGTGATCAAAATCTAATAAATCTACCTAAGTGATTCTTGTTAAATCGTAATTTTATAGGATATTGATACTGTTACTTTGCAATTTCTACATTTGACTTGAAACAGTGGATCTCAGTATCATTTGTCGAAGTGATAGATGCTCAGAAACTCATCGCACCCAGCTCCGAACATGACGAAGAGCGGAGTTGGCTCAAGCGCAGGCTGATAAGAACCCTAAGCAATGATCGCGAACTGTGATGGTCAGCAAAAGCAAGAGTTAAGGAAAAGTCAGAATTATCAAGGAAACTGGTGTAGAGGATATTTATAGGCTACTAGTATTCGATCATAGGTGCATTCAAAGCATTGCTTGTATATCCTGGGAGAACCGAGTAAGCAACGCTATTGTTTTGTGGTGTAGGAGTAGGTTGGAAGAAATCTAGGGGCGGCCAAACCAAAACATGTCAAAAATCCTTGAAGTCACTGACATTTGAAGTGTGCTGTATTGTTAGGTCTAGACTACCTAGTTGGGGTTTGCTAGATGATATTGACCTATGGTTAGACACCTTGAACAACATGGCTCAAAATCGTTTGCAATGGCACAGGTGCATCCATTCTTTGTATTCTCTGAAATTCTGATCTCCTGAGTTTGTCATCACCTCTTTCTTTTTTTAAATTTATTTCGCTGAATTATACTTGTTGAATAATATCTTTGGACTGTGGTCTTTCCGATTACAGCTCATTCTTTTACTACCTCTAGCACTATGTGGTTGGAATTGATAATTACAGCTGTGTGTGTAAGTGGTATGGCAGCTTGAACTGATGTTCGTACCTACGATGTCCTACGTCGTAGCTGGCTGACTGATTATGTGACATAAACCGCAAGATTAACATTATTCAAATAGATGTTCTTCTTGAAAACTTTGTCAGTTAGACAGACGTCTGCAATTCGCTCTTCAACCAACAATTTTTCATACTTTATATCTACTGTTCTTGATAGCTGCAATCAGTATATTTGACCATAGAATCAATCATTAAAGGTCTTCTAACCCAAAGAGCATAGTATCCTCGTTAGTTATTATTTTCATTTTTTTATACCATTTTTTCGCAGATTTTCAACCGAGATCAAATGGAATCGATGGTATGAGATTATTGCCTAAGCCAATATCTACTGAAGATATTGAATCGATACATGAAATTTTCCCATCTGTTGAAGATGATACAATTCGATCACTTTTAACAACGCATCATGGAAATCGAGAACTTGTTATTAGTGAACTACTTCGTATGACATCAGAAACATAAAACTGTAAAATGTACTTATCACCACTTTATTGTTATAACTTTTTTTTCTATTATTATTATTATGTGGACAAATTTTATTGTTTATGAACCTTCCCAACTTTTGAAAAACTGCCTGTTTTATTTCAAATTTCTTGGAGTTTTTAAAATAAACATTTTGATCATTTCTATGTACCAGTTTTATTTTATTTGCTTATCGTTTGTTGTTTGTTTGTTTTTCTACAGTGTTTTTTTAACTTATATATCTTTTTCATGATTTATTGTCTTCTTAAGATATATATATATATATATATATATATATATATATATATATATTAGTTATAAAGATTATCTCAATGGAACAATGCTGTTATTGTGATGTTTATTAAGTGTACTTGTATTTTTTTTTGTCTTACTTTCATGTTGTTGTTCTTTAGTCGTTGCCACTAATTTTTATTTTCACTTTCAAGCATATCCTATTTTTCTGTTTCATCATATTTGTCAGATTATCAAATACTTCACTTCTCCACCGACTGTGGTTATATCCTTGTTTCTGCTTATGTCGTTGTTATCTCTATTCTTTCAGTCCTTACAGATGATGATTTTGTAATCTGTGTCATATATATATATATATATATATATATATATATATATACGTTTATTTGAGCTGAACAATCATTAAATTTTCTGTAGTAACAATGCAACTGTCAAGTATACATTTCTTCATTACTATGCAAATATATACATATATCTGTCATCGTGATTATTTATTTTAGTTGTTCAGTGAATAACTGATTCTACTTGAATCATTTTTAGTTGGTTAATTAATAGCTAATTTTATTACTACTATTTACCACACATTTTCGATGTGTGGTGTGTGTGTGATTTTCCGAAGAAGTGACTTAAACAAGGCTGCGACACGTCAGCAATTTATTTCTCTGCTAACTATGATGTTTTACAAATCACAATGTTATGTTATAACATAATGTATACAAATACCTATTTATTTTAGGGTGTAAGAAAAGATTAATCTAAAATTAACTTTAGTCACATTGGCATCAGCTGGAAAATATTCGCCTCAGGAATACATACATCCGCCAATATGCACTCTATCCCAAGTAGTAGTTGTAGCATTGTGCCTCTGAAGATTATGAAGGATCAAACCGTTGTTTAGTTCTCTTCAGCCTTCAATTCTTGTACAGCTGATGATAACCTACTCTTGTAGATTAACTAGTTTAAATTTTTAGGTATTTCAGTATTTTTCGCTTAGTTGTACAAAGTATCACTTTGTAGTGGTTTTTAAAAAGTCACTCACCATTTATTTATATCCCTGAAAACAGCCTTCATAAACGTATTTATTCCTGATAGTTCTGTGACAAGTGGAAGTTGTATTCAACAGATTTATTCTATGTTGGACAGAAATTAACTGTATAGTACATCTATTCTTTATCTAATGAGGATTGCTTACAATAGTGGATATGTCTAACTTAATACAATGTTTGCAAAATATATGTAATTGACGTCGTATTGTACAATTTTCAGTCATCGAAATGCAAAACGGTTCTCACAAAGACTACAATTAAACGATAAAATTAGTACATTTAAATTTCCGAATATTTATCCAGTTTCCATGTGGTGTTAATAAATGTGTGAATAATTTTCACAGTTTAAATCACGAATCAATCTTAGCTAAGCATTTACACCTTTAAATGCCGGTTCAGTGGTCTCAAGGTCAGCGAGACAAGGTCCTGCGTTTGATTAGCTCGCGGGATCTTGGGGATGCACTGCCGGGGAATTCCATACTAGGACGGAATGGCTGTTTGATACTTCCTGGTTTTCAATGATAGTCTAGTTGAGATCAGTTAGTGATCTAAAACTGAAATTTCTGCCATTTCCATGAATTACTTCACATCAAGTTATAATTGATAAGTGCTACTACACTTCTTACTGTAGCTATGGGAAATACGCACACAAAATTTTCATGAATTTCAAAAATGTTATCTCTATGACTTCGTTGATGTTATGAATATTAGCAGTGTTCTCACTATTCGATCATTTTAGTAACTGTGGTCATCTTAGGAAGAAGATTCAAATGTATTAACTCATCTTGTGAAGAAATATTAAGCCCAATCAATATTGTCATATTAACAGGAACAATAGTTGCTAATCAAAAATCAGGTCAATTTCATATCAGATATATGAGTTTATTTCATTCTAACTGCAATATCTTACAGTTTAGATAATAGATTCGGTGACACTCGGATTGTACAACTTTGTCTACTAAGGTAGGAAATACGCTTGCTAGCGTTCTGTGGAACTACCTAGTCAGCAGTGTTGGTGCTAGTAGGCATACGGCACCAATCAAAGATGTCAAATCGTTGCATAACTATAGCGCCATGAGCGTTTGCAGCATTTTCTTAGAAAGAATGAGACATGTTTGTAAAGGACGGAAATAGACACCATTATGTCAATTCCCATTAAAGGATATATTATAATCACCTGAAATCTGGAAGAAAATAGATGATATGTTTAAAATCAAATAAAACATGCTGTCAAGGATCCAATTGTTTGTTTTGTCTCTTGACAATCCTGAAAATTATCTAGGATTATAACGATTCCTAAGAAAATATATTATGTTTATGCTTGCAAAAAGATATACTAATAAAATAGTTGTGTAAAAGTCTTTGAATTAATTAGTGAGAGACTGCGATTTACTCTACAATATAAGGAACTTCAACTGATAACTACTGGATAAATGCCCAAATATCCATAAAACGAAGAAAGTCTATTTTATTATGTCTCCGGTACAACGGCTGAAAACTAGTACTCACTACTGCTCAAGTAATGACATTGAGACGTTAGATGAGGATCGATTTGACACCAAAAATAAATCAGTGATATCTTAATACACTAACTTTTTAACGATTTATTTACACTGATTAACAGTCAGATTTAAGTGAATTAAGTAGTGCTCAAGATTAACTGATCGATAACTCAGTGTATGAATACAAAGCTTGCATAACCGACATTTATGTCGGATCTGTCAAATCTTATAAAGTGATGCTATTTGAAACGAAGTGAGGTTGTCGATAGTAACGTTAATGGAAAATGGCTAACCTTCATAATGGAAACCTCACAGTGTAGTGGGACCTATTACATCTACCGTTCAGAAGTAAGTTAAACAGCTTCATATCGAAACAAAGGCTCATATCTGTTATCAGCGATCACGTTATTATAGAAAAAACACGACACAGACAATTGCACCATATTTCACTGAGTTAATCAATTTAAATGTGTATGTATTCACACATACATAAGGAGTAATCGTGATTTGTGAATTAGGGTGTTTGGATATGCAACTAAAAAGACTGCAAAAACAAATTGAGTCAAATGACCCAATACGAGTAGATAATAAACATCCATTGTCCTCTATCGCCAAACACGTATTTGAAACATGTTATCAGACTGATCTAAACTCAGCTTTTGTGTTGTTGTGTAAAAAGTGTTCAAGAGCATAATACTAAAGTTTATTGAAGCCTTGGCTATTTGAAAGTTTTTGAACTCCTTTATGTATTGAACCTACTTTGGAAATATTGTGTTATTATCCAAAGTGGTGAGTTTCACATTATTTTTTCACACTATCTTCTTTGTCTTACACTCTTAATTCGTATAATGTATCACATAGTTCTGATAATCTTGGTCTTCCAACTTTTTCAAAGAGACTAACTACTTTAAATTACACGTCTTTGTAAAATGTCATAAACAGTCTTAAAAAATTTCGTATATCATTCACATTCTAATCTATGCAGTTCTGATTCGTCAAATCAAATCTGATAGTGTTTTTTCATGATATACTGTAAGAGAAAAATGCTCTATTTACAATTCAAATTAGTGAATTAATTCATGGTTACAAATAATAAATAAATGCTTTATAATCTATTGATCGCAGTCACAATTGTATTTATTAGTTTTTCTTAGCATAAATGTGTTGTTATCTTTTCATAAAAAATGTAAATCATCACATGAGCAAACATAGTCAAGAAAAACTCCATTTATCTTTTAATGACATTTGAGATTACCCTTTACTGAGAGTAGTGTATATCATATTGTTTTCACTGAATAGTCATAAAGGCTGTATACTTCTTACAAGTTATATGATCCATGTTATCAATCGTTTTTCTCCCATCAAAAGATCTTGTATTATCTTTTTTGGAACGCCAAAATCAAGTTCTCATGAAAATTCAGTTTAATTAAATACTTACTCATTAGCCAGTCACTTTTCTAGGTTCACAGTGAAGTATCGATCGATGCACAATAGTGAAACCGTCATGTTCGTACTTGTTACTGTTTTATTTATCATTGTTGACAGATACTGCTCGTAGAGTGGTTTCAAATTTTAACTTACATATGATTTAAACTAGTAAATATTGATTTGTAGAGCTCAAGCATAATAACAGTTCAAAGTCTTTCCGTTTTTTTTTTTTCATTTCATACAGTAGATTGGTATCAAAAGTTCTCGTAATATAAGTGTGTATCTACACATTTAAAACTCAACCATAAGTTCAGTCATTATATATTATAAGTTATTTTATTTATTTTAAATATAGAATATGAAATTTCTAATAAGCTTTATAATTTTAATTGTGATTTAATACAACCATTTGAAATTCAGCTAAGAAGTTTACTTGAGATCTGGACATGATGATAATTAGATAATCTGGAAGGTAACTGTCCAACACGTTGGTAAATATAAGTACACTAAAAAAACGCTGATCTAAGATTTTATGAAAAAAAGTGTTCTTTGGACAGCGTTTTAGACTTTCGCATATGACACACCTGTAGATATCTTGAAGAAAAGAGTTGAAGCGCAAAAATCATTGAGTAATATTCACTGAGTAAGCTTTTAGTAACGCCACACTCCTTAATGGTCGGAAAGTAGTAAAGTGTTTTCTATTCCAGGCGTTCGCGATAGTCAGGTTCCATCAACCGAATAAAAATATAGCGATTACATGACCTAATCTTGCAATGTGAATTGTTTAATGAATGATATTTAATGGCAGCCAGCAGAAAGATGTCATTTCAAGTATCATATTGGATAGTACTTATCAGTAAGACACACGGACAACATGCTTACCTACATCACTGTAAATATGCGTGAAGTTCATGGGGCCCATCAAAATTTCTTTTCCGAAATAATCGATCAGTAATGCCTTTTATGCAGAACATTTCAAGCACCTGAGGAATTAAACGCGTCGCGTTCAGTCAAATCTGTGTAATGGTGACGGATCCCTGATGCATCACGAAAAGATCCCCTTCATAATTATTTCCCAGGATAAAAATAAAGATATAATGTGTGTAATGTCATGCATGTAAATAGTCTGAAGATGATAATCATTGATGAAACTTTATTATTGCAAATAAAGAAAAGTAAAAGCGATAACCTGTCAGCACAATTTTGAATTCGATATACCAATTTAATTTCAACAAATTTTAAAAAACGAACAAACAACATGAAGGGCCTGGGTTCTACTACAGGTAAAGTTGTGGGTGAATACTGATGGAAGATTTCATACTAAAGTCAAACAGCTCCCAATCCTGTGAGTAACTAGAATTCACATAACTAGTAGAATTATATATAGGCAAATTGAGGAATTCAGTGAAAAGATGAATTAAAATATATGCTTTGTAGAACATCTTTGTAGGTAGCGCAAAAATAGTTTCATCATAGACTGTTTTTACTTGGATATTCGTTGAATGTTAGAAAGTTCTGGATAAATATTTCACTAGAATAACAGGTAACCATCAGTATGTATCACTGGTCGCTAGTGTCAGCTTACCCATTTAATTCCTTAATTTGATTAAGTAATAGTTACTTAGATCGCTTGATCCCCTTGTATATTTGCTTGGGAAACTGCATTTATAAATTTGGCTCCCTTGTCGTGTGCTTGTTAGTCTTTTGATAAAAATGAGGTGACACCACTTCGCTTGAACCTCTGGAAATTGTGTATCATTGTGAGTTATGGAGATAACGGTTATCAAGTCAGTTGATAAAATGCAACAACTCAAAATGAGTGCCTATATTTTGACAATTCATCACGTTCATTTAAAATAGTGAAACTGTTTTTAGGATAGATTTTCAAAAACTTTCTTGTATTTAAATACAACATAAAATAAGAGAATAAAAACTAGGTGTAATAAGTTCGATGACTTGTTTATTATTTATGTTGAGGTTGAATTAAAGTGAGATATTTAGATAGTGGTTTCTATGTCAAAAGAAAAAGGAGCAGTAGTCAGATTGAACAGTAATTAATATGGTCTATTATTTGTTGGCCATATTCATAAGAAAATCCCTTGTAGACCACAATTTGGTAAAATGAGAGTAGTTCAGTTTTCTTCGGGTTGCTTGATGACAAGCAGACTGAATTGATATCATGAAGTTCATTTTCTAATAATTTATTATAAAACTCTTTCTTCCCGAAATAATTTTAACTTAGATCACTTCTGATCCTACGTGTGTATATCTCACGATCATCATGGACTGAAATCATAAGATATACTTTTCCCACCTCTGATAAATTATAAATCAGTCAAATTATGTCTAAGTGAATTAAATATCACATTGTTCATAGACTCGGACAGAATCACATGATTCATATTGATTAGCTAAATATTCAACTAATTAATCCATAATCCTTTATCCATTTAACATTACCATCATATAATCGAATACACTTAGATGAATGCATTAACTGCTTTCATTTTTCTCTTGGTCATAAATTTCTGTCTATTAGAGAAGAAGGAATCTGATCATAATAGCTCTTCATTCGTCAATTATATATTGGAATGGAATCGAAAAATGGATGAAATTAAATTTACTGATTTATTAAATAAAACCTGGGAAGGTCCATTTTATTATGATTTATCACTTGATAGTATGATAACTTTACCATGTGTAATAAATGCTAGCACAACTGAACACATTCACTCTGTTAAGTATGATATATCTCATGGATTGGATAAATCATGGGCATTATTATGGATTCATAACACATGGACAAATGTGATTGATCCTTGGTTAGGTGACGGAAGACGTAGTTACGATTCATTAGAAAATACCGATTGGAATACAACAAATATTGAGTTAACAATAAGTCAAGCATATTTATCAATTAGCGATATTGATGCAACTGATGTAGGAGTTTATGCATGTGTTGCAGTTACTTATCCCATTCAAAATGGTTATTCACCAGTTGATTTAAAACAAACTCGTCTGTTAAGTATTCATATGATACGTATTCATTCTAGCCTTATAGTAGCACCAGAATGTTATGACGAAAATAATAATGATAATAATAATTTGGAAAATGAATATTATTGTAAAACTGGATTTGAACGATGGACATTTAATGTTTATTATCCAATTGATGGTTGGATGAACAGTACATTATTTCATGGTAGGCTAAATCTATAACTAATGATTGAAATGCATTAATCATTTTAGTAAAGTTCGCTTGTGGTTAGGATTGAGATCCAGAAAACGCATTGTGTGCCTAGCTTGAGATTAGTCGGTTGACTCTGTGTTTATTTCACTGTTGATAGTCATAATGAGATCCAATCCCAGTAACGAACACTTCAAGTGTCAACATGTTTCCACTAAGATACTGCGTCTAGATAGTTATAAGCTTATACAGGTAGTATGAATTTAATTGTAAATGTTTGTATTTTCCCCTTGTTAACAGTAAAAATGATTGATTTTACGTGGGATATACACTAATTACAACAGTAGTTGGTATCAAGCTAAGCACTCGAAATCTGAAAGGACAGAAAAATTTGAATGAGGGAAGTTTTGAAAAAAGAATTTTACAATGAATACAAGACAATAATATTAAAAAGTTGGTTCATTCTAGTAGGAGATTTATCAAGCGTAGGATTTGGTACGTTTATAGATGAATAGATATCTATATTTCAGCATTTGAGTATCAGCAGAGTTATCAGTCAAAACAGGAAGAAATATAAACAGGTAGCAAATGTAATTAGTTTCGAAGATGAAGTTTTATACAAAATTCAAAATAGTACAGTCAGTTACAAAAGAAACAATAGGCACTTAGCCACCTAAGAGTAGCAGATATATAGCAAAATGATAAAATTTAGTTTATATAGAAGGTTGGTGCGATCTCATGATAGATAGTTAAATGAAAAGGATAATAATGAATAGTCAATCAGAAGTGGCCAAACGAGAGAGCCTTTCGATGGCCATCAGGTAAAAACAACCTAAAGAAAGAGTACATGTTATTGGTCTTAAGTGGAAGATGTTTAACACATATATTGTTTAGTTCACATTTACCGATAGAAATGAACATTAACTGTTCTAAATTCCATAATTTTCAATAGTTTTCCGGTTCACAATAATTCGTGAAAATGACTACTTCTAAGATGCACATATCTTTTCAATAAATCTTCCTAATAGAATAAAGGAGAAAGTGAAGTAAAAAAAAAAGAGAACAAGAGACACGAAAGATATATGGTGTTGTCATTGTTGAGAATTATAATTCTGAAAGATATCTGACAACCTATGTGTCTCCAAAAGTAAATTATCCCGAAGGTTCAATTTAAAGATTAGAAAGACATGATGAAGAGTGCTTAACTAATTGTATTTTAGCCATTAAAACTACAAAGTAAACTATCTCTTCGTTTTTTCAGCTAATAGCAAGCAACATTATCAAGTCATTATAAGTTATGAAAATATTTTATGAACGATATCTATAAACTATAACTGAACAGTATTTAGATACAAATTATTTGAAAAAAAAATGTCCTATCATTTAGAAAACAGTAGCTAATCATTCGATAAGAAAAAATTATTTACAAGTAGGTAATATTTAAAATTATACAATTTTAATTCGTTCTTTTTTCCATATAAACACACTGACTAATTGGTGTCTTCCTGATTTTTGTTTAAAAATGTTTCAGCTCCATGTAATGCAGACATTTTTCTAACAGCCTTATCAATAAATAACATAGACCCAACAGTTTGGAGTATTGGTTGGAAATTTGTACCGTATGGTCAACTTGATGATACAAAAGTTGTTGAAATAAATGAAAATACTGATATTCAATGGTTCAAACCAATTTATAGAAGTGTTGATGATTCTACCTCTATGTATTCATCGTATGGTGAATTCATTGGAAATATAACTCATCTAGCTAATATTCATAATTTATTTGCAGGACAAATTCGTGCATTAACTTATTGGAAAGCTCATTGGCTTGCTCTAAACAGTTCAATAAAACAGAGATCAGGAGTATGGCAATGTTGGATTCAACGGTCACTTCATAGAAATCATTCAACAACAACGGATAACCTCTATATACGTTGGTTGACAAATGAAGTACATGTGAAAATTATATATAGAAAATATATTTATCTATCGGAGGTAATAAGTGAATCATGGCGTAAGATTGTTTTAATCATGGCTCCATTGAATATGTTTTTATTATTCATGCTATTCACTGTTGGTTGGTATTCAACTTGTTTTTACAAAGATAAATCTAAATCAGTCAAGAGGTGGAACAATGCAACACAATTCATTCAAAACCAAAATCCTGACGAATCTGAAAAAATATTTATACCATCTAAGTATGTAGATGAGTATCTTCGAAAATCTGGCATCGAATCGTATAAAGAATATATTATTCGCAGAAATATGGAAATGAACGTTGAATAAGTGTATGAGTTTTGATTGAGAATATATGGAAAAAATCATACTACATAGAACACCAGTAGATTATCAAAACGTTTGTACAAATCTGATAAGAAATAATAATTTTCAGTGCATTATTTTCATTACTCAAATAAGGAAACGGAAAAAGTAAATCAACTTTTCATGATAGCCTAAAGCGCTTCATATTGTGACTTTTGAGATGACTAAGAGATGTTGACTTCCCAAATGAACTATTTTAGATAATTACAGAGATGAAACGTAGAACTTCATACGTACGTACATCAGTTCATGTCGCCATACCACATCACCACAGAGATGTAATTGTTAATTCAAATCCAATAGTAGAAGAGGTAGTAAAGTTATCAGAAGTAATCGGAGAGGTTAGGATTAGAAGATATTATTCAAAAAGTATGATTCAGTGGGAAAAGTTTGCAAAGTTGAAGAATCCAGAAGATTAGGATTTGAGAGAACACAAAGAATAAATGCACCGGCGCCATTGCGAACGATTTTGAGCCATGTCATTCAAGGTCTCTAACCATCGATTATTATCAACTCGCGAACCCCAACCAGGTAGTCGACAGTTACCGACATGGCTAAGTCCATTCGTCAATGATTTCATGGATTTCTGCAATGTTTTGGTATGGCCGCCCCTAGCTTTCTTCCAATCTACTCCTACACTACAAAACAAAGCTCGACGAGGCAGTCGGTGGGTAGGAATACGCAGCACATGTCCCAACCACCTCAACTGATGAAGTTTCATTACTTCATCTACTGATCTGCCATTCTTAACTAGCACCCGATTACTAATAACAGCGTTGCTCACTCGGTTGTCCCACGATATACGAGCAATGCTTCGAAGACACCTATGATCGAAAACCAGTAACCTACGAATATCTTCTACTCTTAACGGCCATGTTTCACAACCATAAAGTAAGACGGAGCGAACTACTGCGCAGTAAACTCGTACTTTAGTCAGCAAACGGATATTTCGCCTACGCCATAAGTGACGTGTTGGGATAGCCAATCGAGAAGAAAGCCATGCACATTGTGGATCGATGAACTTATCGATTAAATGCTTAAATATTTCAAGGGCAGTCAATCGATGAACTATTGGATTTAAAATTCAAATATTTAACCGACAATATCGATTATATTTATAATTGTATAAATACGCATGTTTGGTTGTATATTTTTGATTCTGTTAATAAGTGTTCTCCAACGTCTTCCGTCTTTTTATTTTTGACGGTGGGAGTCTAACGTTTCGAGGGTCATTAATACAGTGGTTTGGCGTTACATCAAGCAGAAAACAGAAAATGACGCAGGTTGGCAAAAGCCAATAGAGCCTTCTGTATCCGTGCTGAGATTTCGTCAGTCACCATGCTATCAGCACTGATGAGACTCCCAAGATAAGTGAAGCGGTCAATAAGCTCGACTACTTCACTCCCTATCAATAGTTCAGGTGCCGATGCAACCCAATCTTGAAGTAACATTTTGCGTTTCAAGGGGGAAAACCGCATCCCGAACATGATCGCATTGTTGCTTATGGTAGTCAGAAGACTCTGCATTTTGTCAGCGTCTTCACCAAGTAGGACTATGTCATCGGCATATTCTAAGTCAATAAGCGAGCCACCTGATAGAAGGTCTACTCCTGAAAATTCAGACGAGGATAAGGTTATTTCTAGGAGCATGTCTATGATAAAATTAAACAAGAATGGAGATAGTGGACATCCCTGACGGACACCACTTGATGTAGAGAATTCCGGTGACAGTTCACCATAAGGTATCACTCGACCAGTGGTGTTCGAGTATAGAGCTTCTATGAGGTTACTGTACTTCTTTGGAACACCTGTCAATGACAGACACTGCCACAGAACCTCACGATCCACAGAGTCAAATGTTGCCTTAAGGTCAAAGAAAACAACTATTGTAGGACGCCTAAATGTGTGTCTGTGTTCCAGGACTTGTCGTAGAGTGAAGATGTGGTCTATACAACCACGTCCAGGTCGAAAACCAGACTGGTTTTCTCGAGTTTGCTCTTCACGAGCTTTCGTTAAGCGTCGAAGTATTACTGAGGCCAATATTTTAGATACTATATTAGTTAGACTTATTCCCCTGTGATTGTCACAAGAAGACTTTTGTCCTTTCTTATAGATTGGGACAATCAGTGATTGAGAGCACTCGTATGGGATTGTGTCCAGTTCCCAGATTCTACCTAAGATCTCAGTCAACCCAGATGCTAAAACTGGACCACCATCCTTAAATATCTCAGGGGTCAGTCTATCAGGATCTGTAGCTCGCCCTCATTTCAGGTTTCTCAACGCATTCTCAACTTCATAAAGACTAGGGTAACCGAAGATTGGCTCGAGGCCAGTTGAACTGATCCTTTAAGTGTTCTGCCCATCAGTCTAGTCTCCTGGATTGAGAATTGATAATAAGACCATCCTTTTCCGAAATAGTTTTACTCACAATTGGGTTCCGAATACCAGTTTCCTTGATGGGTCTAAATAGTTGCCTACTGTTGCCTATTGCCGCTGCCTTTTCCATCTCTCTCGCTTTCTCCACCCACCACTGTTCTCGAACATTGCGTAAGCCTTTTGTCAGCCTACGTCTAAGCTGACTAAGCTCCTCATCGCACTCAGAGAGAGGTGGGATAAGTTTTCGGCCATCCATCAAATCGGTGGATGCTAATGAGATCCACGGCTTCATTCTAACCTTACGGTATACATTACTAGCAGATATCACTGCTGTTTCCACAGCTTTTTATTATCATTCCATCCTGCTTCCAGATGGGAATCGCTTAAATGGTCGCCTAACTGTCTTTCTAGTTGTTCCTGAAATATATTCTTCGCCTTATTATCATTAAGTAAAACCCTAAGAGGCTTTCTTACGGTATCTTTCCTACGCCCTGTAAGCCTCAAACAAATACGTGCTCGCACTAGGGCATGATCCGAATCTAAGCATGTGCCCCACAACGAGCGACAGTCCTCTATCGAACCCTTCCATCGGTGGCTGATGGCGATGTGATCTAGTTGAGTCCAACGTTGAGACGACTTTGGAGGTCGCCAGGTCAACAGATGCTTCTCCTTATGCCTAAAGTTAGTGTTTGCTAAGAATAGTCGGTTGTCTGAGCATACTTGCAACAGACGGTCACCATTGTCTGTTCTCTGAGCAGCGACACCATAACATCCACACAGGTGTCTTTCATTTTCACTTAGTCTACCTACTTGAGCATTAAAGTCACCAGCCATTATTACTACATCAGAGCGCCTAGCTTTCTGGAGGAGGTTCGAAAGCTTTCTGTAAAACTCATCTTTCACCTCGTCTGAACTGCAGTCAGTGGGGGCATAGGCAGATACGATGAAGAGGCAACGGCAATTGTCCCTATCTTTCCGAGTCCTTACTGTCCCGTTTAGTCGGACAGCGCACAAGCGACTATTTACAGGGATCCAGTCTAGGAGAGATTGTTCAGCTCTACGACTTAATGCTATGCCTACGTCAACAAGACCCCGGGAAGCAGCATCAGGGCTACCGGATACACGAAGAGTAAATCGAGCTGCTTCTTTATTTTGACAAGGTGAAATCAGATTAATAATTTTACTAGGATCCTGTATGTGCGTTTCAGAGACACAGCATACATCGATGGCACGAGATTCGAAAGTCCTAGCTAATGATCCCTGTTGCCCTATTTGACACAATGTCCGTACATTAAATGTTCCAACACGTAGTTTAGAACGGAGTTTCAAGAGACCAGGAACGGCGTTTCGTGAACTCGCATCGTTTGCATTAGCTGTGCACTGTGATAAATGAATGTGAGTAGAGTTCGTTGTGGAGAGAAGAGAGATGTGCATTGGTGTAGGAAGGATTTGATTATGAACAATTTGGTCTCATGTGCTGTTACGGGTATGAGGGCGGTTGTCACTTCCCGTCTGCCCACACCGTGGAAGGTTGTTTCTTGAGGGACCTGAAAAGGAAGATAGATTAGTGTTGGTCTTGGAGACCTGGGAGCGTGACCGCAGAGTCCAAGGGACAACTGCATCAGGCCGGTCACGCACGGCCTTTTGATGAAAGGCTTTTTGAGGATTAGCTCCGTTCTTAAAGGCCCTTAGTGGGCACCCTTACCCAGGGAGACGGAAATCCGTGAGTTAGGGGAGGTGTGACATTTTTAGGGTCAACATTTTCTAACCCTTTCTTCCTTGTGAGAAGGCAGCATCGCTACAGATGCTGGTTGTCTGAGGGAAACACCTTACTGCTGTCACACCCCTCTGCAGTCAGCAGTACGACTTCGCCCTCAGACCTTGGGTAGCTGCTTTTAGTCTCATCGTTCTCCAATCGACCTGGTTGGCATGGTAGGACCTGCAGGAACATATGTTCCAGCCAGTATAGCTCGGTTGGGTCATCAAGATAGGCAAGCCCGACCACCACGTCAAGGTAGCAGCTACGGTCGGGTTAGATAATTACAACTCATGTTTAGATACCTGAATAGATTTTGTTTTACACCAAACGTCGTGTCCTGTTTATCATCTATGAAATAAAAAACCTAAGATGTTTCTCACAAATTTGTAGCCTATTATCAGACTATCGATTAGGCATCATTTGGGTTAGATGCAGAGTTACAGGCTGTAAAGGTGAACCAACTTGTAGTACATCTTCATTTGCAGTAGCCAGAACACATAAAGAACCTCTTCAACCACCAGTCAATTTGATACGTAATAGGGATCGATAAGGTTTACAACAAAGGTTTAGTAGTATAATTTAAGTGTTAACCGGAAGATAACATACGACTAACACATTCATAAGTATATTTTGTCACTTATTTTGATTATTTCTACTCCACAATATTAGAATTAGAGGATTCAATGGGTAAGCCCTGGATATATATAAGTCACAACCTACATCACCGAATTCCCTTTACTAAGACTGTTGGTACACACTCGTACTTTTTAGTGGGAAAACACTTATCGTTTTCAAAGTTATTGTTTTTCAGTAGGGTTTCTTCATATTCGTTATAAACCAGATTATATTTGTATTATACAAAGGATTAGTACCTTATATTGATTGAACTTTTCGTTAGATCATACTTCCCTACAGCCAGCAACATAGTTCTGATTGCAATCATTAAATTTTAACACAAAATGGACAACTAAAATATCCTAACAAGGGGTATTGAAAATTAGAAGAGGTATCACATAGACGGAAGAATAAAATCCACTGAAGTCAAATTGCCTAAAATTTCAAAGCAACTTCTGATGAAGAGATGTTCTTCTGAAAGGTATATAATTACAAAATTGGAGATATACTCTAGCAACTCTTCAGTCGGAAACGATGAAACAATGATGATTTTGACAAAAGCTTCACCCATGAATTAGTAAAATTAACAATTGCGAGAATAAAATATAATACACAACTGTTTTGTTATATGTAACATGCTAGTCAGCAAGCTGACGGGCCTAGATTGGCATCTGGTAGGTTAAATCAATCAAACCTAAAGTGAAGCTACATATTTCAGATTCCACATCGCAAATCATATTATTGTAAGTCTACACAACAGTAAACCCTGGACATAAACCTTTGTTAACGAGCTGTATACTAATGTATATTCGAGAGCGAAACATGACCAATACAGTTTGGACACAACCAGATGACTGAAATCACCCGCCCCCCGCCATAAAATATGTCATGTAATAAGTTGTAATGGAAATCAAGGAAATTCTACCAGTGTGTATTTTATGCCTTATTTATAAATACTAAATGTATTAATCTCAACAACTTCTTTACTTAGTACAAATCTATGCTAATGCATGTGAATCAGATGCATGCCAGTTGAATAAAGTTACATAAACAACCTGATGATCAGTAGAAACGTTTGTCGATGAGAAATTCTTTGAATTGTTATTCAACTTTTAAATTTGATATTCTAAATGCTGTTATAATAGGCACTTTCTCTTCTTAGTGTCACTGTATTTAAATATAGACCTAGTTTACTTTTCGAATTGTTGTTACATTTTACCAAACCAAGCCATGTAGCGACTTGCTTTAACTAACGGTTAACAGTAAAATTACAAACACCAACGAGATTAGCAATACGTAATGTTTAATTAAATGTAACAGAATATCAAAATACTTCCGTTTGTTGGTTAGAGTGAACAATCAGTGCATGGAACTGAGTCATCTAGACTAAATGGTACAATACAACTGATTGATTTCTTCAATGACCAATTAATGTAAATAAGCACAATGAATCACTTTTAATAATTGATTAAAAAAAACAATGGAAAAATCGTACAACATTGACAGAAGCAAAGTTTACTATCTTTTTACTCACAAATTCTCTGAGACAAATGAAGTCAACATAAGATGCTGAAAATTAAAGAAGGAAAAAGTTACAATTTTCTCGCTCATTTTAATAATAATAATAATAACCAAAATATGAACAGAGGATTGAGAAGTGTAAAATTTGTACAATGAGAAAAAAAAGTCGTTGTTATATACACATATACATACATGTATTATGTTGGTAATGCACAAATTATAAATACTAAACAGTGAAATGTGTTTATCTTAAAAATTTAACAGTGTAGGTTTAATGTCAAGTTGTATATTCTTCTCCCACGTGGAAAATATCAAAAGGATGTAGTTAAGGTTATAACAGTTAATCCCTTTCATTTTAAACCATGTTTAAAAATTTATATGTAATATCAATAGAAAAATAATGAATTATGAAATTAATGAATTCCTATGCTTTTTTAAATCTGTTGACAGTCATCACAATAAAGAGACTAATACCAGATTGAGAATTTAATTATTGAAATTCTGCGGTCACCATGAATTCCTCAATACTAATATCACTCATATAATTATCAGAGACTAGAGTTCTATTGAAAAGCCGTGACCACTGGAGTTCAACTATGTTAGGTGTAAGACAGTTATACACATTGGCCAATGGATGAGCTTTGTTCAATATGGTGGATTCATTAAACTTAGGCATGTATACTATAGGTAGCCTAGAGGTTAGGCAATCGCACGCAAGACTGAGGATCATGGGTTCGAGTCCGGGATATGCACTGCTGAGGATTCCAACACCAAGACAATACGGATGTCCACATTCTGAATGACGGCCTAGCTAAGATTTGTTTATGGTTTAAACTATCGAAACATGTATAAATGTCAGTTAGAATAATTTACATTGAAGCGTTGTAATTAGTAAAAGGTCCGTTTAAGAAATAGAGTGGAAATGTTTCCTTATGTTTAGCAATAAGTAAAAGATGTAAGAAGAAGCGATCCTTTTGATTGTTCTACAAAGAAAGAGAAAGCGATTAACTGAAGACCACGCAATCAGTCTGCTTTGATGTCTACATATGGAACGTTAATAAGAACCAGGGTAGGATAGAAATCTCAAACATCAATAACATTCCTATGGTATCAGGATATCTAAGGGAAAAATTAATACCTGCTAAAACATTAATTGGAAGTAGAACAAAGCTTGAAACTAAAATGAACTAGCTGAAATTGAGGAGTCGAAGTACCCTAATTTCGTATTTTGTTTTTACACATATCTTTATTATTTTACAATTTTTAGCGCTAAATGTGATGATGGCTTATTTTGAACAGAAAAACCATAGTTTCAACCATTACGTTTTCGATTTGTATATCGTATCATATCTACGTTGGTTGACATCACTCGATTCGTAAGTAAATCATAGTTTAAAGACAATTACACTGAACTTCTAAGTGGTTACTAATTGTGTTCCTCCTTGTCCATGATTACTGTTGTGCGTCCAGTGGTTACTAATTACATATTTAAAAAATTATTCACCAGCTCCTGGTTTTGAAAATTTATTACGGCATACGAAATACCAAACACTGTTTTTGAACTAAAAAAAAAAGGATATCTATCACTTAGCAGATCGAATGTGCCAGTTCCAACTTTGGTTGGATTGCCTAGAATGATGCTTTCTGTAACACCTATAAAATTAAGAGAAAAAACCAAAAGGTAAATAAGATAAATAACAAGGAGAAAGTTCGATTATCTATCGGGTTATTAAGTATCAAACAATAAAAGAGTGGTTAAAAAACGGTTGAGTGAAATGTAACTTAGTGGTTACATATTTTTTTCCCTAGCCAAAAAAATCGAATATTGGAAGCCCACTTCATCTACTTCGGCTCTCAACAAACCGTTTAGTATCATTAGCCCTAATTTAAGTATTGTGACACAAAACTGAGTATATGAATGACAAATGGCGTGTATTATTTATAGAAATCAGTTTACTAACTGTCCTGGATACAACGCAATAACTGGGCATGGATTTCTTTAAGAGGTTACTTAGGTCACAGATTCGATATTCTAACATGTCTGCACATTAAACTAACGTATAAAACAGTCCCAACTAAAAATCAAAGATTTTCTAAACTATCACAGCCTATATGAAAATAATAAAATCAAGATAAATTAATATAATTAAAAATAACCCTTACCAGTCAATTGATCATCTTGACAATGATAGGCAGCTTCAAACAAATGATCACCAGTTCGCTCAAACTGTAAATGAAAATGGATAAATAAAAAAAGTTAAATGACGAATTATGATAATGATAACAAAAAACCTCTGAAGCTAATGTGAATGGAGAGATTACTGAAACTGGCTTCTGTACTTTATTGTGCGCGAAAATGCATACTACTTATTACAAACTTAAGTAGATTATACAAGCGTAAATATTTTAAAATTGAATTAAAATAAGACCACTGAATATAAAATATAGAATTGAAAATTAAACGGATACTTACGGAAGCTAAACAAAGTACGCTATTTTTAGCTTTGGCCATCCCAGTCCGCTGATAACCACATACTTCACCCTAAGAATACAAACAATTAGTGAACATTTAGTGGTCTGTTTCTATACCTGAAAACAAAGGTATTTAGTAACTGAGAGAATAAATAGTACGAGAAGATTTATTGAGAATGTTTGAGAAATTATAAATGCAAAATAACCGTATAGTTATACGCCTACGAATCGTTTGTCTGTCATTCTTTTCAGTGAATTACGACTGATTAATTCAGTCGTTCGTTCCACTTCCCGTTAATTAGAAATGTACCGATTCGGTCCGGTATCACGTTTTAGCCCCAAATACCCTGGTAAGTGAGAAAAGTTCGCTCACCCTCACAAAATTCTCTTACGTGGTTAAACTCATATGTGGTCAGTGCCAGGGAAGATCTACTCACTGCCCTTAGTGTGGGCGTTTTGTTTGCGAAATCGAGAGGACGAAAAGTGAATGGCCGGTTCGCACACTAGGTTGGTGCGTAGGGAGGATCCAGCTAGGAAAGTTAAAAACCCTCATTCCAAACCAATTGTGCACATAAGCTGCTTGATTCCGAAGGAATGAATGGATTGTGAACCTGCTGTTGCACACCATCTAGCATGAGACTGCAATTCTTAGCATGACTCCACTGCCTTGCGAATGAGACTTCTACATCAACGGCTTGGATTGTGGCTCCTTACAAAAACCACCTGGTTTGGTTTGGGCAGCTGTGCAGTATCCCAGCTGACTCACAAATTAAATAATTTTTTTCGCGCATAAAAATCTTGTTGCCATTTTGTGCCGATTTTGAAAGAAAAAATAAATCCCATCAATAATTTGAAGTGATCTAATCACTGGGCATAGGATGTATGCTAATGTAATTTACTTTTAAATAAATTCATTTATTCTAGGTCATAGCTTTTGTGCTTATGATGACTAATGATTTAATACATCCATCTGTGACACCTGGGTCGCAAAATTATTCGCACTTGTGTAGCAAGCGATTATATCAAGTTTCTCCTCTTATTATTAAGGACTTTTGAAAGTTCCTTTTGGTTTTCGTATCGCTTTAGCATTGAGAAAGCGAATGTTTGTCTATTCTCAATTGTGCGTGTGAATTTTCTCGACCAACAACAGTTGTTAAACTGCATCATATCCCTTGTTATACGAATACAAACAATTCGCAATCATGATATCTTCGGTAATGAATTGGACCTCCTAGGGAAAATTAATTTCCGAAAATGGATATCCACTGATATGGCCTAGCTGAAAAAAGGAGGAAATGGATCGCAAAAAGTTCCATAATTGAAAACAGGTCACTCAATTAAAATAAACTCCGTGTCCAAATTCAACTACTAGGTGAGTAGGAAGATGCCTTTTTAGCATTACCGAAGCATTAGCTATATATTTATAAAAACCAGAACAATGTATACAACAGAAACTTATCCAACTTCTTCTTCGACTATGGTGTAAATCTTTCGCTTTTCCAAAATCATTACCTTCTACTCTGTCTTTTTTTCGATCAACGTTTTGCGCTCAACTGACTTGATCTTGGCTTCATGTTTCTTATGATTACAGTTCGGTCAATCCATGATTTCGCGTGACTACGATCCATTGTCTTCAGTGGGTAACTGCCTCATTCCCAACACTTTTCATTGAAATCATCAACAGATCAACGTCAGACTAGCAACAATAGGATAACATTTTCCTGCATTTGTTTGTTTAAGAAATTATCATCATCACTGCTACTGTTATTATTTTTTAATGACACATGGAATTTGCTTTGATGAAAGAAACATTCCGCCTTAACCATCAAAATAAATTGATAATGGTAGCCAGATTGACAAAAAAATATCTGTTGATCTAAAAACACATCATCAGGCAACAGAACATACAAACAGTGATTTGGGACTTGCTGATTATCAGTGCTTTGTCAACACAAAGATTTACTTACCCTATTAGTCATTACATCAGCCAACAGCATTACATGGCGTACATTCACTTCGACACCGTGACCTTCCATAACAGTTAGTAATTCGTCGATAACAACACGTCGAGCAGCCTCTACACCCAGTACTTTTTCCACTTCTAAAATATTATTACTTCGTGTACGTTCAGCTACGACGCCAGGTATGGACATCACCTTGGAATTGAAAAATAATTTACCCCATAGTATTCAATGTGACCACAACAGAACAACTGTTTCTTAAAAACGGAAAAAATATCTGTCAATTTTTGTCATTAGTGTTTAGAAAAATTCTTACTAATTGACTGATCAATTATATTAATATAAAAAACTAATTATGAACGTAATTTATGCACCTACAAGAATTTCGCGTTCAGCTTTAAGTCATAGAAGTTTGTTACGATAGGAATACTGATACTAGATTACCTCTCATTAGCTTAAAATAAGTAGAAATAGAGTACAACTCTTCCACCTATCGGTTGAAATTCTACTTTTTTAGCCAACAAGCACCAATACTCCATTTGAAAAAAATTACTTCGAATCATGATAATTCTTAGATAACAGTGTTAATTCTTAGCATATTATACGAATCATATAACCGTATAATGGTTATACTAATCTGATAAATAAAGTATAAATCACATTAGGAAAATAAGAAAACAGTGGAATAGAAGAATTTGAAACGTTATACAGTTTTAATTTGACAAAAAAATGTTTAGAGTAATTATCCATGAATTCTAAACTATATTAAACCGGGTTTACACAAACATAATCGGTGACTCATCTTAACATAGATGGAAGCTCAATTTAGTCATTCAACAGAGACCAGATAGCATTGGACAGACGTTTTTGCTGTTTGACCGACTCCTCAGAAGTGAGCATCTACGACTCTGCTAGGGACCAAACCAAGGACCTGATTTCGCCGAATGCGCATCCAGTAGTTTATAATCATAAATTCGTTCAACTCGCGACATAAATTAATCAGCTTTCAGTGCCGGTCGAATAATGAATAAGCTCTGTTGAGTAGTCCAATAATAAGATGAAACAGTTTTCCAATGACGAGTGATTTTTAACAGTTCTACAACTAAAATCCGTTCATAATGTAAACTATAAAACTTATTAAGTATTAATGAATGAAATCAATAAGTTACCTAACAACATACCTCACGTAACCGAGCTCCTTCAACGAAAATTCTATGTTCATCTTTATCCTGTTGAATTACAACTCGAGACACACCAGGTATGCCCTTGACAACAACATCTTCAATTAATTTGACAACTGTTTCCAATGCGTTTAAATCAACTGGATATACAAATATACAATCTTTTGAATAAGTTACACGCTAAATAAAAGAAACATGAAGAGCGAGGAATTCCAAGCAGGTGTTTTACGTTTTCATCAAGTAGATAAATACGGAAATAGTGAATGCTCTTTTCTCCAAAATAACTTATCGTTAAGAAAGTAGTTGAAGAAAGAACAAGTACTGAGAAACACTAAACTCATCAGTGTAAATAATAGCGACAGTATTAATCCAGTAACCAGTTATTTTGATGTCCGTGTATCCTGCTAGGAGACATATTTGCGTGACGATTAAGGATAAAATCCGGTTACACAAACCCTAGGTGAATGCAACGGGGTATAAATGCAAATTAATTGAAATAAAATCCTCTAAACTAATAAAACACAATACCGAATTCGAAACCCTACAACCATAAAAACCTAACCATGATTGTTAAATTTTCGTGCAGGTTGTTCTTTTTCATTAAACAAGGTTAGTTACTTAACATCAAATGTTTTCAATTCCAGTCAGTTCATGATGAATTACAAACGATAATTCCTTTAGTCATTGAGCTGGAAATTTCATTAGAGAAAAAATGTTCCCAGATAAAACGAGGTCACTCATGTAATATTCTATTGAGAATAAACTGAAAATTTCCAGATTGTTTACAATATTTATAGTGAACAAACACTTACCGATAATTTGATCTTCCTTAGCTTAGTTGTTTGAATAGCTGTAGCAACTTGAGGTGTTGTAATCCCTCGTCTAGCCATTCGTTTTTTATCTAATTTTATAGCAACATACACATATTCAGGTGTTAAACACTGGCTTAATGACAATGATATGTCAGCTAATCGTGTTGGCTCAATAGACAATTTCACTTGACGCGCTAACGATGCTGAGAATGGATCTGTTATAGTAACACATATCAATGGTGTTTTAATTTTGGCTGCTGCATTTACAATTTCACGCATACGTGGAACACCCTTTTAAGGAAAGTAAAAAGATTAATCAATATCATAGAACATCCAACATAGTCATAGATCAGTCAATGAGAAATGTATAAAGATATTCTTCAATGCCTTAAGTTTTTTAAAACCTCTAATACTAATCAGCAAAATGCATCTGACTAGTTAATGACCAGGCCTATATAAACGATTATTATAAATTTCACACAACTGTTGTACGAGCCTATGCCTCTAATAAACATTATTTAGTTTTGCTGTATGGATTATAAGAGAAAAGGCAAACGCCATTGAAACAGATTTTGTTTCGTTGTGGCCCAATAAAAACCTCTTCGATGGAAATCGTAGCTGACAGAAATAAATTATAATTATCTTATTCACATACCGAAGCGGTAATAATCAAATAAAGAAATTTTAACAGATGATCAAGACACTAAATCTCCATTTATTCAGTTACTCGCTCCAAAAACTATTCTATCAGATTATTTCCACTATTGCTGATAACTTCATTAATTAGTCTGTAAACTTACAGCTCTCTAAAGCTGATTTCTTTTCAGCATACACTTTTGGAATAGATTAACGAAATCCGGTTAGAACTTATATCCTGATGACTATTGAAAATGTTCCCCTATAAATATATATATATATATATATATATATATATATATATAAACACCGAAGTCATAAAATTTCTAATAAACATGTTTCAAAGACCAAACGAATGGTTAGAAGATTACTCTCTAACATAACGTGAAAGCAGTGGGAAATGAATAAACAAAAAACTCCAAGAATGTTTATCATCCATAGATGTGAAGGTCAATAAATCTGTATGATTATTGCACACTTTATTCAGACTCATATCAAGAGTTGCTGATTAGACCATTTTCAACAAATCAGAGTTAGTGGACAGGTCCAGATGCTAGAAGAAATGTAGTTAAACGTTGATGTGTTTAATACTGTAGCTTTGTTGTTCAGATTATTGGAATTTATATTTGTTAGCTTTCTATTGTGTTCTGATTAGGAAATGATCGAGTTAAGTATAGCGTTTAATACATACCAACATTAGAACATAATACCCAAAAAGTCAAAATAACTTACCTGTGTAATGTTCATACTAGCGACACCAGCAAAGTGAAACGTTTTTAAAGTCATTTGCGTAGCTGGTTCACCAACAGATTGACCACACAATGCACCAACAGCTGTGCCCGGTTCGATTAAAGCCTTCTCATATTTCTCCTTAACATGTGTTAAAAATATACGTAGTTGTGTTCTAGTCAAACGTTCATTTTGATTGATTAAATTTGACCCGTTCGCATTTTTTGTACACCAATCTTGCCATTTACGAATTCTCGGGCAAACTGAATTATGTATAAATTCTCTGAAACAACACAAAAAGCGAAGAAAACATTTTTTGAACAAATTAAAAGATAAAAATAAAAAACTCAATACATTACATTTCGCGGTGCAAGAAAAGTCCCACCATACATACGAAAAAATGTGTCTGTTGGATGAAGGTCTTGTTTATATGACTTTATGGTTGTAATATTTTTTGTTAGATGATATTCATAGGTCTATCATAGGTATTTTCAAAGAAATTGGCTAACAATTATTAAAACGTTGTTAGAAGATGTGCTATGTAGGCCTAACTAGAGACTATGGTAGGACTCCACTGGCTAGCATAGAACTAGTAACAAAAACAGACTCATGATTATTAGACAAGAACATGCCGTCAGTCTGTGAAGTAACTGACTGTTGATTTAAGTCGTGTGGAATAACAGTTACATCTTGGTTGAAGTCTGTGAAATCCCTGAAACTTATTTATGAAGACATTAAAACGTGAAACTGCCACTACATAATTAAAGTGTTAGACATTCTAGACTTTTTATTCTATTTTACACCATAGATCGTTTTATCTCCCTTTTCAATTTACAATTACCATCGTAAATTCTCTGTTTTGCTTTTTGATCCTTGATATTGTTGACATCCTGACATAATGCTACTCTATAAATTATACCAGATAAGATCGATAGACTTTTATGATAAATCCCACTATGTTCACATAACTTTTCATGTAACACTGAGGTTGATTGAAGATCAAACAACTTGACTACTAGTCAAAGACTGATTGGTGTAACGAATACAGTAGTAAAAACGAAACAGTTGAAACGGCAATATGATATTGGTGACTTGAGTGGTATTAGTCTGTTTTCATGGTAAATGTTGACTAACGTCGACAAATAGTAGGATAGAATCTGAATAAGTGCATAGCAAGTTACAAAGTCAGTGATGCTGTAGTTATGATAAAAGAAGTTATAGTTATTTTGACAAAATCTTCGAGATAATGAAAGACATTGAGTGTAGGTGTTGAAAAATATGGTCATTCTACTGCCATATTATTATTCAATGCTTGCTTTCCCAAAAATACAACTGGCAAATGAATGAAATCAGCTTGTTACAAATGTTAACAAAAATGCAAGACATTGAGGTGACTTACTTGATTGCTGAACATAAATGACTATCTAAATGTCGAAATGCATCAAGTTGAAACACAACCTCCACAGCTAGTTCTAACTCCTCAGCAGACATTGCAACTTCATGAGGGCATTCATAACTAGTCTAAGCAAAGAAATAAGATTAATCAAGTAAATATGAAATATTACCCTTATATGTTCCATTTCTTTGACAAAATTCACAGGAAATGTATCTGTTTCCATTTCTAAAGGATCTAGGCCATCGGAACCGTAACGAAATTGAATTATATCGCCCCGACTATCACGTACGGTATCATCGTAAGCAACTGCCAAATCTTCAAGAAACTAAATAGAATGTATGGAAAATAAAATTGATATGTGTAGAACGGATGGATATATAAGCAACTGAAATATTGAAATCAATAAGCAGTGGGTACAGTCAGTTACAACGTAGAACTTCGTACATGAGTAGTACATAAGTTCAGGTAGCCGCACCACATTAGCACAGAGAAGCGACTGTCACTTCAAATCCCATAGTGGTAGAGGTAGTAGAAGTATTAACGGTAATGGAGTAGATTAGGGTTCGAAGATATTATTCAGGAAGAATAATTCAATGAGATAAATTTAGAAAGAGAAAGATACAGGTGATAAGAAATCCAAAAGATAAGAATTTCAAATAACACAAAGAATGAATGCACCTGCACCATAGCAAACAATCTTGAGCCAGGTCATTCAGGGTCTCTAACGATCGATTACTATCATCTCGCGGCCCCAACCAGGTAGTCGACACCTACAATCATGGCTCAGTCCATTTATCAGTGATTTCATTGATTCCTGCTATATTTAAGGTTGGCCGCCCCTAGCTTTCTTCCAACCTATTCCTACACTACAAAACAAAGCTCGACGAGGCAGTCGATATCTTTAGCATAGTCTTATTGAAGACATGATAATATTCAAGGAAGAATTATAACCAACTCAGTCGTGAAGAACGACTAAACAAATTTACAGTTAATCGATAAATTGCAAAACCCTAATAAATCTCAGCGTGATAGTTTAAGAGTATTGGAAACGACTCATGACTAAAATACCAATAAAATAGTTGCAGAGTTTGAGAAACTCTGATCTTAATAGCTAAAGGCACAGTAATGAGACTAAACAATCAACCAATATAATTTTATTGACCTATTGTTTAAATTACAACAACAAAATACTAGGAAATGATCTATATCGAGATTATTTGAAAGGCTGTAAACATACCTTGACTAGTCTCCGCTGCATGTAACCTGTATCTGCAGTTTTTACAGCCGTATCCGTCAACCCCTCACGGCCACTCATAGCATGGAAAAAAAACTCAGATGGTGAAAGACCTGAATAAAAACTATTTCCTACAAAACCTTTTGCTTCAGGTGTTCGTGATCCTGGAGGAAAATGAATAAGACTGCGACCATTAATAACATCCGGAACTCGTTTTCCACCAATTACTTGTTGGCCAACACAAGCAATCATTTGAGATATGTTGAGAAATGAACCTAAAAGAGGAAAATAAATAATTTAAATCAAGATTGCTAGCATGAATCAAAAGGAATTTCTGTGCACTAATTAATACAGGATATCAAAATATGGTAGGAGAAAAGAATTCAATGTACCTTTTGACCCTGACTGAGCCATAACAAGTGGTGAGTTTGATGGATGAAGTTGACGTTTACAAGCTGCTCCTGCTTCATCACGAATTTTCGACAATTCTTGACTTAAATTAGACTAGTTAAAATATAAAATATACGGCAATATCGTAAAATATAGCTAAGGCGTTAAATATGAAGAATAATATACTGAAATAATAAAATAAATGATTCAATATTTTTATGTTAATGAACAACACTACATATATCCATATAAACAGAGAGGAATCATCACCGCATTGAGATAAGTGGTGGGTAGGCATATATAACACATGTCTTAATTATTTCAGTCGATAAAGATTTACAAACTCATAAACCGATTTGCCACCTTTCTAAGTACCATATATCTACCGTGAATATTTGTTACACAGTCATTTCACAGAACACGAGAAATACTTTGAAGATGCCTATGATCTAAACCATACAGACTACGTAAACCCTTTAGTTTAACAAACCGCTTCATAACTGTTAAGTAGGATGGAACGAACTGATGTACAGTATATACAACCTTTGGTTGGCAAACGAACATCTCACTTAAGCTACGAGTAATTCAAGTTGGCAAAAGTTGGTCAAGCATTCTGGATTGGTGCTGAGATTTCATCAGACACTAACCTGCCAGGGCTGGTGAAACATCCAAGATAAGCGATATGATCAATACACTCAATTACTATACTTCCTACCACTTGTTCAGATGTTGACATGGACCAGCTTCAAAGCACCATTTTGTATTTACAGATATATACATCCAAACACACTCATGTTTTCTTCTCAGGACGATCGAAAAACTCCATCCTTCGTCAGCCTGTTCATCAAATAAAACTAAGTCATTTGTGGATCCTAACTAGATAAATGAACATTCGATTAGGTAACCAACCCTTGTAGAGTTAAGAGAACAATGAGTTATTTCTAGGAGTATATTTATAACGACAATAAGCAAACTTGACAGACATCATTTTAGGTCGACATTTTTCCACAAGCTCTGACTCGAACAATAGTGTCTAATTAAAAAGCCTTTTAGTACACCTTTCAAAAACAAACATTGCCACAAAAACTTTCGATTAAGCGAGCTGAATGCTACCCGAAGGTCAATGAATATACTGACACATTGAAAGCTCGAAAAAATAATTTGAAGTCTATTTTCAGGAGACTAGTTTGTTTTTAAGTACTAGACATCATTTACGAATTAATGCATAAATATACTGGGGGTGAATAAGTCAGTCATTCACTTGGAAATTCGATCTTAAACCCGAATGAGAAATATGTATGGTATTAACACACTATGTAAAAGAAGATAAACAGTTTTTATTTTCTTACATAATTTACCTGAATTTTTTATAAATTATACAGAAATAGGAAATAATGGTGTATGAGGGGTGTTAAGTAATTAAGAATATTACTGTGATTAAATGTGATAAACATTTCGAAAACAATTTACGTTACAGGCTTAAGACTGACTAAAGAACTAGTAATTAAATGACTGTTTTATCGTAGTTCAGAACAATAGAAATGCACACAACATCAAGTTGTCCAAAGGAGGAATCACAAAGTTTTGGATCGCGGGGAAAAATATCTCGGGGTTTTTCCATTAAACTGAGATTTACAATCACAGCTAATGTGTGGCCGATAAAGTTGATAATAAATAATCTTCGGAATGATAAAATCATAATATTATAAAGTGTCAACTTGAATAATTAAGAATTTACTTCAAGTGTATCCTCCATACTACATCCTGGATTGCAAATTAGTGTATTCATCTGATATTGATTGATATACTCATCACAGGTGGCAAAGCTGAAATATAAAAAGTAGGCAAAATGGTCGAAATAATTTTATTTATTTTGCATTATAAATAGTATTATGGAGATTGTTGTCTTACCTTGAGATCATGAATCAGTCATTCTTAGACTACCATTAGAAAGAAGCCTGAAAACACCGGAGGGCTGTTTCGACCTGATATGGGACTTATCAGCAGTGCACACCTACGACTCCTGCCACTCTCAGGATTCGAACCAGGGACCTTCGGTCTTGCGTGAGAACGCTTAACTTCTGGACCATTGAGCTGGTGTTATTGTCTAACTCTGACCAATCTAGGGATTTTGCGCAACTTTATCAATTGTCTTCTGCGGCCACAGCTTCACACCCGACTGGGTTGATATCGAAGTTCCTGGGTTCGACTCCCGCAGGCCCGAGTCATGGATGCGCACTGCCAGTGAGTTCTAAATTAGGAAGAAACGGCCAACTAGTGCTACCAGGGTTTTAATGGTAGTCTGACATTGATTGATTCATGATTTCCATGAAACTTATTTATAATTAACTTGATAAATTAATTGTAATATGTACATACATTATGCGGAACTGTTTTCATGAGCAGTAATTTAATAATATCATTTAGAGTTAATGTACTAAATTTAAAGAAATACAACAATTTATGATAGAATTCAACCTAAGCTTCATTTCATCAACACCAAATATTAATAACGGTAGTACATGCCACCAAACTTGTTTAACAAAACAATCCTATCACATACTGTGCTTATAAAGTCATCCGTAGACGAAGTCTAAGACTCAAACCAACTGATAATCTGAAAAAAGTAATTTTAGTCTACTGTGAAAAAAACACTGTAAGTCTTTCATAATCCCATATGAGAGAAATTTTCAAATAAATTTTAAAGCGAGTCATTGGTGAAAAATTGGCTTACTGGTTAAAGCACTTAACTTTCAGCTAATAAGTGGCATGTTCGTGTCTCCGTCCGACATTTTTGTAACGGCAGTTAAGTAGAATCGCTAGTCCTCACATAAACTGTGTTGCTCAAATCTCAATACAAACACCTGTACTTAATAAATGAATTAAATTAGGCATAAGTGATGGATACATTGCTAAAGTGAATAATGCTCTTAAATAAATGAAGTTTATATGATACTACAATTCGATAAACAAATCATACTTACCCACGACTAATCAATGCTGTTTTAGATGCGACAAGATCTGAGCTAGGCATTACTTCACCAAGTCCTATCGAAAAACCTCGATGTGCCAGGAAAAACAAAGCAATTCTTCCTAAACGCCACATGGCATCTGCACAAGCTTCTCTCCCATAATCTCGAAGTAATGTGTAGAATATGCTTGACTTGCTTCCACCTCCAAGTAATTTTTTATCTACGCATCCTGCAAGGAGCTCGCTATTTTGAATTAGAACAACTGAAATACAAAAAAGTAATTTAAAATATGCATTATAGTAAAATGTCCTTGTAATGACAAGGAGAGCAGCATTCATGAAATATAAAAATTATTGTGACAAACATAGCCAAAGTAGCTGAATGATACCCTACACCACGTTTATTATCTGAAGATTGAAAATACTATAAGATCTTCCAAATATGAATGACAAGGATAATAAACACTTTTACGATCAAATGGCTTTGAAACAAATGCCCAGACTCTCAGAATCATTAAACGCTTTATTCTCGATTAAGACAGGTATGTAGTCAGATAGGAAATCTAAATTTTTAAAATGTTGAATATGTGCTGATTTACCCGGAATTATAATATATGTCAGCGTTAGATGCGCCAGACTGTGTTCCTCTGATGTTTATTCAGTCCCGATATACTGAAATGTTATTTGGAAACGATAAATATCAATAATACAAATGCACTGACAGTTCAGGATATAACTTTGCAGATCGACGTTGTCTGAATGATAAGTTGAGAAGATCCTCTAAGGAAATAATTTGAAATGCAGTTTAGTTTAGAAGTTCGAATAGTCGATTAGTTTCAAAGTTAAAAACAATGAAAGTTACCTCACAACCTTATCTAGTCATTTCTAGTAATTAACTAGATTAAGTTTTGTTTTTTAAAGATCTTACAGAATTGTGTTAAACAAATGGGTGATGCGTTCAAACCGTACAGCAGGTGCCTTGATTTAGACACTCAAGCAGTTTTTTTGGCTGTTGTGTGAAGAAATTCATTACATACATCTTACTATGTTATTAACGATGTGTGATCTACAGTCTATTGTTGCCGAAATGTCTAAGTGTTAAGCATCGGGAATTGAACCTTTGTAAAGTTAACTTCAGACTGAATTTTCACTTACAACCATCATTTGGACACATTTCTTGACCCTTTGATGAATACATAGACTTGGTCGGTACTCGAAGGTTAACCTGTATCCCAGTGGATGGATGCGGTGAGAGAATGAGACCAAATATCTGTTTACCAGTCCATAAAGCAACAGGCTGAAATAAGATTGATATAGAATTGATATATAATCATTATGATAAAATGTATATTGAAAATAAATCATAATATAATTTGATATATGTATACGAATATACACGCTTTCCAGGCGAAAAATACTATTTGAGAAACTTATTGTTTATGCATTCTTGTTGAACAAACAAGTTGTAAGCTAAACAACAGGGCACTAAATAGCTCTTTTGAGATTTGTCAGTGATTTTTCTAATTGCTTTTAAAGAATATTGTTTTGGTGGTTAAAACACTACTTTCAAACAATAGATTGCACGTTCAGATTAATCCACCCATAATCTGGTTTCACTAGTTAGATGCTATCATTAGTCCTCATATAAACAGTGCAGTTCAAAGCTAATTACACAAAACTGTATTTGATTCTCAAACTTCAAGGACATTCAATAATTTCACAGCTGGTTGACGATAAAGAGTCACGGATACATGTCTAAACCAAATTTTAAAAAAACCTTTTAGTTATTAGAAAATCAAATTTTATATATTCATTATTAAAGAAATTTTAAAATTAAGAGAAAACCATTCATATTGAATATGTTCTAGCCAACTTACCCACATTATAGCCGGTTTTGGCAAAGCTAAAGGTCGACCTAAATGGTTACCAGCCAGTAGTTGAGCTGCTAAAGTACAAGCTTGGTCACGATTGAGGAAAACATCTTTCAAGGTTAACAAATGTGTTGCAGTGATTAAATCTTGAATTGGTGAAATTAACGGTTCACCATTTTTAGGGCTAACAATATTCTTGAGAGACTGTTAAAATGCAAATATCAAAGAACAAAGAAAAAGAATTGATTAAGATACTTTAATGGAAGAAGTTAAGAATGAACCACGATACGTGTTCATCTATCCATATAACAGAACAAATGTTTGAGCTAGGAAGATTGTTTTGGCTTTTTTCCTGATGACTTAATGAATATACTAGAATGAAATTAAATATTATGAAGAACTTCATCGTTATCACAATAATACAATCAAAGCGCTAAATGAGACATACTATGCCCTTTATTATTCTTATTTTTCTATCATTATTACAAGTATAGTAATTTATCTACAGAAGATATACTATATTGTTTTGTATGGTATCGTTTTCAGTGTCTCGTTATTTCAAGATCTTTTGAGTTAAAATAATTAATCCACTTTAATATTGATGTGAAACAATTGATTGCAAGATATTCTTAATCTAGTGAATGAACTATGGATAACAAACAGTTAAATATAGACAAACACAAACGGAGAATAAACAAGAACAAAATACTTGACGACAAAAAGGATAAGTTAGCAGCTGCTTTATACTTCGATCACAGTAAAACAAGGGCACCTATTAGAGAAAATTAATCAACGAAATAGGCTAATTGTTATTAAGAAAAAGCTGGTTAGTTAATGACATAGTGTATTAACTCCGTCCGGAAGTTATTTCAAACACAATCAGCTCCATACATTCAAGTAACGTATTTAATATAAGTAGGATACTTAATCTCTCGAATAAATGTAACGCACTCTACGTCAAATTTCCAAGCACTTTTCACAATAGCCAGTGACGACTATATCTCAATGTAAATAAGCGTGAATAAAACCTGGCACTCGATAATCATGAAACTGTATGTTAACAGTCAGTCGGTTTCAACGTACAACTCGGTATGTACGTACCTCAGTTCAAGTTAGCATACCAAACTAGTACAAAGTGATGTTAGTTCTAACCCCATAGTAATAGAGGTAGTGGCAGAATTACTGGTAATGAAAAAGATTAGAGATCGAAGATATGAATCAGGAAGTTACAAAACAGTGCAATAAACTAGAAGAAAGAAGAGGAAAAAATCCATGAGGAACTCTGAAGTTTACAATTCGGAGGAGGATAAAAATTAGATGCGTCTGCGTCATTACAAATGATTTTGTGTCATGTCATTCAAAGTTTCTAACCATCGGTCGCAATTATTACGTGACCCCAACCACATAGTCTACATCTATTAACATGGCTCAGTACAGTTGTCGGTGACTAATGGATTTGTGCCATGTTTGGGTTCGGCCGCCCCTAGATTCCTTCCAGCCTACCCCTACATCAAATATCGCACCTCGAGGTCGGTGGCGGTTGGATATACGAAACATATGTCTCAACCACTCGAACTGATCAACTCCGCCAGTAGAACCTTAGGGGCTACTGCCGGTCCCCAGCCCAGATAAAGGAGGAGGGTTGGACATGGTGTTGGCGACCCCATTCCGTCAAAAACTAACTTGCCAAAAAAACGCTAACCAGAAAAAATAATTCAAACCATTTTCACTCTGCCCTGAGAGTTGGAAGAAGAATTATGACGTCGCGTGATGGAAGCCGAGTTCCCTCGGAAGTCACGGGACTGATGCCTCTTCCGACAACCAGAGAAACCATTCTTTTAGGTACATGGAACGTTCGTACATTGTGGGAGACTGGAAGACTATTTCAAGTTGCGGCAGAAATGAAAAGATACAACCTCGAGGTGCTCAGCATCAGTGAAACGCATTGGACACAGGCAGGACAACTGAGACTAGCTTCAGGGGAACTGCTGTTATACTCTGGTCATGAAGAGGAAAAGGCTTCACATACACAAGCAGTTGCACTGATGCTGTCCAAACATGCACAAAAGGCACTGATAGGATGGGAATCTCATGGACCTAGGATCATTAAAGCATCCTTCAAAACAACGAGAGAGGACATTGCAATGAACGTCATCCAATGTTATGCACCTACCAACGACTACAATGACGACGTTAAAGATCAATTCTAAGAAAGGCTGCAGTCAATCGTCGAGAAATGTCCACCAAAGGATTTGACGATTCTCATGGGAGACCTGAATGCCAAGGTTGGAATGGAAAACACTGGATATGAAGACATCATGGGACGACATGGACTGGGAGAAAGGAACGAAAACGGTGAGAGATTTGCAAACCTATGTGCCTTCAACAAACTGGTCATCGGTGGCACAAGATTCCCGCACAACCGCATATACAAAGCCACATGGATTTCACCCGACCACACTACTCAAAACCAAATTGACCATATCTGTATCAACAAAACGTTCAGAAGGACTATGGAGGATGTGAGAACCAGGAGAGGAGCTGATATAGCATCAGATCACCACTTGCTAATCGTCAAAATGAAACTGAAACTAAAGAAGCACTGGAAAACGGGACAGACAACATCAGAGAAGCTTAATACGGCCTTTCTTCGGGATACCGTAAAACTCAACGAATTCAAGATAGCCCTCACCAATAGGTTCCAGGCCTTTCAGGATCTACACAATGGAGAGGAAGCAATATTGGAGAACCATTGGAAACGGATTAAGGAGGCAATCACTTCAACATGTCACGAAGTTCTGGGTCACAAGAAGTACCATCACAAGGAATGGATCTCCGTTGATACTCTTGAAAAAATTGAAGAAAGGAGGATCAAGAAGGAAGCAATCAATGTCAGCGGAACAAGAGCAGAGAAAGTTACCGCACAAGCTGCATACACAGAAGCAAACAAGGAAGTGAAGAAAAGCATCAGAGCTGACAAACGAAAATATGTGGAAGATCTAGCAATGACGGCGGAAAAGGCTGCAAGAGAAGGAAACATGAGACAATTGTACGAAACAACAAAGAAGCTGGCCGGAAACTATCATAAACCAGAACGACCAGTGAAAAGCAAGGAAGGCAAAGTTATCAGCAACACTGAACAACAGCGAAATAGGTGGGTAGAGCACTTTCAGGAAATCTTGAATCGACCAGCTCCACTGAACACACCAAACATCGAACCAGCATCCAAGGACCTCCCAATTAATATTGGCGCACCTACGATTGAGGAGATCAGTATGGCCATCAGACAAATCAAGAACGGCAAAGCAGCAGGACCAGACAACATTCCAGCAGAGGCAATGAAAGCAGATGTAGAAGCAACTGCGAAAATATTTCACATCCTCTTCAAAAAGATTTGGGATGAGGAACAAGTAACATCGGATTGGAAAGAAGGATACCTGATCAAAATACCAAACAAAGGCGGTCTGAGCAAGTGTGAGAACTACAGGGGCATTACTCTTCTTTCAATACCAGGCAAATTCTTCAACAGGGTATTGTTAAACAGAATGAAAGGACTTCGTAGACGCCCAACTTCGAGATCAACAGGCCGGATTTCCTAAGGATCGATCGTGTACTGACCAAATTGCTACATTACGGATCATTGTGGAACAATCAATTGAAAGGAACTCACCACTCTTCATCAACTTCATTGACTACGAGAAAGAATTCGATAGCGTGGATAGGAAAACACTGTGGAGGCTTCTTCGACACTACGGTGTGCCTGAGAAAATAGTTAACATCATACGGAATTCTTATGATGGATTCAACTGCAAAATCGTACACGAAGGACAGCTAACAGACTCTTTCGAGGTGAAGACCTGTGACAGGCAAGGTTGCTTACTCTCACCCTTTCTCTTTCTCCTGGTCATCGACTGGATTATGAAGACGTCAACATCTGGAGGGAAGCACGGTATCAACTGGACAGTTAGGACGCAGATGGACGATCTGGACTTCGCAGATGACCTGGCTCTTCTATCGCACACTCAACAACAAATGCAAGAGAACACGACCAGTGTAGCAGCAGCCTCTGCAGCAGTAGGTCTCAACATACATAAAGGAAAGAGCAAAATTCTCCGATGCAACACAACATGCACCAACCAAATCACTCTTTAAAGAGATGCCTTGGAGGACGTTAACACCTTTACATATCTGGGCAGCATCATCGACAATCAAGGTGGATCCGATGCAGATGTGAGGGCACGGATTGGCAAAGCAAGGGCTGCATTTCTACAGTTGAAAAATATCTGGAACTCCAAACAACTTTCAACCAAAACCAAAATCAGGATATTCAATACAAATGTTAAGACAGTTCTACTGTATGGAGCGGAAACTTGGAGAACTACCAAAGCCATCATCCAGAGGATACAAGTGTTTATTAACAGCTGTCTACGTAAAATACTTCGTATTCGTTGGCCAGACACCATCTGCAACAACGAACTGTGGGAGAGAACAAACCAGATTCCAGTGAAGGAGGAAATCAGGAAGAAGCGGTGGAAGTGGATAGGACACACACTACGAAAAGCACCTAACTGCGTCACGAGACAAGCCCTCACATGGAACCCTCAAGGCAAAAGGAAAAGAGGAAGGCCAAGGAACACATTACGCCGAGAAATAGAGAAAGATATGAGAAGAATGAACAAACATTGGACAGAATTCGAGAGGGAAGCCTAGGACAGAGTTGGTTGGAGAAAACTGGTGGGCGGCCTATGCTCCATTGGGGGTAACAGGCGTAAGTAAGTAAGTAAGTACTCGAACTGATCAAGATTCACTACTTCATCGATTATTTTGCTATTCTTACCTAGTACCCGCATCCTAACTCCAGCAGTGCTTCCTCCATAGTTCAAAGATATACGAGCATGTTTTCGAAGACACCTACGATCGAATACTGGTGACGTATGACTATCTTCAATTCTTAATGACCATGTTTCACAGCCATAAAGTAGAACACAACAAACAGCTACATAGCAAATTCATCTTTTTTTGCTCAACAGACGAATGCCTCACGTACGTCACAAGTGACTCAAGTTAGCAAGAGTTGGTTGCGCCTATTGAATCCATGCTGAGATTTTGTCGAACACCAGGATATCAGGGTTAATAAGACCCTCTCGATAAGTTCTAAACCTACATCCAACCCAGCTGATCTGAATTACATGTTTCCTCGCAAATATATATCACGATATCAACTAAGAATATCTCGGACGATGAAGTCAGTCATAATAATAAATTTGTCATAACCCTCATCACTTAATAATAGTAATAATGATAATAATGATTATTATTATTATAACATCCAGCTTAGAGAGCGAAACACCACAACAATCACCTGGGCTACAAACTTTCTCCACCATCTCAAACTAATCATAATAACAATAATACTGAATAATAATTATTGTTGGTGGTGAATAATAAAACACCTAGAAAAATTAAGCAAAGCTTCAATCTTTTGTTCTGCAGTCACTTACTTATGGAGGCAACTTCATGGTCAAAGAACTTCGTTTCTAACCGTTAAAATTCACTTTCGAACTTCACCTATTCTAGTTTTGTGGGCGGACAGTATTAGGAGACCTCTCATAAGTTTACCGATAGTTATTTAATATGAAGATCAGTGTTTCTCTACTTGCTTACATAGGTTAATTTTGGAACACATGAAGTCAATGGTCAAGAATTGCTCCTTGATAATGGTTAGAACATAAGTCACCTGCGAGAACATAAATACCGAGTATTAGGTAGGTAAGTAAGTAATTATGATCTTCTTTTTAACTAAAAATGATGTACTAATCAATATAAACATCATTACAAAAAAGAGAATAATACATCGGTTAGTAGAAATTAGAGGAGAATAAATATGAAAGTAAATCTATGATCATAATACTCGACTTTTAACGGTTCATCTATATCAATCTTGACAACTGTGCAGTATCATCAATAATATGGTAAAAAGTCCCATTTGAAATTAAACTTCATTACTTGTTTGTTTGGTTTTCAAAAACGTTATTTAGAAAGGATTGTTATCGACACACTGGTATAATAATAATAATAATAATAATACTGGAGAATATGTCGGCATACCAACATAAGATGTTTTGCTTCTGCACGAGCGGCTTCTGTTTGTGGTAGATGTATATTCATTTCATCTCCATCGAAATCTGCATTGAATGGTGTACAACAGCATGGATTGAAACGAAAAGTTCGGAAAGGTTTTACAACCGCCTAAAGAAAGCCAGAAAAATAACTGTCTCAAAATACAATAAAACATTAGATGTCACTTGATCAATGAAGCAGCAAAATCACCAGAAAAGAAAAACATTGTGACTAAACTACTAGCTTTAAGCTACATCAGGCGCAGAGATCAAAGTAAGCAGTTCTTAGTTAAGTATCACATGTAAACTGCTAGTAAAACGATCGAGCGCGTTGACTAACAAGTGATCATTGTAAATAAGTAGTCTAACAATTAGTAATTTGCCGTTCAAAGTGCTGAATGCCTGGTTCTGATCGCAATACAAGTAGTAGAAGCTACTAAAATTCCACTGAACCGAGCTAATGAATCCCATATTTAACCTAGCTGCTATTGGAACCAAAATATTATTAAGAGAGAATGCTTGTTGGTTATCATGCTAGTATAACACTACACTAGTTTGTACAAAAATTCCTAATGCCAAGACACGAAGGGCTTGATTATAAATAGAAATAACTTCCGTCACCTGAAATATGTACAAAGTATAAAGATGAGTACTTACTCTAAATGCTTGAATAGATACACGATGCAGTGAAGGTTGACGGTTAAATAATACAATATCATCATCCAATAAGTGTCTTTCAACTATATCACCTGGTTGTAAATATTTCGCTACATCTTCACGTGCGCGTTCAGATGCTAGGAAACGTTTCACTATATCAGATGTACCAGATGCTTCAGCTTGACGTTTCCTCTCACCGCGTAGCTTATAACTAACAAACATGGCACCAGGATAGTTATTTGGCCCGTTTAGTATAAGAGATCGAAGAAAATTCAGGTTGAAATCAGTCACACGTTCAGGATATGTTAGGAGCTTTGCACAATGAACTGGGATGCATACCTGGAAAGTAAATATACATATTCTCTAGTTCACAGATTTTATAAGATGATCTATTAAATGTGAATTTACTTCTGATTCCGATGAGTAGAATATGAGCATGACCTATGACTGTTTGTGAAAGAAGAGTTATTTGAACATAAGTGAGTGGAATCAAATCAAGATAATCGTAATTTAACGGTCGGAAATTGCACGTAATATGGCTCAAAATCAGTAGCGTCGACTTAGACACTAGTAATCTCTCTCTAAATCTTGAACATATTATTACTCTGTACTTCACACTTACAATTTTACTCGTCGATCTCTGCTATCAAGTCTATACGTTCGTTTTGATGCGAAACATGGACATTGGGATAGATTCACGTTTACATCAGACCGTACGTCACTTATCACATCAATGGAGCTCGAAATTAAGATATAGTGATTGGGAAATTAGTGCTATTTGTCATAAATGTAAATCACTGCACAATACACTGGCCCTCGCCAAAAATAAATATGCTTTTCAATATTTGAGGGATATTGAAGTCCTAAATAGCTTCGAAATAATGAGACAATCTGATTTTTATATACATATGATTTGGCACATATTACCACTATTTATTAACGTCGTTTGTCTATGAATAAACGGCAAAAAAGTCGGTATCCTACCAAATTTAACGAAGGTTCATTTGGATTACTATGTAAGCCAAAAATATGGGTTAACTGCCTCATATTGGAATAGAAAAAAACAGCATATAGTCAAATAAAAGTAATTTAGATGGCGCTAGCATTACGCAATCCGATAGTCATTTGTTGATTTATGTATCTATTCAATAGTATCCTGTATGAGAGTTAATGGTTGTGTCCAGTTGCTCAAATCAAAACATTTTGAATAGAGTTTATGATTGAAAATTAATTGTTGAGAATAGATTGTCAAAATTGTTGGGTCTCAGCTTAGATATCTGAAAACATAACCCATAAAAATGTTTATCATCCAAATACCTGGGTATGTTGCCTAAAGAAAATTGGTGCACGGAGCCCCTAACTCTGAGCGATTACCTGAATCATACCAGTAGTTTAGGGATTATGCAAACTGCACAAATTGCGTAAATTTTTTATAAACAATCTGTGATATCAAAATGGTTGATATTTGATTACTTACATTACTCACAGCATATCTCGACAATGCTTTTAGATGCCTAAATGTGATTTTTAACGGAAAATTTATCAGTTTGGTGGTAATATGAACCAGGAAAGTTACAAATGGTTTGACCATTTTCTGACTAGTTGAAAACAAAAACTAACTGAACTAAAAGTTAAAAAAGGGGAAAATAAGCAAACCTCATCAATTCGCATATTTGGATCTGGTGAAATAACAGTTCTGGCAGTGAAATTTGTTCGTTTACCCAATAAGCTACCACGAAATCGGCCATGTTTACCAGCTAACCTTTGAAGTAAACCACGCATAAACTTATGATCTTGAACGGGAGGCAAACCTGATTGTTGTGAATTAATTAGACGTGCAAACTCAGCATGTAAGTTATCCAAGCATGCGATTTGATCCGCCTCTCCGATGTCTTCTTCAATTGTTGCAGCTTGAGCTAATATCCACTGATACATTTGGGTAAGGTCATCTTCATTACTTAATAAAAAGGGAATAATGAGACAGTGACCATTTGAATATTTGAATAAATACTATGGAACAGAGTTTCCCTAAATTTACACAGCAACCAGAAATACAGATGTACATAAATCATCACATTTAAGTCTACCAACAATCCGAATCGACGATGTTTCTCTGTCGTGTGTTCACAAAGTTATAGTGAAGAGTACATTTTCTCACCTGATTACCATAAGTTCTATGATACCAATATATGTTATGTCGACCTGTGCTTGGATCACAGTGCATACGGCTTCTAGATCTCCGTCTACGCTAGCAGTAGGACGTATTACGTATGAGAAGCTGAGCTATCTGATAAGTGAAGACGTTGACTGTTTACCGTAACTCTATGATTTCGTGAGTTGGATCTTTATGCAAATGCGAAGTGGTATTCGTCTTAAATCGTTCATATATGCGAGTCGGTTTACGTGGGAGCCATCTAAATACGTTTACCAAATTTGAAATCAGGAAACGCCAAACTTTGGTTTGCACGCTTAGAAAGCTTTGTTGTGGCTCACAAATTAACAAGCCAAACTGCAGAGTTTAGCTACGCAAAATACTTATTATCAGACCAAATAGTGAAACAGATAAGTGAAGCAACATTGAAGGAAGAAGTTATAAGAGTTAAATCTCTGTTGAACCAACAAGCTACCGCCCAACTCTTAGCCCATATCCAATAGGTTGACATCCTACCATCACACGTAAAACAGAATATGATGAATATATTACGGAACCGTATCGCACATAAAGGCTTATTATATGTTGATATCTTAAAAGTTATGGCTATCAGAAGGGAAAATGTAGACCTAAACGTAACTTTGTGAACACATGGCAAGGAAACATCAAGGATAACGATTAGTTATGGAGATCATAATAAACCCGTTACGGATCTGGTGGGGTGAATGGATTTTCTGTACTTCTCTGCCCAGATAGACATTAGCATGTCAAGCTAGGAAGGAGAGTGTGGCAAATCAATTTAGTAGGATATGACATAAAACGCATAGCCAGATAAAACAGGCTTAATACACGTAATTAAAAAAGTAAGGGCTACAGACAAATACGTTCAATTAAAAGTTACGATTATTAGCAAATAGATGACAAACTGTATGGATAATAACTAGAGAAACATATATTAATCGGTCTGTCCAAAAGCTAGAAGAACCCATGATGGCCAGAAGTGCGAGCACAAACTATTGAATCTGCATAGATCAGCCAGCTACAACGTACAACTCGGTATGTACGTAACTCAGTTCAAGTTAGCATACCAAACTAGTACAAAGTGATGTTAGTTCTAACCCCATAGTAATAGAGGTAGTGGCAGAATTACTGGTAATGAAAAAGATTAGAGATCGAAGATATGAACCAGGAAGTTACAAAACAGTGCAATAAACTAGAAGAAAGAAGAGGAAAAAATCCATGAGGAACTCTGAAGTTTACAATTCGGAGGAGGATAAAAATTAGATGCATCTGCGTCAGTACAAATGATTTTGTGTCATGTCATTCAAAGTCTCTAACCATCGGTAGCAATTATTACGTGGACCCCAACCACGTAGTCTACACCTATTAACATGGCTCAGTACAGTTGTCTGTGACTAATGGATTTGTGCCATGTTTGGGTTCGGCCGCCCCTAGATTCCTTCCAGCCTACCCCTACATCAAATATCGCACCTCGAGGTCGGTGGCGGTTGGGTATATGAAACATATGTCTCAACCACTCGAACTGATCAAGATTCATTACTTCATCGATTAATTTGCTATTCTTACCTAGTACTCGCTTCCTAACTCCAGCAGTGCTTCCTCCATAGTTCAAAGATATACGAGCATGTTTTCGAAGACACCTACGATTGAATACTGGTGATGTATGACTATCTTCAATTCTTAATGACCATGTTTCACAGCCATAAAGTAGAACGCAACAAACAGCTACATAGCAAAGTCATCTTTTTTTGCTCAACAGACGAATACCTCACCTACGTCACAAGTGACGAGTGATGAGATTCTCAAGATAAGTGAAGTGGTTAACACACTCAACTACTTCACTCCCTATCACTAGTTCAGGTACCAACGTAAGTCAATCTTGAAGCAGCAGTTTGCATTAAGAGGGAGGGAATCGCATCCCGAACATGTTTGCATTGTTGCTTAAGGTGGTCAGAAGAGTGCATTTTGTCAGTGTTATCACCCGCATATTCTAAGCCAACAAGTGAACCTCCTGACAGAAGATCAACTTCTGAAAAGTAAAACAATGAATGTTTCCAACTCTACAAGCATGTTTGTAACAAGATTAGGTAAAAATGGGGAAAGTGGACAGCCTTGACGAACACCACCTCGGCCTGAGTTGTACGAGTAGAGTCTGTACAATGTCGATGTACGTCTTATGCAAACCTTACAATAACTGACGCCGACACAGAACCTCACGATCAAGAGTCGAATTCCGCTTCAAGATTGAGAAATACTACTATTCTAGGACGTCTGAACGAGTATCTATGTTCTAGGACCTGATGTAATGCGAATATTCAGTCTATACATCCATGTCCAGGTCTGAGACCACACTAGTTTTCTTGAGTCTTCTCTTTACGATCTATAGTTAGGCGTCGAAGTATCCTTGAAGCTAATATTTAAGACACTATATCAGTTAAAATGATTCCCCCGTGATTGTCACAAGAGGATTTTAGTCTTTTTTACAGACTGGAACAATCAGTGATTGGGACCAGTAGATGGACTAGGTCCAGTTCCCAGATTCTACCAAAGATCTCAGTCAATCTAACTGCTAAAACTGGACCACCATCCTGTGACCTATTGCTGCCGCCTACTCAATCTCTTCTGACTTCACTACCCACCACTATTCGCGATCATTGAGTAGTATTTTTGCCAGCCTGTGCTAAGCTGACTCCGTTCTTCATTGTGTTCAGAGCTAGGTGGGATGCGCTTCCAAGCATCTATCAGTTCAGCAGATGCTAATGAAATCCACTGCTTCCACCTAACCTTATGTTTTAAACTAGTGGTAGATATCACTACTGTTTTCACAGCTTTATAGATACTATTCCAAGCTGCCTCGAGATGGGCATTACTTAAATGACTGCTGAACTGTTTTCCTAGTTGCTCCTGAAATATAATCATAGCTTAGCTATCGCCATAATCTGTTATTTGAGCCACGATACCATAAGATTCACGTACGTGTTTTCTTTTCGCTTAGTCTGCCTACTTGAACACCAAAGTTATCCGCCACTATTACTAAATTTTTGGAGGTCAGAAAGGTTTCTATGAAGTTCATCTTTTACCTAATCCGAGATGCAGTCAGTGGGAGCGTGGGCAGAGATGATGAAGAGGCAACGGCCAGTGTCCGTCTTTTCGAGTCTTTACTGTCTCGTTTAGTCGGACAGTGCAAAATGAACTATCTACTAGGATCCAGTCTAAGAGAGCTAGTTTAGCCTTAGAACTCCATGCAATAACTATACCAGTGAGGCCAGGTGAGGCAGGAGAGTGAAGTGTAAAACGAGTTGGTTCTTTATCTTGATAAAGCGAGGTCAGATGAATGTCTCTACTCGGATCCTGTATGCACGTTTCGGAAACGCAGCATACATCGATGGCACGAGGTTCTAACGTTCCTGTTAAACAAGCTTGTTTTCCTAATGGACACAAGGTTCGAACATTAAAGGCTCCAACATGTAGTTTAGAGCGTGGTTTCAGGAGACCAGGAATAATGTTTCGTGTACTCAAATCATTTGCATCAGCGGTGCCAGCTGATAAAGAAGTGAAATAAGAGTTGGTTGTGGAAATAAGAGTTATTAAGAGGTGTACGAAGGATTTGATTGTGACCAATTTGGCCTCGTGTGTTGTTACAAGGTAAGAGGTGGTTCAGAGCTAGGTGGGATGCGCTTCCAAGCATCTATCAGTTCAGCAGATGCTACTGAAATCCACTGCTTCTTACTAACGTTTTGGTGCACCTTAGTGGAAGATATCATAGCTGTTTCCAGAGCTTTTTGGATATTACTGCTTCGCGGTGATCATCACTTACATGACTGCTTTTCTAGTTGATTCTAAAATAATTTCTTAGCTTTGCCATTAGTAAGTAGAACTCTGAGTTTCCTTGTTGTATTTTTCTTATGTCCATTAAGTCGCAAATAAATGTCGCGCTCGTACTATAGTATTATGTATCAAGGCATGCTCCAAAATGAGCAGCAGTCTTTTATCGAGCCTCTCCATTAGTGAATGATGGTAACGTGGTCTAGTTTGGTCTACTGTAGTTAGTCGTCATGTCAAAAAATGTTTTACACTGTTTAAAGTTGGTATTAGCCAGAATCAGGCGGCTATCTGAGCATAGCTGGAGTAGTGTCCTCAAAGCATTCTTCAAAGCCGAGAAGGAAAAGATTACAATGAACGTCACCTGTTTCTACGCATAGAAACGACAGGATTGAGGATAAAAAACAGTTTTATGAGGGAATGTATTTCATCTTACTGACTATCTTGATGAGGACCTGAACATTAAACTCGAGATAGACAACACTGAGTACGAACGCGCTGTGGGGCGACATGGACTTGGAGGAAGGAATGAGAATAGTGAGACTAACGAATCTATGTGCTTTGAAAAACAGGTTATCAGGTAGAATTTTACCTGAAAACTGCATACATATAGCTGCATGTGTTTCAGTGAACTACACTTCAGAACAAGAAGATGCTATGGTTTCTAAGCTGAAACTGAAGCCTTTCTTCAGGATGTTAATAAGCTCAGTGAGCTCAAGATAACTTTTAAAAACAGGTTTTAAGCCGTACAAGATCTACTGAGAGGAGAGGAAACCACCATGGAGAACAACTGGAAGAGGATTGATGACGTAGCAACTTCAACATGCCAGGAGGCGATGGGCTACAGAAGGCACCAACATAAAGAATGAACCTCTAAAAATAATTTTGGAAAAATGTAAAAGAGGAAAAACACGAATACATAAGTCAGCAATAGCCGAACAATAGCAGAGAAAACCAAAGTACATGCTGAGTATACTGAAACAGACATACACAAAAGCTGATAAGCGGATATTCGTAGAGAACCTGGTAATTGCAGTAGAAAAACAGCAAGAGAAAGAAGTATGAAAGAGCTATACGATACAACCAAGAAGCTTGCAGGGAAATACAGCAGACCAGAGCGATCAATCAAGAACAAAAAAGGTAAATGAATTACTAAAATTTAACAGCGGAGGAATAAGTGGGTAAGGCGCTTTAGAGAGCTCCTGAATAGGTCGACACTCCTAAACTCGCTGAACATTGAAGTAGTACATACAGACCTCCCTACAGTTATATGCCACTAACAATCAAAGAAGTAAGCAAAGCCATCAGACAAATCAAAGACGGCAAAACAAAAAGACTAGACAGCATACCAGTTCAAGCACTAACGTCATATAGAGGCAAGTGCAAAGATGCTTTGCATTCTCTTTAGAAAGATCTAGTAGAAATAACAAGTTCCAACAGGCTGGAAATCGGAATAATTTATCAAGATAATAAAGTAGATCCTAATGAGTCTGAGAACTATAGAGCGACCACACTACTGTCATTACAAGGCAGTTCGACACTGGAACAGTTTTACTGCACGGAGTTGAAGCTCAGAAGACTAACACCAAAATAGTAAAGGTATTTATAAAAATCTGTCTACACAAAATAATGCAGATCCACGGACAAGAGATTATCAGGAATAACAATCTAGCAGAGAAGAAACCAGCTGGGGATGAAATTATAAGCTGGAGAGAGATGGGGATACTTCGCAGAAACCATTAAAATGCATCACAAGACAAGCCCTGAATTGGAATTCTTAAGGTAAGAGGATAAGAGACAAATCAGAAAACACATGGTACCGGGAATCGGAAGCGGACATCAGGGCCATGAACACTTGACAACAACTGGGAATGGGAGCACAGGACAAAGTTTCTTAGAAATCCTTGGTGAATGGCCTATTCCTTATGAAGAGTGGGTTTAACTAAATTACTGAGATTTTCTAATGTGCATCTGGTTTGTAGATGCACACAGGTGATACTCTAGATCGTTAATCAAAGTAATACAAGGTTTTAAAGATGACAAGTAACTTACGTTCCACTACGAACTTCCGAAACAACTGATGGTCTGATTGCACTCGGACAGACAGGCACTCTCTGAACAATTAAGTCTCGTGGGTGAGTCGTCCACTGAGAATTAGAAGGCATAAGGAGTAGCGGCAAATCTTCTTCTGGAATTTTCGAAAACAATTGCAGAGCCTTTCCGGGTCGTATAATTTCCTATAACGATATGGAATAATTAGCTGTTAGGTTTTTACACACCGACTTGAAATATACCTGTGTATATTTCCGACTCAAGATTTTCAAAACATGCTAATAGTAGCAATTTTCTTACTTAGTTTAGAACTCTATAGCTAGCACGTTTTCTAACTATGCAAAGTGATGAAGTGGAGAAAAGTTCTACTTCGATCAGCCTGTTGACCTAGATCTGTGATACCGAAATGTGAACCAATGAATGTTAGGATAAAATTAGGCAGTGCTGTGTTGATAAACCGAAAAAGGCGAGTAAAACCACTTGTAGTTTAGTGAAACGTTCCGCTTATAAACACTCGTTGAGGCACGTCGGTTTACTCTGGGTAACCACAAGTTTCGCGAAAAATGAAGATTGTTGCACACTCAAATGGTGCAGTTTTCGTAAGTACGGATAAACCTGGTGGTAGGAGAGGGCTAACGAATTGCAAGCAGCAGACGTATTTGGAAGCTGTTGAAAGCTCTTTTAACTCATTCGGGCTACTGGCAGAAAGTTAGGTGTGGATAAAGCAATCTATGAAGCTGATGGGACGCCAATAAATAACACCTAACGCCTTCAACAATGGACAGAGTTTCCTGTTAAGTAGTTCAAATGGTCTGCTGCACTTAATCAGCTGGCTTCACACCTAAGTACGAAGTTCTTTAACAAAATTGATAAGACCCTGAATGTTCACTAACTTTAAGCAGTGAGCAGAGAGAAGTGGTCGAAACGTTCGTGTATCTAGATAACTGGTAGTGGCGTAAGTGATGAGATTAATCCACGTACAGTGAAAGCCAGAGGCTAATGCCAGTCTGGGCCATCTTCGGTGCCTTTGTGATGTTAGTCTAGATGTATAAGATGGGATCTACAATGAGTTGGTGAGGCAGTTCTGCTCCATGTTTGTGAAGTCTGGTCTCACTGAAGTGAAAATATCAGGGAACTTTTTGTGTTCGATAACCGTTGCCTCCGAAGGATTGTTAAAATTTAGTGGCAACACCATGTTAGTAATGCAGAGGTTCAGGAACATGTATTTGAGCAGTAGTAGTAATTCAGTTGGAGTTACCTTTTTGAAACAGCGGCTTTGGTAGCTTGGATACGTACTACGAATGATGTCCCAGTGAAATCTGACGATAGAACAATGTTTAAAATATTTACTCTGTCTAAAGAAAAGGCTATGCTTCGGTTTGGGTACCCCAATAGTATTCCAACCCACACAAATTTATTTGTTTTATGACAAATTCTTAGGCACCCTTTAGCATCAATAACTGCATTTGAATAACAATAATAATAACAATGCACATAACGCTAGAATTAATACGGATATAATAACTGTACTCATTTTGGAGAGACCATGAAATAGACCAGGAACAAACTTTCTCGTGAGAAATGTCCACGAGCACAACTAACTTCCGAACCATGTAGCTAGCTTGAATCATAATATAAATGATAAAACATTGGTGATACAGTTATTTGCTCTTCTTCAATATTCATGTTTCATTTTACGGAAGAGTATACTAAGGATACTAAGTATGAGATGTTGAGGATCTCCATATTTCTACAGCATGATTAGCATGATCATACAACTATGTGGCTTTAGCATCTGCACGTCAAAATTGATTACACGGATACTTGAACAATGTTTTGGTCAACATTTCGAATTTTGTTCGCAAGAGCATGAAGTACACTTTAAGTTCAAAAATGCAGATATTAGTACCTAAGTACAGTACAAACATTAGTATAATGAACTTATAACCCAATGATATATACTGAAGCATTATCAAGAATGAGACAGCTGCATACAACTTCAATATTTTGGTATTGAAAGACAAGATAAAGTAATAAAAGTAACTTTACTCGGAATAAATAGTTAGAAATATCTGGAACCCTAAAATTATTTACTGACTGGTGAGTGTAGAAAAAAAATTAGATTTTAGTAAGTCAACCACAATAAATCACAAGTTTTTCAAACTATATGTATTGTGCAAATAATTGTAATAATAGTAAAATATATAGACAACGTACCAAACCTTTACGGATAATTTGTGTTAACTCCGTATTTTCTGAAATTACGTTTGCGAACTCGTTTACATATTCATCAACTTTTGCTTTCGCGTGTCGAAACATATCATGAACAACATACGAAAGACTAGTACCTTTCGTGACGACACCTACAACAAGATAATATATACGGTAAGGGAACAAACCATTTAGTGCTGAGCAAAATGGACAGACATGTACCCTGCTAGACAATTTGTGTATTGCCTTTCTAAGTTGTTTTTTATGTACGTAGTCCAAACTCGGGTTAGAACAGCTGATCAGAAACCTAGCACGTTGCTGCTCTGGGAGAAGAACGTGTGAGCAGGTCTGAGGTTATTTTAAGTACATAATTGACCTTACTTTGCAGATTGTTTGTAGTATTTTTACTATATGCCAAGTATATCCCACATGATATATTGGCGTCGGCAAATCAAAGTACCCCCAATGACCAATACATGTCTGGTAGTCTAAGCCGCAAGTAGTGCACACTTCATCTCTCTTATTTGCTCCAAGTCTTGGGTCTAAAAGGCCGTAATCTAAGGCCCGTCTGTTGCTTTGTCCTTCGGCATAGAGCAGGCACTTCAGAACTTGAACATGACTTAATCTTTTTAAGTCACCCTCGTTGCACAGCTGAAATTTTATGTTCTCGCTATAAGATTTAATAAGTCTGAAATACTACATACACAATCCTAGGTAAATCAGGAGGTTTGTACAGAGAAGGCATTATGCACGTTGTACCGAACACATTATAAACCGCGCTACGGTACTTCAAAAAATTTCCAATGACGTTTTGACGAGCTACTTTAAACCGATTGATTTACGTATAATGAGTAGAAATAGAGAACCTTTAGTCATGTGGGACCAGTGGAATGTTGCTGGACCTTAGCCAAATCAATTGGAAAGTAGGTCACTGAATGTCAAGAAGTTTACTGAACTCATCAAGTTCAAGGATGACTAAAGTAGATTACTTAGGAGTATAGGAGTATACTATAACTGGGTCCGTTCGTTATTTGTTGCAATCTGTTTCTCCGACCTATCGCTACTAATATACTTGTGTAATAACGTTGCGTTTCTTTGAAACAGTCATCAAAGAGGCAACTGTGCTTGCATACGACGAAAGTGTAATTCGCATTAGATAATAACCGTGAAGTGCGACTTTGTAGTAGGCTAGGCATTTAAACCATCCCTGCTCAACTCAAGAAGAATCAGACTCACTGACACAGACTACCAGCATCAGTAATCTACAGTTACTTGAGATTTGAATTTAGGCTGTATAAGAGTGCAACCATTTGCAACTTTCAGGAATTTTAATCTCAGTCATAGAAAGAATTAACAATGTATCGCCCCCGTATTACTTAACTTATTGCTTCATGCTGTCCTAATCTCGGACACTTTTCTTCTAGGAAGATCAAGTATTACAAACCTGCCGACTATAAGTAATAAGTACTGAATGAACTGTTTAATCAAAAGAAAATATCGTCTTTCCTTTGTTGAGTGAGGCTACATATGTAAACGCATTTATGTTTAATATATATTGTTTGATAAAAATCCTCTGTGGATATACCTTACCTGTCAAGGGATATATACTTTCGTTATTTTTCGATGTGCCAACAAGTACAACTTATATCATTCATTTTTCTAAATTATTAACCTCGAATTAGGACTGAAGAGTAGGATAGTGTTGTATAGACTTATAGACCACTCTCCACTAGGTGAAACAATTAGCTTAGATTACCTACAAAAATTTAGTGGCGGTCTAACAATGATTGATTCATGTTTACAGTTATAAACAATCCATTTACCAGTATCTAGAGACATAAAAGCAGAAATGTTTTACGATACTTTTCTCAATTAAGTGCCTGATTCGATATGGCTGACTGTGCACGCCCATGAATGTAAAATACTGGTTGGATGCATATGTAGAGCTCCAAACACTCATCGATCGGTTGACGTTGCTATTGGTGAGTCGTTTGCCAGGGCTGCCTGTCTTAAATTTACCTGCAAAATTATTTGTGGTGACTTCAACCTCCCTGGAATCAACTGGCGGACAAATTCCGGTCCACTACGCTTTGATAGCTTACTTGGTCCCCCAGATACACATGGTTGGCAACAAGATGTGCGCCTGCCTACTAGAAACCACAACATTATCGATCTGGTATTTTGTCACGGTGTCACCCCAACATCTGTGGCTGTCTGCGAAAAGTTTCACAACAATGACCTTAAAATTGTCCTCTGAACCCTTCCGTTTTTCGCTAAATGCGACAAATCTAAAACAGTAAACCGTTTTCAATACAGAGAGTATGAACATGCTGACTGGGACAGCTTTCGCTTTCTAATTCAGCACTCAGACAGGACTGAGTTTCTTTCTTGTCTTGAACTTCCTGATGCATTACATATATTCAACGTTACCATCTAATTTGCTCTAGACACTACTATCCCACACAAAACATCTTTCAAAACAGTTACTTATTATGACGAAGCTGTTATTTGCGAACTGTTTAGTACATAGTTCTCCCTCAATCTGAACACATCTCCTACCCCTGATACGAACATTTACTGTAGCTGTAAGCATAATGTTTGTACCATCAAATTCGATCTTAGTAATATTCAAGCCGCAATTAAAACCCTCAGACCCAATGGCAGCTGCAGCGCGGATGAGATACCTTCCATACTTTTTAAAATGGCGGGATCGAACCTTCCAGCGCTTTTGCTTAAAATTTTTACATTATGCCTTGAGTCTGGTACATACCCCGAATCGTGGAAGTTGACTCATATTGTCCCAGTATATAAATCTGGACCGAAATACTTAATCCAAAACTACAGGCCTGTTAATATCACCCTAGTTTTATTACGTGTGATGGAGAAAGTGATAAAAGATCAATTATCTGATCACTTACTCAGCGGAGGTCACACTGACCCCTCTCAACATGGCTTCATTAGAACTAGGTCATGTACCACATGTCTGTTAGATTTCTTTAATGAGGTTACCAGCATACGCGATCAAAAGCAACTAGTGATCGTGTTGTATTTTGATATCAAAAAGGCTTTCGATAAGATACCTCACAATCTCTTAATCAACAGACTTCAGTCCGTCGGTATTAGTGGCCACCTGTTGCAATGGATTAGGTCGTTCCTCACAGATAGATAACAGATTACCAAAACCAACTCACATACATCTACACCTCAACCAATTACCAGTGGTGTTGTGCAGGGCAGTGTTTTGGGTCCATTGCTTTTCATAATCTACATCAACTGCATCTGCAGTTGTTTCAACACTGGTAAAACATACCTCTATGCGGATGACCTAAAAGTGATTTATCAAACTAGTAATTCTGACTTAGGAAACTTGTTGCACATAATCCAGCACGAACTCAATACTGTAGATGTCTGGTGCAAGCAATGGAACCTTGGACTTAATACTGAGAAGTGTGGCTGGATGTGTTTCGGAGACACGTCTCCCAAATTAGATCTCATTCTCAACAGGAATGTATTGCCCAAACTCACATCCGTAACTGATCTTGGAGTGCATTATTCGTACAACCTTAACTTCTCCGAACATATCTCCAATAAAGTTTCTCGAATGAGAAGAATGCTTGGTTTCATCTTTCGTAACTTCCTTCATAGAGAATCCAGAACAATTCTCTATAAAACATGCGTAAGACCTATTGCTGAATACTGCTCTTTCTTATTTTCTAACGTACGCCTGTCTGATATGTTGAAGCTTGAAGGAATACAAAGGAAATTTACTCGTAAAGTCCTAAATCATAGCTCACCCATTGACTATCCAACCCGATGTATTGAACTCGGGCTCGATCCAATATGGAAAAGAAGGCTTAAGTCCAATCTGATCCTTTACTTTAAACTCCTGCACAAGCTCACATATTCCTCCTGCAGTTTAGTCCTTATCCATGGCCGATGTACACATAACCTTCGAGATAAAGTATCTACGGTCAAACTTGAGAAGTATAGATCGAAAGCTCGAGAAAACTTCTTCCTCTCTAAGTATGCACTTATATGGAATAAGCTTCAACTTCTTAATGATGCTCTCAGTTGCACTGACTCTTCTGCGCTCGTGAACTCACTCGCACCCTGCTTTCATATTAATAGCTCTGCATATACTTTAAATACAATGAACTCAGTGCTGCGTCTTATTTAGTTATTTTTACACTCCCAAGTAGCACTAATTTTTCTAGTTGAATATAAATCTCTTTAGTTTTTATTTGAAATAGACAGGTTACTCTATTCACTGGGTCGATCGACATTGTTCAACTGTAAACTGGTTGATTAGAATGCACTCTACTCTCCTGGGCGCAACCTTATCAACACTTACAACTGTGTGAGTTTCACAATGCCTAATATAAATTATACTGTTCTCACTTACACACTATTGACTTACCTTGATCCCTTAGTGTTATCTATTGCCCCACTTTTAACCGCGATACTCTTTATATCGCCTACTTAGCTAGTTAAGTATATCTTCCCCACTGCATTCTAAATGCTTATATCTTGTTTGAAAATTCTTACTATTTCTCCATAACTGTTAACTGTATAGCATTGATGCCTAGCCAATAGTTCATAAGTTGTAACAGCCAGACGAGTTCGTGAAAGGAACTTGCAGAAATAGTGTTTCTCAACAGGATGCGAGACATAGAACACCAAGTAGAACTCAATAGCTTCTTTTAAACATTTAACATGAGCCTAACAACACAAAAGGAGGGAGGGTGGAGTTACTGACCAGCAAACATTGATGGTGTGGGCGATAACTTCAAACCACCCATGTTTGTGGGGCAGAACATTTTGCTTGCTTTCGGCTCTTTATATTGATGAGGCGACTAATCAGTAACACTGAGGTTGCTTCTTTACGCTTGCTACTTCTGTGGTTCATGTTTCCAAAACTATGCTGTCCCTCTCTTTTTCCCTTTTTCAGAACCCCTTTTACGGTGGAAAATCCCTGGCGCCTCTAAGGAACATGCACCCTATATACATGACTGTCTGGATCACAGCTCGTATCAAGCGTGTTCCAATTGACCTTTCCCAACAAAGTCACTATTGACCTCGGCAAATCGCCAAAAGAACCTATCGTGCACCTTCCCTATTTGTACTCTCCTTTTGAAAATGTGGCTGTATCATAGTATTTCGGTCAGTGACATGGTGTAAATATGCTATCAGAAACTGACTCTCATACTTAATTTAACTGTGATAACTTTTACAGTAAATGTGAAAGCATTTATAACGAATTGATCTAGCCTGTAAACTGGTGTGACTCTTGTTACGTAGTTATTTGAGAATAAATATTATTATTATTATACCGCTTATTAATGCTGTTATCCGAATGCTTTCTATGGTTAGTTGTAAGAACCTCAGTTTTCAATATGATATAAGTCGAATAGTATTTTTATCGCTTTCATGTTTGAGAACTCCGTCTGCTATTCAGGATGCAACCTGTGTAGAATCTATTTCGCCGGTGGCTGTCCAAATTGCTTCCAATAGAAACACTCCTGTACGTTACTCCTAGATCCAGGTCCCAGCCGAAATCAAAAGGCCAAAATTTCTAGGAGAAAACGTCTCTATATTGTTATAAAATGGAAATACAGAGGCTTACGGTATTTTTGTTTCTTCCAGGACTAAATTACTCCGTAGAGTATCTATTACAATAGCTAGTAAGTGACACTAAGTCCAGCAGCCACCGCGTCTATCCAAAAATGTGGTGGTAGCCATATTATATCAAATTTAAACAATATATGTACAGT